CCGGCTCCATGGGCTCCACCCACCAGCCGAACCCCAACCCCGACGAGGGCTCGTCGGCCTACCCCCCCTGGGTTAGGCATATATATAGCCACCTCAGGCACCTAGGTGGCCTAATTTAGACTAGATTACCCGCTCCTAGCGCGCCAAGGCGTACCCTAACAAAAAATTCGCTCATATTTTAGAACCTTAATTACGCCTTCCCCTTTAGGAAATCTAGTAATATTATTAATTATTATTAAATTTAACTCTAGTAGCTACATGTACATATAAAAATTATTGTATAATATTAATAATTAAGCAATCGCAGGGGAGGTACACAGTTCAACTCTGTACCTCCCCCTCTGCCAAGACTTTATTTTGCGCTGTACCTCCCCCAGGTACTGGCCCAGAATAGTGTTAGTCATCCCGCTGCGCCATCGCGCATATATAACATCAATCCTGCCACTGCCGCGCCTCCTACTCCCTAAATTCCTCGTCTAACCACTGCCGCGCGTGCTCCTACTAGAAATATATATCCCCTACCGCCCACTGCGACGCCTGCAATGCCTGGCTGCTGCGGGCCGGAACCCTAACTACTGGTGAACCGCTTGGGCCAACTGGACCTGCTTCGTGGTGGCTGGCATCTGGCCTGCTGCTGCCTGGAACTGACCTGATCCCTAACCCTAATGCTTCCGCGGTGGGTGGTGGTGTCATGCCTGCCATGGTGGCGGTGGTGGCTGCCTCTGGCTCTGGCTCTGGCTCTAGCTCTGGCTCTGCTGGTGGTTCGTATCTAATCTGGCTCACGATTAATCCACTACTCGCGGGGCTATCCTCTCTAAACCCTAACCCTGGCTGGGTTGCTGGCGGCGTGGTGGCCTGCGCGGGCTGGTGGGCTGGTATATCCTTCCAAACCCGAACCTGAACTGCCTGGGAACCGCTTGTGCTGGTGCTGGTGGTGCTGGTGCTGGCTACATGCTGGGCCTGCCAACTAGGATTGCATAGGTCACACGCCTGCTCCTCCTCTACCTCTACTAGGGCATCCCCACACCGCTGCCGCTGGTATCCATCAATGATCCCATCCAAATACTCGTCTAAAACCACCCGCCGGCACCCTCCTGACTGCATGTACCTTTGCACCCGCTGTGCCTCTATATCCTGATCCTGATCCTCTGCCTCCTCGCGCGCATGGTGGCCACCTACGCCGCAACAACCCTCCGCGTCCATCCCCTCTGGCTAGATGATGATGGCCTCGCTGGCCTGCCCGTCCCACCCGGCCCGGCCACTCTCCTGCGCGTAATCCAACAACGTCCGCGGCATGCAAATGTGGATGATCACCCGGATGTCTGGGATATCCACCCCCATACCCAACGCGTTGGTGGCGCTGATCACGTCAGTGGTGCCCTGGATAAACCGCTCCAACACCCAGGCGCGGTCCACCTGCCTGCTGTGGTATGCCTCGCACCTGAATATCTCTGCCATGGCCTGCACCTGCCGCACCGCGTTCGCATATATCACTACCTTCCCCCCACTGGCCCGCCGCGCCTGCTGGATGCGCGCCTGGATAAACGCAATAACACTGGGATCCCGCTCCCACTGGTACGGGCTGGCCACCACGGGCAGCCACACGCGGTATGCCACGTTGCTGCGGCTGGTGCGTGCGCGATATATATAAATCTGGTCGCGCGGGTAATGGATGCGCTGGCTGAACTCGCCTTCCAACTAAGGGGGTAACGTGGAGGTTAAATACACAATCAGGCACCGCGCCCGAACTAACCAGCCTAACTAGGCCATCTGCGGCAGGAAATCCTTCTAGGCATTAATGATGATATGGCACTAGTACACAACTATGAGGTCTAACCGGCGCATCATCACTAACCAGTTAATAAATGATTGGAAATCGCTTGTTACCGCGGACTCGGGCGTCACTAACATAATGGCGGCCTTGTCGGGCGGCTGCTGCTGGTCCCATGCCACGCATGACACCCCAAGCTGCCGGCACTGCCGCGCCATGTCCTGGCGAAATGATATTAACGGGACCACCACGATGGTGGTGCCACCGGGCACGGCCCACGAGGGTAACATGAACAACATGCTTTTACCACCCCCTGTGGGCATGATGGCCACCACCGGGCTGCGGCCCTGCTGGATCGCCGCCATGGCGGGGCCCTAGACCCCGCGGAACTGCATGCAGGCCTGGCCGGTCATCTGCTGCATCGCGGTGGTCATGTCCATGGCCTGCAACTGCTGCCGCCGCTCCCACTGGTGCTCCTTGGCCTCGGCCTGCCATGGCGCGCGCTTGCGCTTGCCTAACAATGTCGTGGTGGCTGGGCTAACCCTAACCCTAACTGCTTGCGAACCGCTTGGGGCGCGGGCCCCGTTCCCTGCGGGCTGACCACCATCGCGACTACCATCATCCTGGCCCTGGCTGCGGCTAACCTAACTACTTGCGAACCGCTTGGGGCGCGGGCCCCGTTCCCTGCGGGCTGACCACTATCGCGACTACCATCGTCCTGGCCCTGGCTATGGCTAACCCTAACTGCTTGCGAACCGCTTGGGGCGCGGGCCCCGTTCCCTGCGGGCTGACCACTATCGTGACTACTATCATCCTGGCCCTGGCTGTGGTTAACCCTAACCACTTGTAAACCACCACTTGGGGCGCGGGCCCCGTTGCCTGCGGGCTAGGGCGGACCATCGCGACTACCATCATTATTATCCTGGCTAAACCCTAAAAACTCATGCCACTCCACGCTGGACTGCCGGAACATGGCCCGCCAGTGGCTAGTCGTGCCCGCCTGCTCCATGATCTACCGCGCGTACACCATCCCGGCCACGTGTGATGAATGCGCCGCCTGTAAATCCATGATATGCGCTATCCACTGCTCTACGTCCATCCCCTCCTTATGGTCGGCATTAAACTCCATCACGGCTGGCTGCTCCTTCTCGTCATGAGCGTTGCTTCTGAACGCGCTAGCCCCGCGCATGAACCACCGGCTAATCCTAATGGTGATGTCCTGGTACGCGGGGATGTTCAATGCCTGGCCTAACCGCGCCTGCGTCTCGCGCTTCAACACCTCGTAGAACTGGTCGGACGTCCACGCGCGCTGCGTGCCGGCATTGGGGCCCCATAAATATGGGCTAGCTAACCCTAACCCTAACCCTAATGCTGCGGTGGTGGCGCCTGTAGGTTGGCTAGATGGGTGGGCTAACCCTACCCTGGGCGCGCGAGCTTGGGCATCATCCCTACCCCTATTAAACCCTAACCCTAATGCCCTACCTGCCAGCTAGGTTACTAGCTGCTGCTGCTGCTGCTGCGCTGCCTGCCACGTGGTTAACTACTTGGTGAACGGCAATACTAACCACATGTACCACACGATCAACTCCCCCACCGCCCGCGGCACGTACTGGTGGATCAGCTTAATGTCATTACTCGCGTGGAACCCCTTGTGGTACGCCGTCACTACCATCACCAGCCCATCCTCAATGAATATATTGCGGTGGCGGCTAGCCTGCGTGTTGACGTGCTAGATGCTCAACAGCTCGGGCGCCCACGCGGGCTGGCCGCCCGTGATGTGGATGGCCACCGCTAGCTTCTCCTTGAACCGGACCACGCGGGCTAAATATTGCGCTACTAGCTAGGCCTGCATCTGGCCGCGGCGCATGAACTAGCGATGCATGGCGGGCTTGCTACGCAGCCACTAGATCAACTACTGTTTCCCATCTACTAGCCACCGCGTGCGGGTGTCCTATAAAAAACACCACCCCTTCTGGCCCTGCGTGGGGTCGTCGTATAATCCGGACCATGGGATGGGTGGGAAATTGGTGGTGGTGTTGCTATTACTAGTGTTGCTGGTGGTGCTGGTGGTGGTAGTGGTGGTAGTGGTTGGGGATATATATAATACCTCCCGCAGCAGCTCGCGCGCGGATCCTACCAACCCATGAACGAACCCGTGGAACGCGCCCATGGTGAAATGCATGTCCTTGTATAATAACTCATCGCTACCCATCCATCCCACATGCCCTGGCGTGGTGGTGTTGTAATGTACCTTTAACCCGTACGTGCGCCAATCTAGCAACGTCTACATGGGGCCGTGCGTGCCGCGGATCATGAAGCTACACACCATCTACTAGACATGGTCGTGGAATAGCTTCCCACCTAACCCTGATCCTGATCCTGATCCTGATCCTGATCCTGGTGGTGATCCTAATAGCGATCCTTGGGCTGGATCCCCTAGATGGATATGGATATCCACCAGCTGGTCGTTAGCGCTAGTTAACGGCCATGTATTAGGGCCGCTACTGCTACCGCCTAGCTACTGATGGCCCGTCCACATGCGGATGATCTCCTTTGCATGGGGGTCTAACCATAACGCCTTCTACACCACCATGAAGCGCGCCACCTTGAGCACGCGGGATAATATGGGCGGGTAACTACTAGGATCGCGCCAGCGCGCCTCACCCCACCCTTGCACGGCCATGGCACATACCAGCGCGCTCTCGTACTCGTGCGTGTGGTGGCGCTGGTTTATTAGCTTAATGTAAAACTCTAAGCACGCCTGCTCCATGGGGGTCATCTACCACGCCTCCACCTCTATAGCTGCAGCCTCCACCCCATCATCTATCTTCTCGTCCGTCTCCTCGTCCATCTCCATCACGGTGGTTGGGCTACTACCTGGGCTGGGACTAGCACTCCACACGTCCTCGATGATCTGGCCGGCCCCAGCGAACGTATGTACGACCCTTACCCCTGGCCTGGCTCGGGCTTGCGCACGCGCTTGGCCACTAGCTTGGGCTTCAGCTTTGGGCCTCTTAATAGCTAGCATGGCTAGCTACCATAATACCTACTACTTCTAGCGCTGCCGCGGCGTCATCCCATACGCGGGCAACCTCCCTAGCCACTTGCCACGGCCACTACCACCGTCACTACTATTACTATCTTCATCCCTAACCCAGCTTGGGCTCGCCTGCGCGGCCTGCGTGCGCGCGATGAATGCCAGCACCTGCTGCCATGGCTGCATGTGCTTCTAAATGCTCGCCTCGTCCATGTACGCCTGCAATGGCTTGTATGACATCTGGCCGGCCTCCGTACGGGCCGCCTCCACGCGGATGCCCGCGCCGCACTGCTGCACTGTCTGCTGGCTACGCCGCGCTAGCTGGTCCATGGTGTCCCAAATCACCCGCACGCCCTGCTTAATATGATCCTCCTCTACCTCCTCCACCTCTACCTCCGCGGGCGCCTCCACTAGCTGGCGCAAATCCTGCGGGTGTACCCCGTCTAAATACCTCGCCCACCCAGTCATGCGCAGCCATGGGTTGGCATCAGCCGCCTTGTCCGCCTGGATGGTGGCCTGCTCCGCCGCCTGCGCGCGCGCCCGCTCCCATGCAATGACCATGGCATCCACGGCCTGCTGGGCGTGCTCTGCGGGTGGTGGCGGGCTCTGCCAGCCATCTAGGTATCAAATGTGGATGTAATGGGACCCGGGGCTGGATGGGAACACCTACTGCCATGCCACCTGGGTGTATGACCGCGCAAGCTCGGCCTCACCGCGTGCCTTCTCCCACTGGCCCACGCGGCCACCATGGCTCTGCTAGGACCACTAGTGGATGGTCTTCTAGTGCTTCCGCATGGAGTTCATGCTGGCGGCCACGTACTGGCACTACGTGGGCTCACGCTGGCACAAAACCCCATTGGTGTGACATGGTAAAATGGGCAGCGGCTGGTCTAATACGCGGGGGATCTAGATGGCCTGGCTATCCTGCTGCATCTCCTCCCACTGGTGTACCATGTCGGCCACCTGGCTGGCTGCCTGGTAATTATACCCATGCTGGCGCTTTAAATGCTACTAGACGTCCGCGGGCCATACAGCATGCTTGCATGGGCGGCAAATAATAATCTACAAGCTAGGGACCTTTTCAAATAACTAGTTCTCCATAGTATAAACAACTAAAATTAAATGTCATGCGTGGTGGAGTTCATGTAGTATATAGGATATGATATAAACTTATAGGTAATAGGTATGGGCTTAATGGCCTACTATACCACGGAAAAATTTATAAATTATTTATCTAAACATTCATGGTTTCCATGGCAGCTTGGACTATTAACTATACTATATCTAAATCTCGCGCTCTACCTCCTCCTTATCCTATTTATCCCGTTCCCGCTTCCCATTCCCGTTCCCGTTCGTGGTAGCGGGCCAGCCTACCCTAACAAAACCTGCTACCTTTATACCTATGCCATGCCACTATTTTACGTCCGCGTAACTTCTACTTTTTTAGCGCTATGAAGATAAGTGCCTGCCCTTTCACGTAAGCCACTTTTCAAAGCCGAGCGACCCTTGTAGGGGATACAGATAGGTGACCTTTCTAACCTAAATAGGTGAACTTAGCGCGTGTTTTTCCCGGCCGCTAAACCTTTTTGGGCCGAGCCCCAACCCCGATGGGCCCTCGTCGGGTTACCCCCCCTGGGTTAGTAGCTCAACGCAAAACTCCAAGCACGCCTGCTCGATGGCGGTCATCCGCCATGCTTCTACCTCCGCCTCTACTACCTCCTCTGCCTCCTCTGTCCCCTCCTCTCCTTCTACCTCTATCATGCTGGCGCTGGCGCTGGCGCTATCGCTAGTACCTGGGCTCGGGCTGGCATCCCACACGTCCTCTATGATCTGACCAGCGCCCACGAACGTGTGTATAACCCTAACCCTTCTACCATCCCTCCTACCACCAGCTCGGGCGTTGGGCTCGGGCCTCTCTGCGGCTGGTGGCATGGCTAGCTGTCATAATACCTGCCACTTCCGGCGCTGCCGTGGGGTCATCCCGTACGCGGGCAGCCTCCCTAACCACTCGCGGTTGCTCGTACTACCATCCTCGTCCTGGCTCGCCGTCTGGCTGGCCTGCGTGCGCGCGATAAACGCCAGCACCTGCTGCCATGGCTGCACGTGCTTCTGCACACTGTCCTCGTCCATGTACGCCTGCAGCGGCCGGTGTGGCGTCTGGCTGGCCTCCGTGCGCGCCGCCTCCACGCGGATGCCGGCGCCACACTGCTGCACCGTCCGCTGGCTGCGGCGCGCTAGCCGGTCCATGGCATCCTATATAACGCGCACGGCCTGCTCCACGCGATCCTCCCTATACTGCGGATCCTCCACTTCCATGGGCGCCTCCACCAGCTGCCGCAAGTCCTGCGGGTGCACGCCGTCCAGATACCGCGCCCACCCGGTCATGCGCAGCCATGGGTTGGCATCCATGGCCTCGTCCGCCTGGATGGTGGCCTGCTGCTCGTGCTGGGCCCGCGCCTGCTCCCACGCGGTGACCATGGCATCCACCGCCAGCTGGGCCTGCTCCGCGGGTGGTGGCGGGCTCTGCTGGCGGCCGTCCAGGTACTGGATGTGGATGTAATGGGACCCCTTGCGCGTGGGGAACACCTGCTGCCATGCCACGCGCGTGTATGACCATGCCAGCTCCGCCTTGCCCCGCGCCTGCTCCCGCTGGCCCACGCGGCCGCGGCGGCCCTGCTGCTGGGACCACTGGTGGGCCTCGCGCCAGTGCCCGCGCATGGATGCCATGGTGGATCCAATGAAATGGCACCCCGCGGGGTCGTCGCGCTGGCATAACAACCCGTCGGCGTGGCATGGTAGTATGGGCAGCGGGCGGTCCAGCACCCATGGGATCTAGATGGCCTCGCTGTCCTGCTGGATGCCTTCCCACTGCCGGACGGCCTGGCGAACCTGGGTGGCTTGTTGGTGCTTGAATTGGTGCTTCTGCTTTAAATGGCGCTCCACCTTAGCCGGCCGCACCACGTGCTTGCACGGGCGGCAAATAATAATCTGCAAGCTGGGGACCTTATAGAATAAATGGTTCTCCATGGTATTAACTAGTTAACAGCTGCTTCCTAACTGCTTGATAAATAATTAATCATGGATGGATGGATGGGTAAATAATAATAATAACACTAATAACAGCCGCGATGACAATGACAATGATAATAATAATAATAATATTTATAATGGAATAGGTCAGTCTCCCATGGTTTCCATGGGCGCGGGAGTTTAATCTATGGAATCTACCACTCCCGCGCGCGCCGCCCGCCCGTCGCCCGCCCGTTTAGTAAACCCCAACCAAAAAAAAAACCTGGCCACTTTGAACCAACCCTATACCTTGGCTATCACTTGTAGCGGGCCCTGGTTAATACCAGCTACTAATAACTCCCCTCCTAGGCCGCTGTCCCGGGTTTCAGCACGATCCAGCGCGGGGAAGTTAATGCAGGATACACGGCCATGCCAGGTCCAGGATACGCAAAGTGGAGCTGGCTGTGGCCAATCAGGTGCCAATCTCGCGCGAACCCCAATTCAAGGATAGGTATCCTGCACCACCCCTTCTGGGTTAGGATGTTCAGCTTCGTCTGTAGGTGCGCCTGCGCCTCCTGCTGCAGGACCTTCCGCAGGCGCTCGCTCGGCCAGCTCCCCCCCTGGTCCCCTCCGCCCGCGGCCGCGGGCCAGAGGAAGGCCGAGGCGGGCCCGTGGTGGCCCCGGGCCAGCCGCTCCAGGGCCTCGCGGAAGGGGAGGATCAGCCAGAGGTAGTAGACCACCAGCTCGCTCACGGCCTTGGGCAGGTAGCGGTGGATGATCTTAGTGGTGTTACTAATAGAATAGCCCTTATGGTACGTGGTGACCGTGCTAACCAACCCATGCTCGATGAAGATGTTCTGGTGGCGGCCCTGCAGGGTGTTGCGGTGGCGCAGCCCTAGCAGCTCGGTGGCCCGCGCAGGCTGGCCGCTGGTAATGTGGACGAGGAGGAGCAGGCGCTGCAGGAACCCGTCCACCTGCTGCAGGTACTATACCACAGGGCCCTCCCGCCAGAGCACCTCATCAGCCTGCCTAATCTAGCGGACCTCTAGGAACTCCTCGCGCAGCCAGTCCGCCCCAAGCACGCGGTCCAGCAGCCAGCGGTCCCCGTGGGTAGGGAGGGCCTTCCGCGTGCGCGGGTCCCGCAGGAAGTTCCACCCCCGCGTGTTATTAGTTGGGTCATCCTGCAGCTCGTGCAGGGCCAGGCGCGGCACCACCTCCTCGCGGGCCTCCTCCTCATGTAGGAGGAAGAGGCCCGCGAGCTCTACCTGGGCGCGCGAGACCTGCCCCGCGACGAATTCCCGCAGCCCGCGCATGCTCAGGCGCAGGTCCTTATAGCTCAGGGTCTGCTCGTCGTCGCTCTAGTAGATATAGCCCATGCTAGTGGTACTATTCTAGATCTTCTTGCCGTACGTGCGTAGCCGCGTGATCTAGCCAAAGGGGGCGCGCACCCCAAAGAGCAGGAAGCGCTCGCGCATCTCGTCTAGGGCGTCCGCGGCGTGGCTCACCTAGCCTGCCTCGGCCTCGCGGACGGCGCGGAGGGCAACCAGCATCTATGCCATCTTGACCAGGCCGGAGAGGTAGCTGGTGTAGCTATACAGGTCGCGGAAGGTCTAGCGCGCGGCATCCACCCCCAGTACCGCGAGGAAGCCCACTAGGGCGCTCTCGAACAGGTCCCCCTTCAGGGGGTGGTCGAGCAGCGCGATGGAGAGGTCTAGGGTGGCCTGGTCCAGCTAGGCCTGGAGCTCCGCCTCGCGGGGGCTACTAGGGGGCTTAGGAGCAGGGCCCGTGTGGGGTATAGCCACTATGGCCGGGGCCTCCTGGGCGCGTGGTGGCGGATGCGGTGCGAGCCGGGCGAGCGTGCTGCGGGCTGGTGGCCGTGGTGCTGCCTGCCTAGTGGTCTGCTTCTTCCAGGGGACCATCCGCGGCGCGCGTGAGGGCGTTGTTAGCGGCGCTAGCTAGACTAGCTCTACTGCTGCTGCTGCTACTATAGCCTTGGCCTCCTCGGCTGCCAGGGCTAGTAGCCCGCGGCCACACTCCTCCATCCGGTCCAGGGCGGCCAGCTGGGTGGTGTTCAGCTGGTGGCGGAGCTGGATTCGCTGGCCAGGCCAGCTACTACGGTAGGCAAAGCAGACTAGGCGCTACCACACCTGGTAGTACTAGCGGTAGGTCTTTGGCCGCAGGTGGATCTGGATCAGCTGGTTCCACATGCAGGGCTCGCGGTGGAAGGTGTTAATCTAGATCTAGTTGAACTCGTTGATCTGGCCGCCCTGGATGGCGTCGTAGGCCTGGCTGACTAGCCGCTGCACGCTCGCGGCGAGCTGGGCTGGTAGTGGCTCCTCGCGGGGATCAGGCGGGCCGCCAAGTAGGGCCACCGCGGTCAGGTCCTGGCCGCGAAGGTACTCGGGCCAGCGGGTAAGCTCTAGCCAGGGCGAGGCCTCAGTTAGGTGTGGATCTAGGACTAGGACCTGGCCCGCGGCCCTCTCCACGGCCACCTCCCCCTCCCGCAGCGCCTGGTCCACGCGGGCCCGGACGAGCTCCGCGGGGGTTAGCGCTGGCTTCTTCTTCATGCCCCGGGCGGCCGTGAGGGCTGCCGTGTAGGTCACCTCAAAGAAGTGGCTCCCAGCCTGGGTAACGTAGAATCGCTGGCAGGATACTACCCGATTCGCGAGGCGGGCCTGCTGCCGGGCCCTGGCCCGGGCGGCCGAGAGCCGGCCAGGCCCCCACGTGCCGTCCTGCTCCTTGTGCTGCGCGCGGCGGTGGCCGTTAGTAGACTCCAGGGTCCAGGCGATGTAGGGGCAGTGCGGGCAGCCGTAGCCCTGGTAGACGGGCAGGCCTGGCACGGGCGGGTCGCCCGTGGTGGGCTGGCGGCCGGGCTCCTGGGCTGGGTCAGCCCACGCCCGCTGGAGCATCGCCTCTAGGGCGGCTTCGCGGAGGGGAAGGGTTGCCGCGGTTGGGTGCGAGTGATGGTGGGTGCGGAGGTGGGTAAGCAAGGTGGAGGTAGTTACTGCGTACTGGCAGCTAGTGGCCGTGCAGATCCAGACCTGGTAGGTAGGGTTATAGAGGAAGAGATCCATGGCTGGATAGATGGATAAATAAATAAATAAATAAATGATTAGCTGCTGTTACTAAACAGGAAGGCGCGTGTAGAAGTTTAGAGAGGATAGTTCTAGTTCGTCGCCTTCCTCCACAGAGCCCTCGCGAGGATCATGCTTTTAGTAGGGGCCGGGTAGGTAGGTAGGTAGGTAGGTAGGTAGGAAAAGTAGGATAAGGGATTAGGGGGTAGTAGATTTCTTAACCTAACTAACGCAGGCAAAACACGCGTTGTTTAAGTCATGCTAGACGCGCGGCGCGTCGCGTGGGGAGGTAGGAAAAAGAAAAGGGGACGAAGGAAGGAAAGAAGCAAGTATAATCAAAGGAAGCAGGTGGTAAGTATAGAGTCGTATCATACACCAAGGAGGAGGAGGAGGAGGATCAGGAGGTAGTAGTGGTGGTAGTAGTGGTAATAGTAACAGCAGTTCGCGTGGAGATAGATGATGGTCATGGTGGTCGTGTAGTTGATCCCTCCTGATCGCGTCGCCGCCACGCACTCACGGGGCGACGGGAGCACGCGGGGGCGCCAAGTGGGGACGATTCGGGTAGAATCACCAATCAGGGGGCGAAGAAGGCGAACGGAGGCGCGTCCGTTCAACCCCTAGGGAGTAGGATCTAATTTATAAAAGCCCTTATTAATAGTAGCTATCACTACTATGTAACTATAAATAAGTCTCTAGTTCAGGCACTTAACCTCCCACGTATTAAGATACGCCCACGAGTCCTTAATAGAGTGGTGCTAAACTAGTACCAAATCACTTACGCTATGCATTTCAACCTTAACATACATGGCCACCAGCAAGACCGTGTATTCACATACATCATTAGACCACAGGAAGATAGTATGATTCTTAGAGATCCCTAGCTATACAACATACGCGGACGGTACTTAGCTAGGAAGGGGTATCTAGATATCTTTACTAAGGGAGGCGAACGAACAAGATGTTAGAATCACGCGAACTATATAATTAGGCCTATAAACATGAAAACGCTACGTATAGCACAGGCCACAGCTCGTTTAATCCACCATTTAATATAGAGCTTAATAGTACTAAATCAGCTACGCATCAGCAGAGTTTCACTAGATAATATTAAAAAAGCACTCTAACTAAAGAAGCACATTAACCTAAAGGATAAGCTACTAAAACACTATTAGTAATAGGTGAACATCTTTAGCTAATAACTAGCTAATAAGCTACCTCTACACCAGCTAGGAATCAACCATAAAATACCACTAAAATAGGACTAGAATAGTATTAAAGAGTCACCACCATACAGCCCCCTCTATAGGATAAATAAGGAGGAGCTACTCTACCTATAAAAGACACTTATAGACCTTCTTAGAAAGAACTTTATATAAGTAAGCTAATCACCCACAGCTACACCAATCCTACTAGTCTAGAAGCCAGGCGGAGGCGTACAATTCTATATTAATTACCACGGGTTAAATAAACACATAATCAAGGATCACTATCCTTTACCCCTAATATAAGAGACACTACGTAATATAGGCCATGCCTGCTAATTTATAAAGCTAGATATTATTACTACTTTCTATAAGATCCACATTTAACCTAGAGAAGAATAGAAGACGGCCTTCCATACATAATATAGACTTTATAAATAGAACATTACCCTATTTAGGCTAACAGGCGCGCTAGTAACCTTCTAAAGATTTATTAATCAGACCCTACGAGAGTATCTAGACAACTTTATATCCACGTACATTAATAATATAATTATCTACTTAAGTAGAACACTAGTGGATCACTAACAAAAGGTTAGCAAAGTACTATAGAAGCTTAAGAACGCAGGACTATAGTATAATATTATAAAATTAGAGTTTAAATAGCACTCTATAAAGTACCTTAGCTTTATTATCCAAGCTAAAAAGGGGGTCCATGTTAATCTAAAGAAAGTAGAAGCCATCAGGGCATGGGAGACACTAAAGTCTATATAGGACGTGCGAAGTTTTATTAGGTTTATAAACTTCTATAGACTATTTATACTATGATTTACTAACATTTCAGCACTACTAACTAGACTAATAAAGAAGGATGCTATTTTTAAATAGAATAATAGCTACTAGTAGGTATTTATAGAATTAAAGGACCTCTTTATTAATACCCTAATCCTCGCATACTTTAAAGAGGGATAAAAAATAGTTATAGAAGTAGATGCTTCTAGCTAGGTAATAGGCATAGTCTTATTCTAGTATAGACCTAATAGAGAGCTATGACCATGTGCCTATTTATCTTAGAGGCTATCTCTAGCTAAGTTAAACTATAAGATTCATGATAAAGAGCTACTAGTAATTATACAAGCCCTACGGGAATAGAGACTAGAGCTAAAGATAGTACCCTAATTCACTATTATAATAGACCATAAGAACCTATGATACTTTGGTAAAGCACAACACCTTAATGAATAATAGATACGTTAGGCAGACCTTCTAATAGAGTTTAACTTTAACCTTTACTACCATCCTAGTAAGCTAGTAGCAAGACTAGATGTATTATTACAACAAAGCTAAGATATGCCTAGTAGTATTATAGATAAAAGGCTTATAAATTACTTTCAGGTACTACTCAAGAGGGTATAGATTAAGACTAGATAAGTAAACCTATAGCTAGCTAAAATAGACCTTAACTTTAAGAAGGATATTCTATTATTTAAAGAACTAGACCTATAAATAGAATAGAGAAAAGTAAGGGCCTCTAATATAGCGTACTAATAAATCTCCTACACTTTATTAGAGGGAGAACGTTAAATCCCTAAGCTAGATATTAAGACAAGCCTATTAGAGTACTATATTAATAACTATAGATTACTCTATTTTAGATAATAAGTATAGATTCTAAAGAACAAAGTCCTACGTATATAGATTATATAGAAGATTTATAATTTACACGTGATAGCATATTCTAGGCGAGACGCTACCTATTTAATACTATCTTAATAGTTTTTCTAGCCTAGAGTAGTAAAAGATGTATAATATTTCCTCTAGAATTACATGGTCTATAGATGGAGCTTGGTATAGCGTGATACTAAGCATAGACTATTAAAACTACTACTAATTCCCTAATAAATCTAGGCTAAGATATTAGTAGACTTTATTATAGGACTACCACCTTCTAGACCCATGAAAGCAATAAATTACATAGTAATAATAGACTAGCTAATAAAGAGTATTATCTTAATTAGAATAAAGAATATAATTATAGAGAACGTAGTAGAGGTATTCCTTATATATTTTTATATATACCATGAAGTTCCACTAGCTATTACAAGTAATTATGGACCCTAGTTTATAAGCACATTCTAGGGCAGGGTCTATAAAAGACTATTAATTTAATACTAGTTATTAACTACTTTCCACCCCCAGATAGATGGCGCAACAGAACGTACTAACTAAGAGATTAAATAAATCCTATGTATATTCACTACGTACGCGCAAGATAACTAGAAAGACCTACTACTAATAGTTACTATTACTATTAATAATCACGACACTACCTTAATAGGAATCTCACCCTTCTTCTTTATACATGGATATTATATTAACCTAATTAGCTTAGATAAAGTAAGCTAGCTATAGGACGTCCTAATACCACTAAGAATAGTAGGTAAAACATTCATAAATTACCTATAAGAAGCTACTAATTAGGCCTAAGCTACTATTACCTTCACGCAGGCTTAATAAGAGGAGTAAATAAACTAATAATAATAGGCCGCCCCCATGTATAAGAAAGATAATTAGGTTTAGTTAAACCTCTAAAACATACACATATAATAACTATTAAAGAAACTAGACTAGCTACATGCACGCTATTAGGTAGTGGATATCCCATCACCACACACTATTTAGCTTAATATACCTACTAGCATACACCTAGTCTTTTATATTAAACTAGTCTGCCTAGCTACTATAGACCTATTTCTATCCTAAATTATGGATAATACGCAGCCACCCCTACTACTTATTAATAGAGAAGAGGAATATGAAGTTAAACACATCCTAATAGTATAATGTAGGAAGATAGGATAAGGATATTATAATAAAGTACTAGTAAAATAGGTAGGGTGGGCACGCGAGACATAGATAAAACTAGATTTTATCTAGGACTATATAGCACTAGATATCTTTAAGAAGTAACATGGCCCTATTTAAGAGGTAATTTAGCGCTAACTTAATGATAATAACCATGTTGTCGTACCCCTTATGAGGTTTAGACTAGGAGGGGGGTATTATCATGGGCTAGTACCTAATACTAGGCACGGGCTAGCGCCCGCACACGTGACCATGGCATGTTAACGGGAAGAACGCAACTAGAGAACTTCTCTTTCTTCAAGCTTTTCGTACACAGTTCGTGGCCTAGCTAGATTGAATATAAGTCCGGCTTCAGCCCTTCACACTGACTATCCTATAACTATACATATGGTGAGGGTCTTACAAATATCTCTTAATAAATAAGGTTATATTAAACTAAAATATAAAGTATAGAGAACTAATAGAGGTTCTATAAAGTAGGACTAACTATATATAGAGGATTAACTATCACATGGTGATGACCTAAGCGGGACATAAGCAGGGCGAGGCCCGTGACAGAGTGATGCCTAACGATGCCCAATAAAGCTGAAGATCGCGCATGACAGAACGACATAGTCGCCGAACTATGGCGGCGTGGAGAACGCAGGACAGCAGGCAACTGTCCCGATATAACAGGGTATATAGCTCTACACCTTTTGAAGCAGACGATACACCTGATACAATCAACCAGGATGTCCTCTTGGCCAACTGCCCTGAACAGAAGGGACAATCTGCGTATCGACCCAAAATATATTATATTTCATGCCACACTAACCTAAACCCTTCGACATGATCTTTCTCCAATGTTATTCGCAATGTAGCAGCACTATTACGAGATAAGGGATACAGTACTCGGCTAAAGCACATCATATCATGCGTCAGCTTCGATACGCCAAGTCCAGCGTGTTATTGACTGTTTCGTTTTCTGTGACGGCCATCACCATCCATGGAAGGAGCCTAGTCATCGTTGAGAGAGCGAGGCTGCTCGGGCCCAGGCTGCATGTAGCAGTCCTCTTTGACAACGAGAACTCTCCAATGGTCATTATGGTCAAGTTCTCCCTGGATCCCATTCTTCTTCTTCTTCTTGCATATGTTGAGGATAACCTGGGCCCCGTCGGCAACGTTGTTCCATGAAGGTAGGGTTTTATTGTCGGGGTTCTATCGGGTTATCTCTCAAGTTAGCATCCAGTAGCCCAATTTCGCCTCCATATTCAAAGAGCACTTACATCGTTACACCACCTAACCTTGGTCCCGTTCGCGCAGACAGCTGTCTGGCAGCCGCCACCTCTGAGCCTCGGCTTACCCTCCTCAGTTCGCTCCTTGCGCAGCCAGTCGATGGAAAGGATGTACTAAATACTTATAACTAAAAGCATTCAAAGCTGCTCCAAGCAAAGTTACAACTTTTTGTCGAAGATAGAACCTTGAAACCGCACGATTTTCAACCTTTGAAGAAAGTTTGCAACTGGTTATGACCTCTTCGACCAGTGGGATATCGTGATCAGCCTCTGTTACCAGATTCGGTCAAAGAGCTTGTTGCACAAGGTTGCCCTCCCATTCGCCCGGCTAGATTTTCTTTGTTGGCCCCCTGCGAGACTTGTGTTTGATATCACTGGTTGCCTGCGTCTTTGTCCTAAGATTGGGTGGCGTTGCTCCTCGACCGCCAAATTCGGAACATTGCAGACGCATTGATCGTTGCTGATGCCGATTGAACTTCTCGTTCGTCTCCGCTGGCTGACTGCGGTTTCCCTTCTTATTTGAACTTCAAAAAAAAAAAAAAAAAAAAAAAGGCTGGGCGCTACGTGATTGAGCCCAGCGAAAATGAATGCGGGTAGAGAGCATGGATGTACCCTCTGTGTCCGCAACGCGGGTTGCTTTCGTGCAGTTTCGGGGGAGCGAGCGGACTTCACATTATATGCCACCTTACGAGCATCAATAGCACGAAATCGGAGGGTAACAACCGATTTTGATCTAAATACCACTGCCCTTGTTTCACTATAGAGGGGCTTTACTTTGATTCTCCATATTTGATTGGTTGGCGGTTTTCCATCTAGCGGGTGTCAGCCGCCTGCGCAGCAGCACTGACGGCTCCAAGGTCCGAGTGTAGCATGTATCTAGCAGGGTATGGACATCTGACTCTGCTAAATGGGCTGCATTTGTACCAGTTGACTCTATTCTTAATATCAGTATATAAGCTTCCTTGTCTATGGCGTCTCATTTGGCCGGTCATTCGACGACTACCGTGGCCATTGCTATATACCATTTTCCCAGTTTCCGTACAGTAGTGTCGCGAAGTGCATCGAAGCAGGACGAATATCCATTTGGAATCAACATGTTGGCAAGGAATCTTCGTCTAGAGTGTTTGATTTCAAAGCATGGGGCCGATTCTCGCTTGGCGTCTTGGTATCCAAGCACATCCCTGTACATATAAGTTACTCTTCCCGAGCGTACAAGCCAGCATTATTCAACTGCAGTAGTCTGAAGAGCAGCTTGTCCTTGCCCAATACGAGGGAACATAAACATAATGTCACATCTCCAATACTTTTCCTACCCCGGCTTCGGCGAACATATGCGCGAGGCCTTGTCATACAGCCAAGCTGTCATAATTGGTGATCTAATCGAGATCTCCGGACAGGGTACGCTTAGTGCATTGTTGCTTATCCGTTCAGTCTCCTGAATACAGACCACGGCTGATGGATATAGGTGGCTGGGACCCTGAAACACGAGTGGTCCATGCGGATTTATCGACCGAGTTCCGCCAAGCGTTCGCCAATGTCGAGCTGGCGCTGACACATGCTGGCGGAAAAGGCTGGAGCCAGGTCTACAAACTTCGCATCTACGTCCTTGATAACACGCCCGAAATCTTCGAGTTGCTGGTGCAGAATCTTAAAGAGTGGATGCCGGACCACAAACCTCTTTTGACGTGTGTTGTGGTCAAGGACCTGGGTTTGGAGGGAATGAGGATTGAGGTTGAAGCGTGTGCGCATCTTGCCGATTGAAATGATGGATATCTTCGGGTGAAATGGTCTTGTGTGTCCATGCAGTAGCTGGGTAGCTTTCCGGGGAGTGACAACATGTGTGTATGTATTGAAGGTCCTTGCACTCTGGCTACCAGTATATAGCTTGAATTGGTGCTTTTGAAGTTAGGCTTCTAAAGCGTACCCAACATGCGGCCATAACCTCTGAGATCATTATTCTCATGCAGTGAATCGGAGATGTAGTTCATCTAAGACAGAATCACAATAATCACACATGTACTCAAGAGCATGGCTTGTCTCTAGCGCGAATCCCGTTGTCTTAACCCATCCAATCGGTTAATAGACATTTGGGAGTTCCTTGCACGCGGACTTTCTAGTCTGTACATTTCCCACTGGGGTAGGGAGAAGCACGGCAGCATTTCTGTTGTGAATGTGTACCCATCGCGGTTCAAAATCCCGATCGTCATCTCGTCTAGATGTAGACATATTCCGCTACGGCCTACCGCGAAGGTTGTCTATTTGTTGCCATCGCCTACTACAAAGTCGCACAGGATGTTTGAAACATGCTCTCTCGTTGGATCACAGCGAATATATGAAGTCGGGATAGTGATTAGCAATTGGGGGAGTCAGAATTCCGAACAGCTCGATATTATTATCCCGAATGCAGGAGGAATTCGGATTAGAGCACGATCATGAAAATAAAGGACATCAGCGCTAATCCACTAAGGACTGGGGGAGCAATGGAGGTTCCTGCACCATCATCACCAACCTGGGCTGTCTCGGCCGGCGGCAGATCAGTACCGGAGGCTGTTGGAACTGGGTCTGAATCCGACAGGTCGGAAGAGCTCTCTGGAAATCCAAATCTGACGAGTCCGAAGAAGTCTCTGGATAAAATCAAAAGGTTCTTTCCTCAGACAGCGGGTTGTCAGTTGGCCGCGTGGTAGTGGTGGTTGTACTGCGAGTGGTACTGCGAGTGGTCGTGGTTGTGCTGGTGCTTCTGAGCGTCGTCGTCGTACTTGTATGAACTCAGCGCCTTACTGTTCGATGCTTGTAAACTCAGGCTGGTCGATGCCCGACCGATGATGAAGTGAGTCCCAGAGAGCTCGTTATGACTTCCACCCGAATGCCCCAATACACATCAATGTACCAGTAGACGTAGTAGTGCCAGTAGAAATAATTGGTGTAGGAATAGCACCCTCCTGGCGGGCAGCACTTGGGTTCCCGTTCAAGAGGACGCAATCGTGACGTGTACCGGCCCGTACAGCGTTTGACTCCTGGCTTGATGCACCCTCCATGGCAGCATCAATCCCCCGTCTAGCAGGTGTGCGAAGAACCGCAGCAGACATAATCCGTGTATATTATGCAGCTACCATCAGGGCAGCAGGCATCGGCCGGGGGTGCACAGCATCGACCGGTGTCTACTCGGGCGGATGTTAGGTACCTAGTCGCGGAGTATGGTTAAATCACATCGACCCTCCCTATATGGTGCGTAGCAAGCCCGCGGCTCCAGCGAACGCCTAAAAAGATCTTCCGCCTTGAGACCAGGGACCCTCGTTGTGTTTACATGCCCTGCATCTCCTAAACCGTCGACAGTGCTGTACAGCTCGTGTACTCGGAATTCTGCATGGCTAACCGCTGCAAGTCATAGAAACGCGAAGATGAAAGGAGGATGTATGCTTTCGTGAGGTCCTGCTTAGGTTATGGGGCACTTCTCACTCCCAACGCCTCAACCTCGAGCGGGGACGACCTCATAAATGACACTTGTGGGCAAGAAGAAGTAAATGTGGCTAGGCATTCAATACGAGGCTGCACTCATCTCGTTGCTGTGGTTGGATACATTCCCTCATCAGGCGATCCAAGGCCGAGAATTCCGCATATGCGCAGCGTACCAGCGTTTCTGTCCAAGGGGAAGCGCGCATTTTGGTCTTGGAGCCTCATGTTCATCCCAGTGATTCTCGCCATTTTCCCAAAGGCCGAGCGCCCCGATGCACTCCAGTTACCTGATCCTTTTATGCATACGAGTGGCACAGCCTTTAGCGGGAGGATGGAGAACAACGCAGAAAAGAAACCCAACCTCAGGCTAGGATTTCACTGGTTCTATCCGATGCTTGGAAGAGCCCTTGGTCACTTGGTGCTGGATATATGTGCGTGAGGATGCTGTTTACCATCCATATATCCCAATGTCTGTTCAGCCGAATATATCTCGTGTGACAGTTGGATGCGACCCTTGAACGCTACAAGGGGGAAGAATGGTCAGTATATCGAACATTCCACGAAGTGACGACAGTCGTAGACAGCTCGCTATGTTTTGTAGTACCAATCTCCAACAGCTCGCTGAAGTCAGGCTACGCTCAGTACTGAGACTTGGCCCCGAGATAGCTCCATTATCATGCTAAAAGATAATCCCAGAGCGCCTGAACTCCTCAAAAGCCTCAATCCACCCCTCGATTGGGTCCCGCTGCTCTGTAAAACCCACAGACCTCAACCTCTCAGAACTAAACTGCCGATCAAACTCGAGCCACCAGCCAACCGAATCCAACTGCTTATTCCCAGCCCCAACGCCACACGTCAACCCCTTCGGCTTGCCATTCTCAGAGAAGAGATGGCGGTATTTGTCGATGTACTCACTTGGTGCCAGCGACGCGTCCTCATCCAGGCTGGGTTCTTGAGCAGGATCCGACCTCGGACCAACCCCTTTCAACCCGAACCACGCGGCAATCGCCGGCCAGATATCACTCGCACTGATCGGCTCATCCTGATCAAGCATGTTGACTATCTTCCCTCCACACGTCTCCCCGTTCAGCGCTGCGTAAATTGCAATCCGACCGAGGATCTTTCCAGAAACAGGGGTATAGAGCGATCTATACCCCGCTTCACTCCCGGGAAATGGGACTTCAGCCTCCTTGTCACTATCGCGATGATTACACGCGTAAAGAGAAAGGTACTGCGCCCAGTGTAGTGCAAGGGAAAACGCCGAGCCATTTGGTGTGAAGCCAACCACGGCGTCGGGGCAGATTTCGGTCCACGTCCACTTCCGGATGCGACTCGCTTCCGTGAGGATCCGTCGGAACCAGGGGTATGCGACTGTACGCGCGTACTCTTCAGGTAGGCCGTCGGCGAGGGATTCGTGCAGCGGTGGTGAGAAGATTCCGCCCGGGATGTAGATGCCGTAGCCCTGCATGGGGGGTGAACTTAGTGATTATTGCTGGATGGGGTCAAATGCGTACTCGAGATCCACCGGGATAGATGAACGATTTCAGATTGGGGGAGGTGATGTTCAGTGCTGAGGCGACGCGGCGCATCATGTTGCAGTTGCGGGTGCATTCTTCCATATGGTCTTCGTTGAAGGCAGTGAACACTGTCGCCTGTCAGTATGGAGCGATTACAATTAGCTATCGAGTGAGGAAGGTGACGTACCAAAATAAAATACATGGGTTATACCAACTACTCCAGGAACTTTCTCCTGGAGTTGCTGCGCCAGCTCCTCGCCGGTCCCTTGCAGCAGATCGACTCCCGAGACGATCTGTAATAAGGGAGTTTCCGGGCTGGATGGCCAGTGCAGATCATCCTTGGAGACGTGGCGGTTTAGCACTGCCGTGACTTTGGTGAATGGAGATGAGGCTGGATAACCAGAAAGCAGCTGGTTGACTGTCGCCCATCCGAGCAGTCCGGCCGCCCCAAAGACGATTGCGTGGGTTGGCTCTTGGGCCATCGTGTCGAAATCTTTTTGTCTGGAGAAATCGATTGAGCGGAATGCGGATCCAAGGGTTTAAGTGCTTTACTCCGTACTTGTCAAGCAATCATCATTGGAACTCATAATGACTCATCACGCTAGCAACTTGCAAACTGTGGATCCATACCACATTCTCTCCCCGACTACGTCTGGACCCCATAGTCTACCTAGTAAACCTGCACAACAGCATACAGCTTGTGGTCGAGAGCTGGAATCCCATTAAACAACACGCGCACATTCGTCCCCTTACCACTCGTCCGCGCAATATCCTGATGCGCCTCGCTCGAAAGCCTCCCGCCGCTGTAGTACTCCGGCAGCAGCTTGACGGCCGTGTCGTGGCCGACGAGATCGACCTGGGCGTCGCCCCACGGGTGGTAGTTGTGCACGCCGACGACAACGTTGAAGAGCTCGCCGTTGGAGGAGTGGAAGCGCAGCGCGCCAGATGTGCCGCTGCTACCCATTGTCAATGTGTGCTGGCCGTCGTGCTCAGACCAGATGCCGCCGCCGCCGTAGTGCCAGGCGGCTTTTTCGACGATCTTGAGAGCGTTCTCGGTCGCATTGACTATGATCACGGTGATGCTGTAGGACATCTTTGGTATCTATTAGCACCTGGTTGAATTTGACCTTGGTGGGAGACGAACTTTGATGGGATTGTGCGGTTTTCTGCTTGAGGAGGTTCTTGAGTGCTTGAGTGATGTATTGATTGATCTCGTGGGTCCGAATGATGGGACTCGAGGTGTCTTTTATAGACGAGGGTTGACGCCAAATGGTGTTTGCCACAAGCGTATGGTAACTTCAAGAGGCGCAGCTGAAGTGTTTGTCCTGTACTTATCTTTTGCGTAATTCCCACGCAGTCAGGCAGCCCCATTCTGGATCGCAAACATTCTCGTCGTCACCTAGAGCGATGCAGTTTCTCCGTTTCTTCCATCAAATACCGCCCCTGCACATCCGCCGCGACTCAGTCAGCCAAACGACAAGGAGAGCAAAACCATTCACTAAGTTGAGCAGGTGCAGATTGCCTCTGTGGCGAGCACATAGCTCTCCTCTCGATAGGTCACAATTCACTCATTTCAATCACAAAACCCCACTACCGTGCATATTCAGTTGCTTAATGTGGCTGGCTGTAGGGCCTCGACCGAACTAGTCGCTTTGCCCACGTCAAGCCAACCACGTTTCGTGCATGTCAGATGAAACACAAACATTCTTCCCCACAAAACAGCTAGTGGGAGAAGAACGCACGGTCCCTGTTCAGCTAGCCACGGTTCTTGTTCACGAGAAAATGCCACTCACGGCACCTTCGATCGTATGGGGTAACGTCGCTTTGTGGTGGGCAGCTGAGAGGGCGACAGGTTGCAGTGGCTGGCTGCGATATTTCATGCAACTGGCCAACATACTGCCAGGAGGAAATCGCTATCCTTCCGCCAGCCACTGGTTCATTTGGTCTTTGCCGGGGTATACTGTTGTCGCGACGTGTAGTTCGGCCGAGGGTAGCAGAGGGCCGTGGGATGGCGGCTTGCTCCGTTCGTCGTGGCGATGAATATGCATTTTCCTGCCAGGTCAGGAACAATAAACTAGAAAGCGATGCAGTGTTTGTGATCCACAGCTATTGAACTCATACAAATGTTTCTCAGGGACTCAAATCCACGAAAGGCATCTGGTAAATGTAAATGTAGAGAGCTTAGCGACGACTACCACATGGCTGCAGTATCTGGTGAGGCCTCGTTTACCTGTAGATGACATCCATTGACTGCTATGAGTTCTCCAAGTCTGACCACCTCAGTGGATACTTCCTGATAAGCTTGCTCCTCCAGTCGTCCATTATAATAGTGCCGTCTTTCCACAGACCTCTTTGTTGCCTGTTTTCTCTCTATTCCCCTTGCGGATCTCAAAGTGTTTCGGCCAACAGCTCCACGGCCATTTCCAGGGTATTGTGCGCCGCGCAGCGGGCCGCTTCGTCGTCCCCGCGAATCTTGTGGTAAGGGCATGCAATCTTTTTCTGAATGAGCTGTCTCATGGTCGCTTCCGTGGCTGTAAAAAGGACGCGGACGTATCGTCTTTGGACTGTAGGACCCGTAGGAGAAAGGCACCAGCATGTCATCTACATGATCGTCACCTCCTCCAATCTTGTTAATGACGATATAGAATTTTGCATCTACCTTTTTTAGCTCCTCTTCGTTGTCAAGCAGCCGAACCAGCAAATCCTGAGGGTTGTTTGCGCCACTCGCCTTGCAGGTCAAGGCTGCCGATTGCAGGTACCAGGCGTCGCTGTCGGCGAACTGCCAAAAGATCGACTTGCCAGGGCAACGACCCAAGTGTCCGCTTTCTTACTTTTGAGGAAATAAAAGGCCACGAGTTGTGTGGAGGAGAGAACCTTGGTTGATTCTGCGGAAAGCAGATCATCAAGATGGTTCACCGAGGAAACCTCATAGCTCTTTCCCGATGCTCGCCGCCCACAAATCCCCAGCAGAGGCGGATTGACTGGCCGTCCCAGGCCGTGGACTCGGGTTGCGAGACGAGCCACTCGCCCGTTCGTGGCACCTGCTGCTGGCGAATGTTCGGGTCGTACTTTGGCCCATTCGACAACGCCTCGGGCTCGCGTAGACGATCTCGCATGTTTCTCCCCGCCTCAACGACAGCTGGGTCGTGACCAGCGTCTGCTCCGACAGATAGGAGATCATTGGTCAATGATATGTCTTTCATAGCTGCGTTTTACTGCGCATTCTGGTTCAGGAAGAACTCGTCTCAGGGTAGAACGGACGTGTCGTGGAATTTGAGAAAGTTCCGCGTTGCAGGCTCAGCTGAACTGAGCTCCTGGATTTCGTTCCTCCTGCTTCGATCCATTTGCTACCCACTGATTAGTAAATTGGTATCCAGTCCACGACCCTGAAATCTCCACCGTGAAATTGCCATCGGGCCTGATTATGGCAAGCGGATGGTCCACCTAGGGAGTCGCAAGTAAAAGCAAAGACGAGCAAGGCATTCGGGGTAATTGGCGCCAGGGAGCGAGTAAGAGTGAGACTCCCTGTAACATTTTCAATACTGCCTCCGTATTGTAGTTTTGCCCCACGATGGTGTCGTGTCCTCCCCCTCGCCATGACGCTGGAGCCCACCACTTTATCTGCCAGTTGTCCCCACCGTTCTCCCATCAGGGCCCGGAATTGTGGCCAGGATTCAGAGCGAGCCAATTAAGGCTACCACCCTGGAGGTGCCTGACCGAACATGTCGGAACTATGACGGCTGCGACGCGTGTCAGCCCATTTGACCCTTCGCAGTCGTGAGATATCCGTTTCGCCCAGATTGTGAGGTGGAAATCTTGGCCGCGCCACCTAAAGCTTCCTCAGATCCTATAGTATCAAGAGATTTTAGAGCTCAGGCTTAGTTGTTTCTAGTTATCAATAAAGCAACATCTATACTTGATTTAAAAATCCTGCTCCATAACATTTCCCTTGATTTTCTTACTCTTCTCAAGGGAGACGCTAAGGAAGAGTGCGCGGCAAGTGGGCCCTGATCTATTGTCACGGAAGTGTTCAGACCACAAATAGTAATAGCAACGTGGCATAGGGTTGAGACTTGTCCGTTCGTCATATTTTCGGCTTTCCGGATGAGAAACACGAACAAGGGGATGCCGTGAGTCAATGTATAAACATAGGCCAAGTGTTGTGCTAATCCGAAAAACTTTAGTTCAACCTTGAATGTGGGTTATTCATTGACTATAGCGAATCAAGGAACCTGAATATGTATATGTCTAAGCTATTGGATACTTGAAGGACTTGGGATCAGCTCAAAACGCTACGTGCAACCAATATAATATAGGTGTGATCAGGAAGACTCGATCATGTGGGATTCTACTTGCTCATGGTTGCTCCGATAGTTAGCAGGTTGATCGAGACCTCGTCGGTAGGACTCGGGATATCGATCAGATTGATATCCACTGCCTACCTCGGGTACACCAAGTCCTCCATTAAGGAGGCAGACAGGCACGGTTGGAAGGACTTTTGATTCATTCGTTCGATGTTTGCCAATTCAAGCCGGCAATTGAAGTCACCGTACTGCCTTAATCTATTGACATCATGCTCCGGTAGCTATGACGAGCGACTCTCGGCTGGCGTTTCAGGTCACCTCATGCCATATAGTATTTTTGATTCAATTCCACAGGCGGTGGGCGCGGAGAGTGTGCACGAACGGGTGGTTTAGCATCCCGCAGCATTTCTGCAAATTCTGTAAGTGTGGTGCTCTCCGTCACTTCGACTTCCTAGGTTTGCTATGGGCTGCTATGGGCGATCTCCAAAACCGAGGTCGGTGAGGGAGCTCAAACACGAGCAGAACTAGCATAACCCTTTCTAAGAGATGGGCGCCATTAAGCTAAGTGTGGGCGGGACATGGATTGCTCGACATCCCATCTTACAGTATCTACTGCAGTCAGTCAGACCACTTATGGTCCCATCCACCAAGCGGAAGGGGGGAAGGCCAATCGACACGCAGATGAGCGACTGACGCAATCAACCCTCGAGCAGCGCTTCAACCAAGTGCCTCGCGTTCAAATCACACCAGACGTCGGACCTGACCCATTTCTCGAGTCCAAGCAATTCTAGCTGTATTTCCCGGGAAACAAGGGTCCCGCTGTAGGTAGTGAAGGAATTTGGGTTGGGCGCACGATCTGCTTCAGAGGGACGGCAATTGAGACCAGTCCGGCTGGCGATATAGAGGAGAATGCGTGACTTGATTTTGGACTGTCGAGTCGATATCTAGCACGTCCTTGACGGGGCGGAATGCAATGCTTGACTGCTCATTGGAGAAGGTCAGTGGGAGATGCCGGATCTAGGCTCGGCTCGGTGTATGGGGTGGCCCAGAGTCATTGCCGCCGCAGGAGATGGCAAGGCCTATGGAATACACCGGATCAGTAGCTACGACGGGTTGCCGGGTACAGTCAGCTCACCATGCAGCCCTGGAAGACAACCGGCTCAGTGCATATCCTCGGCCCCCGAAGTCTCCTCTGAGAGTAACCGCCAGCGAGCGCAGCGACGGCAGCTCCTGCCCCTTTCGGCAATTTCCGTAGCCTGGCTCTCCAGAGTCTGGCCAATAGGAATCTTTGCTTTGGCTGCGGACAAGAATCTGGGGAGGGTTCCTGGAATAAGATGACGTCGGGTTCGGAAGATGGAATCCGTGGTCGCGGACGAGGATTTGGAGATGATCGGCTTGGAGGTTCCACTTCTCCAGGTTACGTGGACAGTGGTTGCTTCCCCGTGGGGAGGCACGCGAGCCCGGCGCGCCTGCCATTGCATCCGATACCTCGAGGTCGCGGGTTACTCTGTACCCTTCTGTATCACCATCTCGCTGTTCTTGTGTTTCGGCAGCCCATGTGTGATGTCAGTGTGCCAGGATTCGGCGCGAGGCTGCTGGAATCTTCTAATCAGTGAAACGCACTATCGCACATCAGGTTTAGACCCAACTTAAACGCGCATCCCCAGCCAATCAGCCGTGTTGGATATCTCAGAAGCCGAAAGGTCTCCACTTTCCCATGGGTTGACCCCGGAGTATCCCCGGATAAGGCACTGCCCACTTCCATCCCTGTTCTGGGAGCTCTCCTGACGCTGGGTGAGGCGCCAACCGGGTGCTACCAGCTTCTGTGGACCGGCCTTTGACCGGCTTCGCACTCGGCCTCTTCCCGGTGCCTTAAATTCGCTCTGCTTTCCGTCTCTCATTGCTTTTGTCTGGACCAGCTGAACGGCCGATTATTTTTTCTCTTTCTTTATATCTTCATCTCATCATGGCGGACAAGGTCGAGCCCACCGATACCCAAATCACACCTCACACCTCGGTCCGAGACAGCCAATCGTCAATCAAACACAGTGCTCACCATGAAGAGATCACTCGGCAGAGGGAGCCTTACGGCCCAGCCGGGCTCAAAGGTGTGCTTGCCAACCCGTTTGTCTTCATGTGTGCCGCCTGTTCCACCCTCGGTGGTCTGAGTTTCGGCTACGACCAGGGTGTCATCTCGGTCACCCTCGTCATGGACCAGTTCCTGGAGCGCTTCGTCGAGATCGCCGACGGCCATCCGGGCTCCGGGTTCTGGAAGGGGCTGATGACGGCCATGTTGGAGTTGGGGGCCTTTGTCGGCGCTCTCAACCAGGGTTGGCTAGCGGATAAGATTTCTCGCAGATACTCCATCGTCGTCGCCGTCATCATCTTCATTATCGGAGCCGTCCTGCAAACCGCCGCTGTGGACTACGCCATGCTCACTGTCGGCCGTACCATTGGGGGTATCGGCATCGGTATGCTGTCCATGGTTGCCCCTCTCTACATCTCCGAGATCAGTCCTCCTGAAACCCGTGGTGCACTCCTCGTGCTTGAAGAGTTCTGCATCGTGTTGGGCATTGTCATTGCGTACTGGACAACATATGGCACCCGGTACATGGCCGGCGAGTGGGCTTGGAGACTCCCTTTCCTCTTGCAGATGGTACCTGCCTTTGTCCTGCTGGCTGGTGTCATGGTCCTCCCATTCTCGCCCCGATGGCTGGCCTCGAAACAACGCAACGAAGAAGCCCTCGCGAGTCTCAGCAAGATCCGTCGATTGCCCGCCACCGACCACCGTATTCAACAAGAGATGCTTGACATTCAGATCGAGGTGCGCTTCCACCAGGAGCTAAACGCCGAGAAGCATCCCAACCTGCAGGGTAACGGCCTCACATCGGCGATTATGCGGGAATTGGCCGGGTTTGCAGACTGCTTCAGGAGCGGATGCTGGAGACGCACACAGGTCGCTGTCTTTGTTATGTTTTTCCAACAGGTTTGATTCACCATTTGTCACTTTCTCCGGGAGTATTCTAACTGCAGCAGTTCGTCGGCATCAATGCTCTCATTTACTACTCTCCAACTCTATTCAAAACTATGGGCCTCGAGTATGACATGCAGCTCCTCATGGGCGGTATTATCAATGTGACTCAACTGGTCGGAGTCGTCACCAGTGTTTGGACGATGGACGGTCTCGGTCGTCGCCCTCTTCTTCTTATCGGAGCTGCCATCATGGGCATCTCTCACATCATAATCGCCGCTTTGGTCGGCATCTACTCGGACGATTGGCCTGCTCACCGACCGCAAGGCTGGACCAGCGTTGCCTTCTTGTTCTTGTACATGCTTGCTTTCGGAGGTACCTGGGGCTCAGTTGGATGGGCTCTGCCTTCTGGTACGTACACAACCGCCATGCCGTCACAGAATCGGATCTAACAAGCAACAGAGGTCTTCTCGTCCTTCCTCCGCGCCAAGGGTGTCGCCCTCGCGACTTGCGGCAACTGGTTCTTCAACTTCATCATCGTACGTCCATCCCACTCTTTTATTCACCACTTACTGTCTCTCTTCCGTAACTAACAAATGCAGGGCCTCATCACACCCCCTCTGATTCAAGACACGGGCTACGGTGCGTACGTCTTCTTCGCCGTCTTCTGCATTCTGGCCTTTATCTGGGCCTACTTCTTCGTTCCCGAAACCAGCGGACGTACCCTCGAGCAGATGGACGCCGTCTTCAAGGATAACTCGAGCAGCGCGGAGCGGGCTCGACGCAGCGCGATTGAGAATGAGCTGATGGAGGCGCAGCATGGGCCTATTGAGGCATAGAGAACATACCTTGGATTAGACCATGTATATATATGAGAAATGAGATCTCTTCTCAATTGACCGAGTAACATTTCCGACGATCATAGCACCATTATTCGCGCCGAAGACAGAATCTAGAATCCAGACGAAGCAGAGGCATCCCCTTCAGGCCTGATTCTTATCAAGCATCCTCACAATCTCCGCATCACCCTCTCCCCCTCCATCCACACCCTTAATCAAACCCCTATACCGCTCATCTCTAATCCCAAGTCGTACCTCAATACATCTCCGGATGACTCACAACACCCATCGAAAAAAGCTCGGATAAATATCTACCTCAACCCCATCGCGGACAGCCTTGCCGATCTGAAAGACCGAGAGCGTCTGCACGATGGCAACGTAACTATTTGAGTCAACAAAGACACGTCCGGGGCAGATACGGCGTCTGAAATCGAAGACGAGGCTGTGTGGGTCGAGCTCGGGCGAGGGACCCAGAAAGCGTGCCGGGTTGAATGTTTCGTGGTCGCTGTATGTGCTTACGGCATGGCAGAAGGCCCTGTTGCACGGTTGCACCCGTTAACCAGTCCTCCCATTCCAGCCCCTATGCTCCTATAATCCGTGCATGGAGGAGAGGAGAAGGGAGTAAATACCGAATATTTGGCAAAACAACCGAACCAGTTGCAATCCGATCCCCGCGCCTGTTCCCTGAATACCTCTGCAGTGCACTGGAAAGTCGCGCCGGGAAACCACGAGGGTATAAGCCGCAGTATAGGCAGCGAGTCAACGAGCCACGGCCCGGGTCGAAGGGCGATCGAGAACTTCTCCACCGCTTTATGTGCATTGTCGACGAGGGGGTCCGTACCGTCGTGCGATGGAGTAGCCGTAGGTTATGTTGATGATCATCCCGCCGGCCAGACTGGTGCGGTCGCCAACTCAATCATATATCCGATACCAGTTGTGTTTGAAACACGGAATGAATAGGGAGTCCGGTTGGTGAACATACCGTCTCACACTCGCAAAAGCATCATCCGGCCTCTTCATCTTCTCAAGCTAAGCAAGAACCGTCGAACCTCGTCCTCGACTAGACCATGAAATCTTGCAACACTGGTCTTTCCGCCGATCTCACGAAGCATGGCTTTTCGATAACTGTGGCAGCATTGTTCGAGAGGAGGGTCATAAATTGCCTCAGCCGCATCTGTTTTCTTAGAACCAGAACTCATTCATGGATGCGGCAGGACTGTGGATAGGAGATTGGATGGGAGACAGAGTCTAAGGACGACGTACAATATCGCAAACGTACTCGCCGGCCTCTCGGAGTATTTTGCGGCCCGCTTCTCCAGGATGTCGGATAAGACCTTTGCGTCGTTGATAATTATCAGCTGTTGGCCGAGAACTGAGACTGTGCTTATTGGGCCTTTGGTCGAGTGTTAAATCGAAAAAAGATTAGCTTGGAGTGGCCAGCTACCATGAAGCTCTTTATGTTTGGCCCAGTGCAGCCAGTCCGGCGTTCTTTCAGGCGGGAGATGGCGGATGTTGCCGAGCAGTGGAAGGGGTTTGGGGCCTGGGGGTGGTGCTTTTAATGGTGAGACCAAAGCACGTTTGAGCAGGTATATCCCTGATCGGGCAATGAGAGAAAGAATCAGATACATATATCTTAATCCGAATAGTTATGCAAGTTCCTCTCTATAGTAGGCGCTGAGTGAATATATGGAGTGGAGGCCTTGATCGTACTACCGAAACTACAAGTTCTGTGAGTCAACAAACTGCATCTGCGCTCGCATCTTCCTTTCGCGCAGTTCAAACAAACTATGGAGTATGGCGCAGAGGACACGGGCAAGAACTGCACAAGGCATCCAAAGACAGAGGAATGGCAGCGTCCGGGGCTGTGTCAAGCTTGGAGTCGAAAGGGGTGAAGATCGCCGGGTACCGCGTCTGCACTGTCAAGCCTCACTCCCTCCCACTTAAATGGGCACGAATACAACTTGATGGAGTTGCATGGGAAATTCGACCGAGAATGGGAAAAAGGCGCAAGAGATCATCTTGCAGAGGCTCCTTACGTATTCTGGGTGCCTGGGCAAAACTCTGCCTTGTCGATCGCACTTCAGCCACGTCCGAGCTTTTGGGTCTGACTATAAACTTAGTCCTTTATTTGTTAGACACTCGAACGTGCTTCAAAGTGCCCAGCCTGCAGACCGACGAACGACTAAATCCAGGCGTTCGGTTCGGTTGCGGGACAGCGATCTGCGCAAGGGGCCCCATACACGCCCATCTCAGCCTCATCTCTCGACAATGGTGGCTGATGCCTCCGTCCACGGTCAACTATCCGCAGCCCTTCGCGTGTCTTGAGAGTCTGCCCTTCTTTTTTCCGGGAGTATTTAGAACCGCCCGTATCGCTTTATTCTTTACCAAGCACTTGCATTCTTTCCCTGTACTGTCCTTTTCACGGGCGATCTTGACAATCAAGATGGAAACCGCAACGACACCAGCCCCTCCCCCACCGACGGACATCATGATCGGCTGGATCTGTGTCCTCCAAGCAGAATACCGCGCCGCTATAAGCATCCTGGACGAACGGTACGACAGCACAGCCCTCGTCCGCGGGCAAGGCGACAAAAACCACTACGTCCTCGGCCGCGTCGGCAAACACAACATCGCAATCAACCTCCCACCAGCTGCAACATACGGCCAGCTGCATGCGACGCGGATAGCGCTCGACATGCGCAGTACCTTTCCGCGCGTGCGTTTTGTGCTTCTCGTCGGCATCGCGGGCGCCGCCCCCTCGGCCAAGCACGATATTCGGCTCGGCGATGTCGTGCTGGGGACGAGTGTTGTGCCGTATGCGACGGGCAAGGAGACGGATAAGGGATTTGAGCGCCATGCGATGGTGAAAGCGCCGCCGACGGAATTGCTGGATGCCATTACGTTCCTGGACGAGCGCATGTGGTCTCAGGATGTTGTTCTTGCGGACTCTGTTGAGAGCGTTCGAAGCAAAACCGCAGAGAGAGGACAGGCTGATTTCCGGCGGCCCTGCCACGATCGACTCTACTACCCTGGATACATGCATCGGGAGACCGGCAGCGATTGCTTGCAGACGCAATCGGACGCGGGCTCGCAGCACAAAGACAGACTGTACCCGCGCGGTGTTCGTGAACCCAGCACGATGGTCCAGCTCTTCCAGGGCGCCATCGGCTCCGACAACCGCGTGATGAAAAACGCCCACAACCGGGATGAGATTGCGCGGCGCGAGAACATCCTCTGCTTCGAGATGGAAGCAACTGGGGTCACGGACGTTGCCCCCTGTCTTCCCATCCGGGGCATCTCAGACTACGCCGATGGCCACAAGAACGATGGCTGGCATCTATATGCCGCCCTCACGGCTGCAACCTGTGCCAGGGAGCTGCTGCTCTCTTTTCCACCACAGGCCGTGGCGCAGTTCTCTCTGACACTTCCTGGGACCCTCGTTGATCGGTATATCTCCGGTGCCGTCAGCAATCCAAACGCGTTCTCCGGTAGCGAGATCGAGAGGTTGACGCGGACGCGGCAGAATCTGATGGAGAGGCACACGTTCCTCGAGGAGCTCATGAGACCTGGGCTGCGCAGGATCAAGTCCGAGAAACCCGGTCCTGGTGCCGGAGACCTCCGGAACGAGATGCAAAGACTGAAGAGATTCCAAGAACAGCTCAGGCTGCACCTGCAAGACCTGGATCGCAGCCTGAACCAACACGACGACCTCCTCCTCCCGAGTGCAGACCCCCGCGATCGAGAACAATACGAGAGACTGAAGGTCCAAGTGCAGAAAGACGAAGAGGCAATGGACAGCCTCGCCGACCTCGTCGACACCACAAGCTCGCTGCTCACTACCCTGGGGAGCATCCGCAATGACGCAAACCTGAGTACGGCCGGCAGGCTGTTGTCAGCTGGTCGCGAGTATCTTGGAGCGGTCATGACGCGCTTGTTCCCAACTGCTGCAATCTCGCAGCGTGTGGACCAGGGAGTTGGAATACCCGGCAGTGGCCCATCGCGGCCCAGTGATGCCGCCGCTGAGATGGAAGCCATGTTGACGTTTGTATAAAAAGTTCATTGTCAATCCCTCGTGATGGGGACGTTATGTACGCAGTGTACTCTGGGTAATCTCCAAATATACCGTTCAACATAATGATTCGAGCCAGGTCTCCGCTGCCGAGGCACCGTCAGCCTCAAGTGAGATAGGGCAACATGGATATGATGTTAGCTACACAAACGTACCAATGGCAGATAGACACATTCATAGAGAGAACGAAGCCTGACATCGATTAGACACATGCTTTATTATCCTCAGCCGCGATTGCAACCCCCTCTTTCTCTCTACCCTCCACTTGTACACCTTGGCAAGATATCATCATCAGCCAGCTGGTCAAGTTTGGCGAAGAAGAGACCCTTGACCTCGGGATACTCGAAGACGCAATCCACGTCACCCCCATCGACTCTCACACGTATGCGGCCTTCCTCAAGAAGGACTGGAGTATCGGAGTTGGTGCGCGCCCCCTTTCTTTTCCCTCTCGCAATCTCGCCGAGACAACAAGCCGAAGCTGACTCGTAGTCGGGCGTGACGTGATGAGTAGTTCCCCATGGAGGATACACAGCGAGCATCCTATACCGGACGACGGCCGTTCACTTCGCCAACACGCACAGTGCCCGATACAGGGGCTCAACTCCCGAAGCAACGACGCTGCAGGTAACATTTCTTGACTGAACGAGCGTCGGACCGGCGATACTCCAAGTGCAGGACGTCAAAATCGGCGGGCGCGTCAGCACGATTCATGTCACCCTCTCACAGCTTCCGAATAGTCTTCTTGCCAAGGTCGCAAAAGGGGCGAAGCCGGATCTCGCCGAGTTCACGAGGAGTAACCTTGACAAACTGCAACCCAAGCAGATTGCATACATCACCGCGAGCCCGCCCGAGACGGAATCTGGACCCAGCGCGACCGGCGCATGGAGTCTGCGTCCTCCGCGTCCCCCCGGGTCCAAACCAGACGGCGCAGTCGACCTCCCCGCATTGGCGAGGAATTCCCGGGATGCGGGATGGGAGCAATATAGCTTCCCAGCGATACTCAGGGCGATTCAGCAGGTGACGATGTACGGTCCTGGCCCCCAATACCCGGCCAGTGTCCAAGAGCGGGCGAGGCGGGGCGTCGACCAGTGGACGCGGTTCTGTCCTGGTCCTTCGGGGAAGGTAGCCCGGTGGACCAATGAGAGCGTGACGTTTCTGATGGATACATTCCCCGTTGCCTCTGACCGAATGTGCGCGATGCAACTGCTGCAGCTCCGTCAACTGGGCCGCCCTCGGGATCCGGCCGAGGAGGCGTTGTCCTTTGAAAAACTCTTCTGGTACCCCACGCTGACCATGACGATTGATTTTAAAGACTCGGATTCCCTCCGGGGGTGTAGAGTGCTTGTACACCAGAGTCACTACCAAGATGCTGCGTGGCGGGCGTGCAGATCTCGAGGTGGTCGCGTTGAACGAGCAGGGGGAGCTGGTGGCGCTGGTGGTGGACGCGGCTCGGAATTTTGCGCGACGGCCAAGCATTGAAAAGCTTTCGACATGCTGAGAAATCCATGTCTTGCGTGCAGTCAAGCCTTGAGTCTCGGGCTGGGCGTGCACTGCGAGATGCCGATCGGGGCCTGCGGAACTTGGCCGAGTCCAGCAAACGTGCCCACACCATTCCCACTGAAACAACCTTGACATCGGGCTTTTTTTTCTCTCCGATGATCAGCCGATGTTTCCATGTGTGAATCTTTGCGATCGCTTTCTCGTAACTCGTCGTGTGCCAGCATCATTGTTCTCATGACTTCAGCTGTATACAGTCTACGTAGTGCACAGTAACACCATATCAAGCAAAGTAATCGGGCCGAACGGCTGCATCCTCTCCACTGTAGTGAATCACACCGGCTCCAACTGGCTGACCGGACAAAGAATGTGCGGTGGGTCGTGGCGACGGGGTTGACCCAAGGCTGGTCTCATCCCCCGATACCTCCGACCTCAGTCTCTGGATCGAGTCAGCGCCGCTGAGAAATCACCCCATTTCACCCAGCAAACATTCCCCTCAGCTTCACCGGCCGACGTGGGGACACACGGATGGGGTCCGTTGAGAAGATGAGGGGAGAGGGGAAATTATCCTGTCTCCACGGGGTGCACCGTGCTCTGGGGGTATAAGTTGTTGAGAGCCTTCCCTCGAGCTGTCTCCTCTTCAGAATTTCCTCCCCTCGCTCGTCACATCCATCCTCTGCTCTCTCATCATGCCTTCGAGGGTCCCAACCATCTTTGGCCTCACCGGCCGGGCGCTGCACGTGGCCCAGGTTGTGCTCATCGGCGCCCCTGCCTTTATCGTCTTTGGATACAATCAGGCTGGTCTTGGTCCCCTCGCCACGCTGCAGAGCTGGGTGCACCAGTTCCCTGACATCGACACCGTCAACACCGAGGGTGCGGAGCGCAGCCACAACTCGACCAGCAAGGGCGCTGTCATTGCGGCCTTTCAGATCGGTGCTCTGATCGGTGCCCTCTCGACGACTTTCTTCTCGGACCGCATTGGCCGTCGCAAGACCATCTTCCTCGGCGCCATCCTCACCATCATCGGGCAGGTCCTGCAGGTGGCTTCGTTTGATCTTGTTCAGTTTGTCATTGGTCGTATCATTCTCGGTCTCGGTGTTGGCCAGTTCAGCGTCGCTGTCCCCGTCTGGCAGTCTGAATCGTCCTCTGCCAAGAACCGTGGGCAGCACGTTATCCTTGATGGCATGTTCATGTGTCTGGGATACGCTCTCTGCAACTGGATCGACTTTGGCCTGAGCCGTGTGGAAGAGAGCAACACGCAATGGCGCGTCCCGCTGGCCCTCTCACTCCTCCCCTCGCTCATGATCCTCACCTCCATCTTCCTCTTCCCCGAATCCCCGCGTTGGCTCGTCCAGGTCAACCGCATCAAGCAGGCCGAGCACAGCCTCGCCATCTTCAAGGGCGACGAAGCCACCGAAGAAGAGGTCCGCGCCGAAATCGCCGGAATCCACACCTCGCTCGAGATGACCGCCCACTCCAAGGGCTCCCTCTCTGAAATGTTCAAGAAAGACGACGAGGAGCGCCTCCTCTACCGCTTCACCCTCTGCGTCATGCTGCAATTCTTCCAGCAAATGTGCGGAGGAAACCTCATCTCCGTCTACGCCTCCACCATCTTCGAGGAGAACCTGGGTCTCGGATCCAGCCTCTCCAAGATCCTCGCCTCGTGCGCCCTAACCTGGAAATTCCTCTGCTGCTTCATCTCCTTCTTCGCCATTGACCGCCTCGGCCGCCGCATCTGCTTCATGGTCTCCGGCACCGGAATGGCCTGCTGCATGCTCGCCATGGCCGTAACCTCCTCCTTTGGCGAAGACAACCGCGCTGCCTCGATCGCCTCCGCAGCCTTCATCTTCCTCTTCAACCTCTTCTACCCGATTGGCTTCCTTGGCGGAAACTTCCTGTACACGACCGAGGTCGCCCCCGCGCGCCTGCGCATGGCCATGTCCGCCGTGTCAACGGCAAACCACTGGCTCTGGAACTTTGTCGTTGTGATGGTCACACCCGTTGCACTGGACACGATCGGGTACGGGTACTATGTGATGTACACGATTCTGTCCGCGATGATCCCGATTGGCGTTTACTTCTTCTACCCCGAGACGATGAACCGCAATCTCGAGCTGATCAACCAGGTGTTCCGTGATGCGAGCTCGCCGTGGGAGATTGTTTCCATGGCGAGGCACTTGCCGCAGGGCGAAGTTGGGGAGGCGCAGCTTGCTGCTATCGCGAAGAAGGATGGGACGGCTGTTGAGATGAAGGAGGAGGCTTAGCTTCGATGATGTGATGATAGATGTTGTTGGTTTGTTAGTCACGATGTATAGAATTGCATGCACCTATTTTCGAATTCAATCAACGTTCAAGCTGGTTAACTGATTTGCTACGCTTACATCATTGTCCGTATACCTCGTACTGTAAACTTCGACGCTGATGCTGAGTGTGTGGTGACCTCGCATCGAGCCCCACAAAGCCGTCCTCGAAGCGAGCCCACCTCCTACTCAACGAGTCTGGAGTACCCCAAGTCCAAGTCCATCTCGTCTCGAATCCCCCAGACTCCAGGTTAGAATGGAATGGAACAGACTCTGAATTCGTACAGCAGGTTTGGTAGGGTAGGATCTGGAGCATTCTCCTCCGGAAATGCAGACGGAAACGTCACATCGCGACATTTTATTTGACGTCAAGTGGCCAGACTCATTCCGCCGGGTTTCGGATGCGGTGTGGAGCATCGCAGGTCCTAGGCCGCCGATGTATGTGCCGGACTAAACATGTCCGGGGAAATGCCGCATACTGGGCTGTTCGAGGAGCTGATTGGGGTTAGCATTGGCGTTGAGTTGACGATGCATAGTATCCGAGTATCGACGAAGCACACCACACCGTCACACGGTCACTTAAAAGAAGGGGTCGACAACATAACCGGGGTTTAGTATGAATCAGTGTCCAACCCAATCAAACAATCGGCATGTCTTTCGGCCAAGTCGAAGGGGGTTTATCCGATGGGGCCAGCCGCCAACTACTGCCGGTCATCGGCACTTTCGCTTCGGCGGAGTGAGTCTGGGGCATCGCGGCTCGCCTCGAAGTTCCGATCCAAGTTGCCGTTAATATATCGCGGATATTTTCGGAGCCAATGGGAGCGAGGCGATATTGTCGTCGTCTGGGACAAGAAATGTATACCCAAGGTACAAGGCTGGGTGGGTGGGCACTGGCACTGGGGAGCGGATGTATATATAGCAGGAGGATCCGGGTTCCTATCCGGGGTTGGAATTTGAAAGGCGTGAATAAGTGTCTGCAGAGATATATTCTGGCTATCTAGCTATCAAGCTATTCTCAGCTATCCTTGTCCAACGGATTGAACGACGCTCTACCGAGACGACTTGAACATACCATGGCACCCTCTATCAACGACTTTCCCATCGGGGACATGTCTCCCCAGTCCGCCTGCCGCATCGGCATCAACGGGTTCGGCCGGATAGGTATGTGACGTGGCTCGTGTGTCTTGTTGTTTGTGTTGGTGCTTGTGCCGTCTGTCTGTGACGAGGGACGAGCATCAATCTCTGTACCGTGTCTTGGACTAACAGCAGTCAGGCCGCAATGTCCTCCGCGCCGCCCTCGTCCGATCAGACATCCAGATCGTCGCGATAAACCACACCTGCACGACCGTCCAAGACCTCCTCTACCTCATCCGCTACGACTCCTCCATGGGAAAGTTGTCGGACGAGATCCCCGTCCACGCCCTCTCCGACTCCCTCATCAGCGTCAAGGGCCAACAGATTGCACTCACCTCGGAGCGGGACCTCAAGAAGCTCAACTGGGCCGCATTGGGCGTCGACTACGTCGTCGAGTGCACGGGAAAATTCACAAAGCGCGAGCTCGCACTCGACCATGTCACATACGGCGGAGCAAAGCGCGTGGTCATTTCGGCGCCGAGCAGTGACTCACCGACGTATGTGTACGGTGTCAACGAGGGGCGGTACAAGGCGGATGAAGAGCGACGGGTGGTGTCGTGCGCCAGCTGTACGACCAACTGTGTGACTCCGGTGCTCAAAGTGCTGCAGAGGGAGTTTGGAATCACGCAGGGTTTTCTCACGACGGTGCATGCGGCCACGCGGTCGCAGCAGGTGCTCGACGGGTACAGCAAGAAGAACCGACGGCTCGGTAATTATTCCCTGACCCGTCCGACGTTGGCGTTGGCATGAGATGAGGGGAAATGAAACGAGAGAAAGATAGCTGGCTGATGCAGCAAACAGGTCGCAGTGTCTTTGACAATATTATTCCGACGACGACGGGCGCAGCCAAGGCGATTGCGACGGTGCTGCCTGAGCTGGCGGGCAAGGTGACGGGAGTGTCGATTCGCGTGCCAACGTAAGTCTGATTTTTGGAGGTGTCCAGAGGCGATCTGTCGAAAAATGCTGACTCGCCAGACCGAACGTGTCAATGATCGACTTGACGGTCAGCACAGAGACGCCCACCTCGCTGGCCGAGATCCTGGCGGCCTTCAGGCGCGCAGCCAAGGCAGAGCTGACTGGGGTCCTCAGCGTTAGCGACGAGGAGCTGGTGAGCAGCGACTACCTGGGGAACCCGCACAGTGCGATTGTAGACGCCGCAGCGTGTAGCGAGTTGAATCCGCACTTCTTCAAGATCATGGCCTGGTACGACAATGAGTGGGGGTATTCGAATCGGCTGCTGGATCTGACAGCGCATGTCGGACGGGAGGAGAATTAATCAGTCTGTCCTGTAATCTGCATGTGAGATGAGATGAATTGCCCATGTGTCAATCAGACAAAGCCAACCAGCAGCGGGGCAAGACGCAAGAAAGCGCCCGATGGCTGCATTCAGGCCTCGTTGAGCCCGCGAGAGTCGCCACGGCCCACCGGCCAATCATTGCCCTTCAGAGGCGCCAGGAACACGAGTTCGGCCCCTTTTGAATTGATTAGATCGGCTTCGCGTGTTTCACCTTGCGCCACATCGCTGCGAGGGATGGGCTGACTATCCTGTGTTATTGGTTGCTGTTTCGAAGCTTAGCGAGCCCAATTTACACCGTTTCTTCCTTATAAGACTCCCCTTTCTGTCCTGTCTCTTTTCTTCTCCCCCTCAAGCAACGCTTCTGTCATTCCTTCGATTCTCTGTGCCCGGTGCTCAAAAACAGCAATCATGCTGAACATTCCTTTTATCCTCCTGGCTGCTGGCAGCCTGTCCACTCTCATTGCTGGGGCTCCGATCCCGTCCTCTCCCTTGAGCGCCGCCCGCCACGAAGAAGCTGTTCCTGCCTTCACTCCCTCTCTGTCCCTCAACAAGCGCACCACCGTCTACAACGTCCTCGGAGGAGCCGGCAAGCTCGCCCAAGGATGGCCTTCCCTCGACGCCTGGTGGCCCTCGTTTGACGAGATGTTCGAGGCCAACCGCGACACCATGGCCAACTCGTGCACCCAATGGAACGTCCCCAACAACTCGGACGACGAAATCGACAACATCTCCGCCGCCATCAAGGAGGTCTCGGAAACCTCTGGCGTCGACGCGCGCTACATCCTGGCCATCGTCATCCAGGAGAGCAACGGCTGTGTCCGCGCCCCTACCACCAACTACGGCGTCACCAACCCCGGTCTCATGCAGAGCCACAACGGTCTGGGCTCCTGCAACAACGGCGAGGTCCTCAGCCCCTGCCCCTACGCTCAGATCAAGCAGATGATCACCGACGGCACCGTCGGGACTTCAGACGGTGACGGCCTCGTCGGCTGCCTCAAGGCCGCCGGTGGCACCAGCGATGTCTCCTCGTACTACCGCGCTGCGCGCATCTACAACTCGGGCTCCATCGACTCGTCTGGCAACCTCGGCCTGGGCATCGCGACTCACTGCTACTCGTCTGATGTTGCAAACCGTCTCACCGGCTGGGCGACTGGTCCTAGCAGCTGTGTCCCCGACACCATCGGCACATTGAATGCTGCCGTCACCACCAACTTCCGCTTTGCGGGCAGCAGCACCTCGGATGATTCCAGCGAGTCCGATGAGACGACGGTTGAGAGCAGCTCTACCACCACCACCACCACCACTACCACCACCACGACAACTCAAGCCCCGGCTCCGACAACCAGCGCCAGCACGACCACAACTGCTGCCCCCGCCCCAACCCCCGAGCCTGAGGCCGACACCGTGACATCGACCACGACCACGACAACAACAATGACCTACACCCTGGTTCACGTTGTCCCAACCAGCACGACAACGCCATCATCTGCTCCGACCGCACCCCCAGCCACCTCCGCCCCTGCCGCCTCCTCCACCGCGGCCCCCATCTACCCCTACGCCGACTCCGCCTGCAAGGAGTACTACACGGTCGTGGAGGATGACTACTGCCTCAAGGTCGAGTCCGCGATTGGCGTCTCGCTCGCTGAGCTCCGCGAGTTGAACTCCGGGCTCAAGGAGGACTGCACGAATCTGTGGCTCGGGTACCAGTACTGCATCAAGGCTTAGGTCTAGGACCGCTGATGCTCTCCTTTTCTTCTTCACTTCTCTTCGAATCTTCGAATCTTAGATTCTTTTTCGAGATCTTTTATCACTTCCTTTTGACGGCTGTGCCTGTTACATTGTACATATCAAAAGAGTGACTACATTTTGGGCGATAGCTAGCTCTACCTGTCCTTTTTGATGACGAATTTATGCCATGGATAAAAGTACCCAACCTCAACCATTCTTTCCTTGTGAGATTTCGTAATTTCTCACCTCGTATGTCTTGAATCCTGGTCGAAGCGTACATAAAATTCGATGGGCGAACTCAGTTTCTTTGAGCTGACCTGAAACTGAAACCGGCTCCGCTCCGCTCGCAAGGCGCAGCACTGCGGCAAATCCCTGGCAAATCTTGAAAGAATCAGCCACCACGCGAGCGACGGGGCAGGGATTTAATTAGTTCTTCTTTGTTTGCCTCCCTTTAGGATGATGGCAAACGATCGTATGTTTTCCCGGATCCCGCAATTAAACCCGGACGTGATTCGAACTCCACATTCCAACGTTGAGATTGAGATCTCGACTTCGTGGATCGGATGTTGTTTGTCCACCTCAAGTCTCGATAAAGAACACGGTCGGATTGGCGTCAAAGCAGGTCTTTTATTGACAGAACTCGGTTAAGCACTCAGTATACCCGCATAATGATTTTGAGTCGCAAAATAGCATGCAACGGCCCGTAAACAAGGAATTTGAGGCTGGACCATGGTACGCTCCCATGCGGCTCCCGATATATATTTGGAACTCAGCCACAGAACCGCCCCCAGACCTCGAAACCTTGTAAAATTTGACTGCAAACAGACTTCTTACAGGAGGTGCCCTGCATTTCCCAAGTGTGCATTTTGTGTTACCCAACTGCAACGAATCGGCAGGCATTACGTGGTGTTGCAGCATTGGGTTTTGATGAGCGAAATCTGAGGGATTTTTTGGTTGATATGGTGCCTCAGGCAGCGAAGGAGGCGTCGACGAGGTCCACATCACTCGACACCAATTCATGCCTAAGGCCGACCGCATTGTTGCCTGAGACTGGCTTTCCTCCGATTGCGGACAATTCGGATCACTTCATCGGTAGATGGAAGCAACTGCCTCCAGCATACTTCCATTCTCTATCAATACAAGACGACGGTCCGCACTCTGAACACTAAAGGAAGAGGCGGGAACATTATTCCCTGCTCCAAAGCCCGGGGATCTGGATATGTCTTCAAAGGCTCAACCTGTGAAGAAGCTATCGGCATGGAAGCCGTGGGAGAAAGGAAACATCATGGGATGTGTGTAGATTCGTAGGAGCTAGCTAGCGGAAGACGAAGCTAACTAGGAAGCAGGCACGTGATTGGTAGCGCCTCAGGCCCTCACGCCGACAGAAGCCTTCAGACTACTGGCGTGACGATTGTGATTAGGCCCAATCTGCACCGCAATCGAGTTGGTCAATCTTGACCAGAGCATCAAAAACATGAATCTCGCCGGAGATGACAAGGTACTGGAACCAACTGATCCCATACTGCGCCAATGGCAGTTCCTCGAACCTATCCACCACCCTCTTTGCCAGGCCCCGGAAATACTCCGAGGCAGCAAAGGTTCTCGGTGGCGGAGCGGGAGCCCATTGCAGTCCGGCTTCAAGGGTAATCTCCTTCAGGAGCTTCTCACAGACTGAACAAGGACCGCAAGGCGCGCCCTTGCCCTTGGGCCGGTACGAGCCGTAGCGAACCGAGGTATAATGCAGGAAGACGATTGCTGCCAGCGCGTAAGCTCCCGACATAGGGTGGGTATTGGCCTTGCGCAGCATTCCCTCCAGGTACACATGGTGCGGGTCGTTGACCTCGCCCAGCCCATACAGGGCAGAAACCCCGTTTTCATGGTTGCCCGCAGCGGTGTCGCTCCTCCAGTCCAAGAGGTCGTGCATTGCCATGATGATGATGGGCATCACGGTGCCGTTCTCCAAGCTTCGTGGCCCCTCCGGGTTCCAATGGTAGCAGCTGTACGGGCTCGTACACCCACCAACTGCACGCCAGTGCAGCACCGCTTCTACCGTCATCTGGTTGCCCGTGCCAGACTCTTGGAGCGCAGACCCGTCGGTTAGAAGGCAGGCGGCCTCGACGCCGAGCTCGGCAACTACACCCACCGCATGAGCAACGAGGCGGGCCCGCGCCATCGTCTCCTTCTTTGTGAATGCGTGATAGTCGTCGGCAACAGCAAGATGTGCAATCGGAGCCTTTGTCACGGCCTCCTTGGGTGGTAGCCACGCGGATACAGCCACGGCACAGCACAGAGCGACCATCTCATATGAAAGTAGATTAAGCAGGCTTGTGCTCGGGAGATAGGGGAGCCCGACTTTCTGCTCCGAGCGATGTTGAGCCGTGTTTGCTTTCTTGTCGACGTGGGCAATGCTCAAAGGGTCGCCACCGTAGTGATCGTCAATAATAGCTGCGCACCCCCGACGTGCAGCCTCGATGACGCCCGGACTAAATCTTGCCTTCATGTAGTTGACAAGTGGAGAGCATGATCTGCTCCAAGTACCGGTTGCTCGCTCAGTCGAGTCCTGTGGCTGCTCAATGACCGCTCGGCAGTAGTCCAGCGCGTCTTGCCAGCGCTGGCTGTTATGGATTGAAGAGGACTTGCCCATCAAAACGAGTAATCCCTTTTCCGTGGTCTCTCTGTACAAGGACAATGCCTGTATCGTCGCTCGATCGGTTGCATATTCGGATAGAGAGTGGTCTCCTGTTCTCAAGTCGTTTAGAGCAATACTCAGTATAGAGTCTAGGTTCGAGATCGAGATCGAGATTCGACCATCCTGCAAGCCCTTCTCGGCCGCTGTCTGAATGTAGTCGTGCTTTTCATTTGGCTCATACTCGTGCAATGGATGCTGGGTACTGGGAGCCCGCTGGTCATTGCCTTGTTCGAGCAGCATTGTCATCAAAGTCGTCTTTGTGAATTGTCCCGTGGGAAGTCAGTTTGAGGCACGAAAAGGTTTCTTAACGAAAAGGTTGTATACTATACTAGAGTAGTATCGAGCATGGGAAGGCCAAACAACCTGAACTGGACTATCAAGAACATTTATATGGGTTCTTGGGTCGCGGTTTGCTCCTAGCATTTAGCACCTTGCAGAGGACTCTGCCTGACCTGATAGTTGGGACTTGGTGTAACCCAAGACAAGGGATTTTCCCTGATGAAATGCCCATTTGTCGGATTGCTCGCAGATCAGACGAGCCTTCTTCGTCAAGAGGTATGTTCTATCTGCAGAGAACTCGCCTGGTGCCGTCCCTGGTTGGCCGCTGTCCTGTAAACCATCTGCAAAATACGTCACACGAGTAGCTTTCAGCTTCCAATGGATCTGCTGAGGAGGCCCTGAATCAATACCCGCATATATACGTACGGGATCCTACATTCTGTGGCGAGTTAGCGAAACCCAGTAGATTCCAAAACCACATTGGTTGACTGACATATGTATTTGCTATAATAACCCCCCCCCAAACAGTAAAACGAGAAAACAGGAAAACAGGTCACTTGCTGACGTGTCCTCTCGTTGACTGCGAGTCTGCGACTGCAACTGCATTGTGCACGGGTCACTTAAGATGAGTATTAGTGGTCTTGTACTTTACTTCAAGGACTTCTATGTGGGGCTTCTTCAACACACTCGTGGAACCCGATCCTAAATCCCGAGAGAGTATTACAGAACAGCGTTCTGGTCCAAACAGCAGTCGATACTCCCGCCCTCTACATCCCTCAGGCCGGCGGTTAATTCAAATCAGCAGCGTGTCAGAACTGATGAATGGAACATAGATATTCGAGATAGTAGCCCTTCTCCACCTTTTTTTTTTTTTTTTTTTTTTTTTTTTCAAATTCCTAGGTCTTATCTGAGTTTGTAGATACCTGGAGCCCCTGTGATGCAACCTGACGTGGAGGGCCCCCCTGCACAGATTGGGGGAGGGAGGGCACGAGCCCTGAACCGTCGGTCATTACATTCCACGGAAGCGGGGGACACTACCCGTGTAACCAATTAGCGCCGCTACGTAGCAAAGATGACATCGGTGACGCTGCAGTGTGGTATGCTGTATGCAGGGTGTAAGGGTGTAGTGGGGATGATACGTGCCAACAGAGGCGCCGTGCAGGTCACGATGTCTTGGCGGTATGAGAAAAGTCCGTTCTGTGTTTCGTCACCCGGCTGGTTGAGTGTCTTCTGTGGTATACTGGTGGACTGTTGGCCCTTATTGGAAGGGAGTCGCCGGACTGTACCTGATATATCATACTTTGATACGGGTATGACTCTGACAGCGGGAAGTCTAGCTTTCTCTCCCTCTGTAATCGTGCTAATAGCTCCTATACAGCTCTGTGCGCTAGGGCAACTAGAGGAAATGGATGTGCCAGAAGCTGGATGATGGGGAGGAAACGATAGTTAGATGCCTTGTTATCTGCGGTCGGACTGTGGCTAGATTGGTAGATAGGTCGATAGATGGATGGTGATATCTGTGACGAATCGCGAGTTGCGTGCGTGCTCGCATAACCAGATTATATTTGTGAATTAATGTTGTCTACATAAGAGTATACATATACCGCTTATCTCCTGCTTTAAGGAGACAGGAAACTCTCCGGGTCACTTGGATATGCTCAAAGCGGCGAGCACCTATCTCCACCAACATGTCGACAAGAGGCTGATGCTGCAATTCCGCCGTTGTAGCCCGACGATACAGAGAAACAAGAAGACGAGGGTCGCCGCGAACATCCATGCCCGCGTCGACAAGCAGGCAGAATTCAGCAAACTTCCTAGGCCGCAGCAGCCTGCGCAATATGAGATAATCTATATCTAATCTCATGCCATGCTGGACCAGCATCTTGATGATCTCGTAGCTGTCCTCGCGTTCTATGGCCTTCTGCAAGGGCGCATGATCAGTTAATTGTGGCATCCCAACGATTGCCCGGTCTCTTTTGCGGGAAAAGTACGAGCTCGGGTCCGCGCCGTTTTCAAGGCGGAGTCTAATCGTGCTTAACGGGGCGCCGCGCCAGATCGCTGCACAGAGGGGGTGTGGCTGTGAACCGGTAGCTGGGAATCGACCTCAACGCCACGCTGAAGGAGCACTTTAATGCGATCTTCATCACCTTTTGCAGCGGCATAAAGCCGCATAAAATGCATCTCCGTCTTCATGGTGTGTTTGAGAGGCGGCCGCTTGGCGCCTAGAAGCGCCAGAAGGTGATCCTCGATTCCGTGATGGCCCTCCGACGCAGCATTGGCGATAGCACGGTGCCCGTCCATGTCAAGAGACAGTACATTCGCCCCACGTCCGACAAGAGCTCGGACTGTGTCCATATGACCCCCGCGCGCGGCTAAAGAGAGCGGGCTTCGGCCATCAATGTGCTTGAATTCAACATCGGCTCCGTGTTCAAGGAGCTTCAAAATGATCCCCGTATGCCCGTTTGCAGCGGCGGCAGATATCGGATGAGGCTGAAAGGTAGATTCAGATCCGTCCTTCACCATCCGTGGTGCTTCGCATACTGCCAGGGACATGTGCAGGACCAGCACTGTGATTTCCAACGTACATTGACTCTACGCTCCAGGATTCTCTCAACCACTGCTTCAGAGTCATCGCTTGCTGCCACGTGCAAGGCAGAATTGTCACTGCCATGCAGGTTCTGATATGTGGAGAAGAGATAGTCCGAGAGTGTGCAGTGAAATCGAGGATGACTTCGTACGAGGGAACCCACGTCTCTGGGATCCAGCTCGGTGGCGATAGGAATATGATCTCATTTGGTAAGGATAGGAGGGACATCTCGCCAGAGACAGCCGGGTGATATTATGACGGTCGTCTTTCCTCCGCTGATCCGTAGCTCTCGTAGCTGAGAGCGTAATCATGTGATGCCCCTTCAAATGAGATGGAGGCAGCTTCATTTACGTCTCCCGTCGTTTTATGGCTGCCTGAATTGATCGAAGCAACTCTTGAGAGCGGAGGAAACACGCGTCATGTCATCATTGGCCTGTTAATGCTCTAACTACAAAAATATAATCATATAATATGCAATTGCCCATGCAATGATATGCCCCAAACGCCAAAACCGCTATACCAAACCAAACCAAACCAAACCAAACCAAGAACCACCCCACTCACTTCGTCAACTCATCAATCTGCCGAATCAGCTCCTGGAACCGCACAGGCTTCGACAGGAACAGATCAACTCCAGAGTTAAACGCCTCCTGCCGCACAGGCGCACTGCCCAACCCGGAGAGCGCGATGATCGTCGCGGGCTTGAGGGGGTCTTTTCGTTGGAGTTGGAGTTTTTCGAAGAGTCGGATTTCGCGTGTGGATTCGAGGCCGTCCATTACTGGCATTGAGATGTCTGTCCACGGTCCTGGGTTAGTTGATGCATTTGAAGGAGAGGCTGAAGGGAAGGAAAGTATGGGGGAGGGAAGGGCTTACCCATGAGAATGACATGAATCTCCCTCGAGTGCGCTTTATATACCTCTAGAGCCTCGAGACCGTTGCACGCTGTGAAGTGGGGGAATTTTGCCTTTTTCATGACAGCAACGAGTAGCTGGAGGTTGACCGTGTTATCGTCGACCAGCAACACAGAGGGAACAATCGGCAGGGGTTCAAGGGTGGCCGAGATCTCCGTGATAGGACCACTGTCGAGCGTTGACGTCGTAATCGAAGCAGCGGACTTGATCGGTGAGACACAGATGTCGGCGTGAGCGCCCGTCGCGCCGTTGCGGAGCGGTGTGGGGGGTAAAGAAAGAGGGAGGATATTCTTCGCGGGCTTCGGTTCATGAACGCCGTTTGTTTTTGCTGGTGGGTGGTTCGCCTGCTCCTTTTGTCGGTTGATGCACGCGCGCAGTGTATTCGCCATTTTGCTCGGACCACATGGCTGGCTGATGAATTCGTGGACTGAGCGAGGGGCCAGCGGGCTCGCGCTCGTCGAAAGCTTCTGGGCCACCTGTGGCGTCGAGCAGATGACTATTACTGGAGGTGAGATTGGACTCTTCCCTGCTGCCGCCGCTGCCGCTGTGACCCTCCGGCAGATCTCGTCTGCTTCGTTCATGTATGTCTGTCGGGCGACGTACATGTCGCAGGGCTCGCCGATTGTCTCGGGGTAGACGAAGCGGACTTTCATACCAAAATGGCCTTGGTATGTGCGTGTAAGTGAAGAGCGCAGCAGCTCCAAAGCTTGATCATTCTTCTCCGAGGGCGCCTCGAATCCAACGAGTCCGATCGACTTGCCCCGGACGAGCTCCTTTGCTTCTTGGACGATCCCCCGCCCCTCGTCAGCGCTGGTAACTTCGGCGTTTGGCGTACGTGACAGATCGCAGTGCACCGTAACCTCCGTCCCGACGCCCTTTGTCGAACTGATGTCGATCTTGCCACCAAGTGATACAACCGTCTGGTGCACGATGCTCAGCCCGAGACCACTTCCGGGTGAGAGCGGATCCTCCTGCGAAAAGGGCTTGAAGATGTTGCTTTGCAGGTACTCCTTGTCGATGCCCTGGCCGGTATCCTTGACGGTGAGCGTGACGGTTGCAGGTTCTTCGCGATCGCTCTCACACCGCGAGGGCCTTCTGTTCCCGGGGGCTGTTGAAGGTGTAGATGACTTTAGCGAAACGTGGATGTATCCGGATTGCGTGTACTTGAGTGCGTTTCCGAACAGGTTCATCAATACGCGACGCCACGCACCCGCTTGTGTCTCAAATAACCACTGTACATCTGGCGCAACGTCGTAGACGACCGTGAGCGACTCGTTGAACGCAGACAGCGGCCGCTCGGTCGGACTCGCCATGACCAACTCCCCGTCTTGATTCAATGTCGGCATAGACGTGGCCCCCTGTGCCAGACCACTCGCCTTGGAACTGAAGCAGTGCCCCGCAAAGACACTATCTGCAACCTCCTCCAGCACAGCATCAAGCTGCACGTCACCAATAAGATTAACAATCCCATCATTCGGCTGCCCCTTGGGCCCACTACTCAGTCCATTCCCATTCGCCGTCATCCGCCTCGTCGGCCGCGAAAACTTCAGCCTTGACGACCTGGATTTCCGCGTGAACTGGTTGATCTTTGCGAAATCGAGCATGTTGTTGATGATATCCAGCAGCGACCGCCCGCAGTGCTCGACCGTATTCACCAGCGCCGTCTGCGCGGGCGTCAGCGCCGAGTCGCCGAGTAACTCTGTGCTCCCAAGAATCCCATGCAGTGGACTGCGCAACTCGTGCGAGATGCTCCCGACGAGTGTCGCGTGCGCGCGATTCGCGAGCTCCATATCGAGGCGGTGGATCTCGGCCATGATATTGTTGGAAAAGGCGTAAAGGTAGGCGAGCTCGCCTCCCAGACTAAACACGCGGGGAGACTTGGTCCAGACGAACAATCCGGAGAACCAGCGGTTGCGCCGCGAGTCCCAGAGCGGGAAGAGGGTTACGCAGCGCGCAGATGGGAAGACCTTCATGAGGGCCTTGTTTTCTTCCTTGAGTGAGACCCGATGCCGCTTGCGCTGCTTCCATTTTCGCTGTGTTTTGGGCCCCTCGTGGCGGCGGTAGAAGATCTCCCTCGACACGCTCGTTGACGATGCGCTGTCGCTCCCTTCGCTTGATGACACGCCGCCGTTCTCGTCGATGTTGAAGATTGCACCCTGCGGGTAATTCCGGAGCAAAGAGCGCAGGAACGTCTCGCGGATGGCGCCCATGGGCTGCTCGGGGTCCTGCAAAGAGAATCCCAGGACATCCGACATGTTAAAGTCATCCGTTTCCGTGGACGAATGCTCGTTGGCCGGATTCTCGCTATCGCTGCTGGACTGCGCCTCGCTAGACCCGCTACTGCTCTCGCCATCGGAGGGACGGTCATCTGAATTGCGGACGAGTCCCGCGTAGGATTTGACGCTGGCATCGTAGAAGACGACGCCCTCGACGTCAAGAGACTCGCGGAGGACGCGGGCGGCGCGGCCGAAGATTTCGCCTGTACCGGACGTCAATGTGACTTCGGTTGGGCGGTTTCGTTTGGGCGTGGACGGTGTAGATGTCGACTCGATCTCGGGACCCTCGTTTGATTCTGCTGTGCCTGCATTAATGGTTAGTCGATGACACGAGTGCTACACGTATACCTCAATCTCAATCCTACCTGGCCGCGCAGGCGACTTATCCCTCGACAGTCGATCCTTGAACGAGAGGCGGTGCTCCTTGAGAAACCGCCGTGGACGCGATGGTGTACTTGAATGCTTCTCCTCTGTGACCCCATTCGGCATCTCCTTCTCCTCCACCCGATCAACACTCGGATCCAAAAGACTCTGCGTACGACGGAGACTACTCGACGGAAAAATCCCCCCATCGACAAAATTCCCCAATCCCGCAATCATATTCGCGCTGCGCCGATTCTGTTCATGCGAGCGCACCATCTCCAGATGATTCATAATCGCCATTGCGGTATCGGTCATGAACCGGATCTCGAGCGGGGATAGGCCTTCTGGTCGAGTGAGTCCGTCGCTGACGCTGAACGCGCCGATGGCGATACCCCGGCGACTGCGGATGGGCACGCCGGCGTAGAAGCGTAGGTGTGGTGCGTTGACGACATATTGCCGTTGGTTGAAGCGGTCGTCCTTTGTGAGATCCGGAATGACGAAGGCGCAGTGCCGGTCTGTACAGATCCTATCATTATCGCTCTCCTTGCCCGCGTTCAGCTTCGTGTCGTCGCAGACAAAGTGGCAGATGCCCTCGGCCTTGGGGATGACACTACTCCCCAGCCAGAGGGCGTCGCCGTCGAGGTGGACGCGGTCGTCTTGTAGGCTGAGTGTGCGGGTTGCCTCGGCGAGGATGTATTGTGTGCGCCGGTCGAAGAGGGAGATCATGCAGCGCTGGACGTTGAGTCGCAGGGCGCCCAGCTGCGCCAGCGCAGTGAGGGTTGTGTCGTTGGACGACTGCGGGAGGAGTTCATGGTTTGCCTCGGATTTGGGGGAGATGGGGGGTCGTTCGAGGAGGCCGGGCCGTTGCGGGAGTTGGCAGTACCTGGAGAGAACAGGTTAGACGATGATTGTTGAGAGGGAGTGAGAGGAGGAGAGTGAAAGGGAAGACGGACTTGTAGAACTCGCGTTCCTGGGCCATGGCGATCTCTTTGACGGACGGTGGCGGACGTTCGGGGGACTGCATCTGCATCTGCATCTGATCGTCACCTCATCGCGGGATCAGCCTGCTCTCAGAGGTGGTGGAAATGAGGCTTAAGCCGATCAAGCGAGAGTCGCCACAGCACACAAGGTTTCGAGGGGAGAAGAGAAGCTGAGCGTGAGAGCCTCGGGGAAGACAGACACGAGAAAGGACCAGGACATTCGCATCCAGTTCCACAGATGGCCGACATTCAAATCCATTCGACGCCTCCCCACCTCGACCGCCGTGAATCTGCAGCCACTGCGTCATCGGCTGGCTCTGATTGGCGGAAGCGGCGTCCATTGCCCCCATTTCCTGATCCGCTGCCCTGATTCGCAAGGCCTGGACTGCACTTGGCCTGTCTGGCCCAATCCAATCGCATGCTCGTCTTTGGCGTTCTCGCACGATGCTGCATGGTGACTCTGTGACTGGCAGTGAGATTGTGACTGAATATTCAGTCCTTGTCGCTTGGTACAACGTACAATCTCGGAGGAGGCCAAGGAGAGTCAGAATGTATCAGGTCCCAATCTTGACGTTGGAAGTGTCAGAGATTTCTCGCCACTGGCAGTCTCTAATTTTAATTAATTTAAATCCCGTTTAACTCTACCGTGTCTCGCGCTCCACGTGGATATCCCGACCACGGGCTGCTCCGACCGCCAACATCGTCAACCCTTCCATTCCATCTGTCGACCCAGAGCACAACATATCTATCTGTGCAACACCATCAGCTTCTCAGCCTAAAACATCTATATAACGCTGACAGAAATGATTTGACGTCAGAACATCTCACACACAGCCCTGCAACCTCGAAGCCAGATACTCTGCCCCTACCAATCCCACATCATCGACTCTCTTGATGTAAGCGAACTGCATTCCTTTCTCGGATAACTTCTCGAGGAGCAGACGGTGGTATATCCCTTGCGTCAGGACTCCTCCAGACAGGATGAGGCCAGTCTCTTCGTGAGGTACGGCATTCGCACACCTTGCATGGACGAGCGGGTCCAGGATCGTATTCACGAGGTTCGAGATTTGGTCCGACACAATTCCCATGGCCGTCGAGTTGGTAGGAGCCATGTAAAGTACAAGCTGAGCTATGGCCTTGATGAGGGCTTTGACGATGGTCTTCTTTCCTTGATCTCCGAGCAGGACTGCGCTTAGCAGATCGGGGTCTTCTGTCGAAGACAAACCGAATTGCCCGAGGGCCGCGTGTTCAAACAGCCCGGCGATTCTGGTCGTAAACCGAGACGTTTATCCTCGACTGCTCTCAGCGCGTGCATGATCGCCTCTCTTCCAATCGCATAGCCGCCTCACTCGTCGCACAGGACATGTCCCCGTCCACCAGACCAGGTAACTCTTACTGGCTCGCTTGACCCAGGCTTAATGGCATACCTCATCACGACACTTCTTGTTCCTGCCATGAGGACGATGGCGGAGTGGACCGTCGCATAGCTAGACATGGTGGCCAATAAGAGGTCAACGTCATTTGTCAAGCGGATATTCGAAGCGGTGATCACTAATAAAATCCTCGCGGCGAGGCGCTCGCGAAGACCAGGCTGGTCCATCGCGCGAGATTCAAGGTGCCTGCCATGGCTGGCGAGCGATAGGTTAATGGCCTAGATGGCACTGTTGACTACCGCACGCATTGTCACCATCACCCCTTCCCAGCCGTCGGACCTGGCAGATTAGTTACTATGGTTGTCCAGAAACCCAGCGATGACAACTTACAGGTTTCAAGGGCCGCCGACTCCACGGCCGAGTACCCTTCCACTTGGAAAAGCACACTTCGTCCCGCCGCCATCGGTACAGAGAACCAGCGGGGGATTTCCACCCCGGGTATGAGTGGAAAGAGCGTCCGTAAGCCGGGGCTCTGACCGACTCCTTCCGAATCCCGCCGACACTGGTCAACAGACCGGCCAGACTCAGCGACCAGAAGAGCAAGCTTGACGCTTTGGTTGCACCGGCTCAGAAGATCGTCCATCTCTGTATCAGATAGCCTCGCCCCTCGTTTACTCAACCGTCGCAGGATATTCCGTGAACGTTGCCGGGGTTATGCATTTGTGGCGACAAGGTCAACCATCTTCCTCTCATGTCAGCTCCTCTTCCCTGAACTGGTAATGAGGGCAAGCCATACCATATTCTCATACGTTTTCACCACGCGAATCATCGTCCCCGCGCTCAACGTATTCAGAACCAACTTTGTCGCCGTTCCAGCTTTGAACCTCGTGCTCCCCGTGATGACCTCAGGCCCCGGAAGCGGTTGAATCAGAAAGTCGACATGCTCCGATTGCCCGATAGCAAAAAGGTCCGCGCACACAATGCCAATCGTAACACATCCGAGCCCCTTGGCAAATTCGACAAGCTAGAACCTACGGTGTTCGAACGGTCGCCGCGATCCCGATAAGATGGCCAAGATCCGGGTTTATATTCAAAGATTCCAGGTCGGTTCTTGCTAGAGACGCGACATCATCTGCATCTTCTTGCGCGCGGCGGATGGCGGCATCGCCCATGAATTGGTCGAGGTCCGCGGCGAAGGCTGGGGGTATTTCTGAGGCGTCGAGGATGCCGAATCTGCATTTCCCTGGAAAGTCATCAAGTATTCTCTGATAATATATCTAGGCGATAGGAGCATAAGAGACGGGTGACTGATTGGCTGCTAGTGCCAGCTTGACATACAACGCGCTGCCTACTTGTCATCCTGGTGCTGGCTGAGGTGATTGATGGGCGTGCTCGTCTGTCCGCCACCGGGAGTGCGATTCAGCCAGCTGCAATCATTGCCCAAGACCAAGAAGAACAGCCGGAACGGGACCGCCGCGCTCGCGATGCACACCACCGGACTGGCAGGTCCTAAGCATCCTCCCGCTCTCCTTCTGCGCAAACGCCTTCTACTCCTGCCAGCAGAACATTGTCAACGGTATGACATTCAACATCCGCGCACCCTCGCCATACAGCTCACTGTACTGGATCGCCCAGATGCTCTGCGGCCTCAGTATGGGTTTATTCCTAGATGTCCCACAGCTCACTCGCCCGCACGATCCCGTGTGTGCTAGTCATTCCTCCTCGTCACCGGAATGGCCATCTAGGGCGGCGGCTACGCGTTCTGGCAATCGTATTGCCATTGGCTTGTGGGAGCAAAATCGAGTAACCCGGCCGCCGCGGCGATCCTTGTTGAGGGGGTCGTCATATGCTCCAAGGTAGATGTAGCGCGGACTTGAGCACCTTACACCGTAGTATAACCCACCACACTGGCCTACAGACAAGTGCTGCGTAAGTGAACGGCAGAGGCGATGCCTGAGAGACCTTTTACTTCCAACCCGCTAGTTGTAGGCAACTATTCCTCCATCGATCATTCCTAAAGCAGGAATCGTCCTTTGTACGGGTTTCTCAACCTGATCCCATGTACGATGTTTACATCGTCATGTTTAGAGCCGGGCATGGTAGTAAGAGTTGATAATCTGAGCATTGCGTCTCAATCGCGGCGAAAGACGTACCACATTTCTTGAGGCCTGGCCATACGGAGAAGAACGCAGCCAAAATTCGTCCGAACGGTACACCTACATCAACCGCTCGTCTCGACCCTCCGCATTTGAGATGGAATGCGAGCTGATATATCGAACGCCAGCGCATTTCCGCGTATCGTTTTCAAGCCGTGGGTAGGGCGGAAGCCGGTCTGTGGAGCTCCACTACCAAAAAGGCGTGCTCCGGGAGACCGGACACTTGACAGCGCGCACAAGTCGGAGTTATTGGGAGGTAGTTTTTCTTCAACAGATGGCTGGAGACGGCGCATATCAGCCTTTTCCCTTGGGCTTCGCAAAGGAGTGTTTGAATCATTTTGACCGTATAAAATAGCTTCACTTGGCAGCACGGCCGATAATCCACAAAATCCTCAACTTGGACACTTTGACATCGCATGGCGTCGAATTTAGATTAGAGCTGTGGAGTGGATAAGCTGCACGTCTTGTCCGCTTAACTTGACAAGGAAGGTCCAAGAAATGGGTGGGTGCGAGTCATTCGTAATACGAGCAACTGATGACTCACGGCCTCATCAACGAGTATATATCCATCGACCTCAATTCTCAACGGCCAACATTAGATGTAGTTTCAGACATTATCACAATGACTCCATCGACAGAAAAACAGACCATCAAAACGTGGACAAACGGTCTATATACAATCTCCACAGACCCCACCCTCATCCCCCTCCAAACCCTCAACGACTGGTTCGCATCCGACGACTTCTACTGGGCAAAGGGCCTCCCCCTCTCCGCCCTCGAACAAAGCCTCCAGAACTGCCTCTGCTTCGGCCTGTACCACACCCCCGACAATTCATTCATCGGAATCGCGCGCTGCATCACAGACCACGTCACCTTCGCCTACATCACCGACGTCTACGTCCACCCGAGCCATCAGGGGAAGGGACTTGGTCGCTGGCTTGTCAAGTGTATTGGGGAGGCGACGGAGGCGATGCCACATCTCAGGCGCAGTATGTTGTTCACGATGGATTGGGAGCGCTCTGTGCCGTTTTATGAAAAGGTGCTTGGGATGGAGGTTGCAGAATGCAAGCGGGGTCAAGGGATGGCGATGATGATGCGCAAGGGAAGGGGGTATCCGCGGACTATGGATGCGGAGTGAGGTACAGCTGAAGGGGGATGGAAGGTCCGGGATCTTCTTGGGAATGGTGAGATTTCTGTATCTCATGGTAGGCACACAGTCGAGGTCGGATGGGCATCCGATGCGCTCATTGCTTGGTTGCCGGTTCTATATATACATGTTGACTTTTAAGTATCCTCTACCCGCCTGTCTGTGAACTCCCTACGCCGATCTACCTCTGCTTCCCCTGCCCCGCCTCAATCCTTATCACTTCATCCACCTCCGCCTCCCTTTCCACATCTGAGCTCCCTTCTCCCTCCCCTCCCGCCTTCTTCTCCCCCAGAACCGACTTTTTGGCAGCAAGAACCACCTCCCAAATCTGCCCCGCACCTCCATCAACCAACGGATAGAAATTCGCCACAACCAGGGTAACAAACAACCACACCAGTCCCACAACAACCCACGCAATAAACAGCCCGCGCGACATGACCATCTTGGCCCCGTACATCGGCAGCGGCCACAGGAGGATTTGCCCGAGGAATGTGGCGACGGCCCAGATTGCAGCGATGCGGGACATGCGTTTCATGTATGCGACGCGGTCCGGGGTGAAGTATGTTTCTTTGTTGAAGTGGTGGGTGTGGGTGTTTCTGGCGTTGTTTGCGGTGCCCTCAGTGTCTTCGTCTTGGTCTTCGGTGGCTCGTTTATCGCTCACGCGCTCGATGGTAAGGAACTCATCCCAGTCGAACGGGTCCTTGTTGCGGATAGAGAGGAGTACGGCAACGGGGAGGGGGACGAACATGGACGTCAGACACGCGTACATGCAGGGCAGTGTCTTGCCCGTTGTCGTGATGGTGATTTCACCATACAGCGCGTGCGCGGTCCCGAACCAGACGGCGAACCCGGCGGCCATGCCGAGTATGGGTGAAATGATTGCGGCTGCTTTCGTTTGCTTGCGCCAGAGGAGGGCGAAGCAGGTTGGAAATGTACTGGGGCTGGATAGACGAGTGTTAGCGAATGGGTGAGGGCAAGGGATTGTGAAAGTGAGCTCACCAAATCGCAATCCCAATCATATACAGCAACCAATTCAAATCAACCCCGCCTTTGTGCAACACCGTGGCAAAGGTAGAGATAAACAGCGCACATCCAACCACACCGATATGGGACCAGCGAATCAGTTGGCGGTCGGTGGGTTTCTTGTTAAAGTATCCGCCATAGATGTCAAACGATACAATCGAACTGACGGCGATGAGCTGCGCGGATGCAACGCTCGTGCAGGCCATGAAGAGGATCAGAAGAATAGCTGCTGCACCGCCTTTTCCTGCAACGGCTGATGCGGCGTAGGGCAGGACGAGGCCGCCGCTTACCTCTGCCTCGGTCATGCGGCGTGGATATGTTGGCCATGCGGGGGTTTTTGTTCGAGGACCAATGCGCCTATTGCGGTCAGCACCTACACTAGGGGTGAGAAAGGGGTGCATACCAAGCCCAACAACCGTTCCAAACGTAAATGGAATCGCAAAATACGCATTCCCTCCAAGAATATACCCGGGCACCGCAGCCGCCACATCAGCCGAGAAGCCCTTCTGCCAGAACCCCGTGTCCATGCACACGATGCCAAAGTTCGTGACGATGTGGATGATTCCGAAGAAAAGGGACTCGTTGCTCGTCATTGAGAGGTAGGAGCCTGCGTGGTTTCCAGTCACTGTGCCCTCGCTGTAAAAACCCTCTCATTCGGTATAACAGCCTCGACAACATACGAGAACCCTTTCCTGCTCGCCCGACCGTATGCAACACTCGACCACCTGACCAATGGCCGCGTAGCGTGGAACGTCGTGACGAGCTATCTCGAGAGCGCGGCCAAGAACCTCGGTCTTGGGAAAGAGATTCCGCACGACGAGCGGTACACGATTGCCGATGAGTTTTTGGACGTTGTTTATAAGCTCCTTGAGGGGTCGTGGCGGGATGATGCGGTTCTTATGGACGAGAAGCTCAAGGCGTATACGCATCCCGAGAGGGTGAGGAGGGTTGATCATAAAGGGTGAGTGGGGATTACCGAGTGGCATTGGGGTTGGTCTGGTTTGAGTTGAAACGCGGCTGATGCGGATATGCGCATGCAGGAAATACTTCAACGCCGCGGGGCCACACCTCATCGAGCCGTCTCGGCAGCGCACGCCTTTCATCTTCCAGGCTGGCGCAAGCAAGGCAGGCAAGGGGTTTGCCACGAAACATGCCGAGGCAATGTTCCTGCCAGGGATGCACATCGAGTCCGTGCGCAAGAGCGTGCTCGAGATCCGGCAGACAGCAACAGCCCAAGGCCGCGATCTAAACGGGCTGAAGCTCATCGTCGATGAAACCGACGAGCTCGCGCAGCAAAAGTACGACGAGTATCTAACCTACGCAGACCTCGACGGATCACTCGCGCTGTTTGGCGGGTGAACGGGCCAGGATCTAGCTCGGTATTCAGACGACGACGACTTCACGTTTACGGGGCCTGGGGCAATCCAGAGTATCGTTAGTAGCTGGCGAGCTACGATCCCCGGGAGTGAGGGGGTCAAGTGGACGAAGAGGCGTGTCGCGCAAGAATTGGCGCTGGAGGACCGCATCCCCGGGCTATTGGGTCGGCAAAGACTGTGGCAGATATCCTTGAGAGGTGGATTGCGGAGACGGATGTGGATGGGTTTAATATTTCGTATGCTGTTGGCCCGGGCGATCTGGAAGATGTGGTTAGGTACCTTGTTCCTGAGTTGAAGGCGAGGGGTGTCTTTTGGGATCCTTTCGCTGCTGAGGGGAAGACGACGAGGGAGAATTATCTTGGGGATTTTGCCAGGGGTTCGAGATTGAGCAGCGATCATCCTGGAGCAAAGTATCGATGGGCGGCGTCGGATGATGGGCAGTAGACTGCACTGCGCTGGAATATTATATATCCAACATAGCGTGAATGGAGCATGGTCTGCACGGCAAGAATCATCCATCTTCCAAGGGGCAGGACTCCGCTGCACACCAGAAGAGCGCCCAGCCGCCGAGTAGCAAGTAACATTCACCGGAATCTATATCCAAGGGTGGTGTGGTGGCACATCTGCACGTAAACGATCCCTTAAGCCATCGTCTATGGGGCGGAATCGCCAGAAGCCGTTTCACGAGTCAGTGCGCTTCGATCATGTGCCAAGTTCGAGGTCAGAGATCGGACGAGCTATCCTGATACGGTAAAATGGTGCGCCAGCAGGCGGTAAGGACAATACTTGTAAGGGTGGACAGCCTACGTTGTACATTCAAGTTCAAGCTAGCGATCTGAGCTCCTATTGCCTAAAAGTCTGTGGCGAATGCGATCCTGCGCAAGGCGAGCTGCAAATTCCAGATCTACTACACTATCCAAGATATTCGGTCATGTTTGTTGTATCATGAAATGTCACGTTTGGACCCCCACGATATCAGAGGCCCAGAGAATGGAATTCATCCGCGCGGGTTCGAGGAGCTGCGAGATCTCCTTGACCAGCCGGGCGCCCAGCCCATCCATCCACCACCGGTCACGCAAGTGATGCAGGACCGCGCAGTAGTGGGCGAATACAATCAGCGCCAGCGGCTTCTTCTCCTCCACGAGTTCAATGTACCGCGACGGGATGCGGAACATCCATCGGAGAGCGACCATTGTCGGGTCGCCGCCTTTGCTGAGCATTGCGAGCGAGTTGTCGAGGTATGTGATGGCCTCGTCGTAGACCTTTGTTTCGTGTGCGGGGTCCGCCTTGGCCGTTGTGTTGTTGAGGTTGCGCATGCTGAGGATGGTGAGGGTGTATGTGCTGGGCAGTTGGTGGTAGGGGTCGGCGCGAGTGAAGAGTTCCTGGAGTTCGCCCTTTTCGGCGGTGTCGAGGGTCTCTTTGCTGGGGATCAGCTGTCGGACTGTCTTGAAAAGGTCGAGCAGCTTTTCCAGCGACGAGGTGGCTTTCTGGGGGGTTGGACTTGGATCGCGATCGGGACGATCTGGGGACTTCCAATCCTCTCCGTCCAGCGCAGAGGATGCCAGGTCACACATGAAGAGAATGCTCGAGGCGGAAAAGGTCGAGTTGCATTCCGACGAGGTGGTCATCTCCTGGAGTTTCGACAGTTTCTCCACCGCCTGGTTATAGTGATGTCCCGCCGCTTTCAGGTTCTCGTTTCGTTCTGACGAGCCCGTCTTGCCCTTCGAGGCGAGGTGTATGGCCGACAAAGCGAGCGCACTGTGATGGAGGGCGGGATGCCTGGGTGCTTCCCGGCGGATGAGGGACTGCCATGAGCGATCTTTGCTCTTGGCCGGTGTGAGAGACAGTTCGGTTGTGGTCTGCCAGTTGTCGAGGAGCCGTTGATCCTGCGAGCTCAAGTCAGTCGGGGTGATGGCAGTCGGTTCATCCTGTGTTGCGTCCGATGTAGTCGACTCGGCCGACTGCGAGGAGGGAGGACTGTTTACGGCGGGAGGAGGCTGTTCTGTGGGAGGAGAAGGAGAAGAGTATCGTGACGAGTCGGAGGTGAAGGAGGCCTTGGATCTGCGAGCGGTCGATTTGTGCGAGCGCTGCGATGGTTTGGTGGGCGCCTTGTCGGCGTAGCGGCACGAGACATGCTGTGACTTGCATTCATCGCACTGCGGACGAACCTTGGAGCACTAATGTCGTCGAGGGTCAGTATACGGGCCGAGAAATAAGGAGACAAGGGCGAGTACCTCCATCTGGCTCGTGGTACATCGGGCGCATTCAAGAGGCGACCTCCGGAGGCGTCTCTGGGCAGGCATAGCAGGCGGCCTCTGTTAAACCGGCATCGACATAATCATCTCTAGTCAAACATGGCCTGCGACCGAGATGAAAAGGTCAAGAGTCGAAGATTGCATGACAGTGACCTGGCTGGAGCGACAGAGGTGAGGTTGCCTGGGGCGGTGGTGGAGGGTCTGTTCAGGGCTAAGGGGGGATCAGGCTGGCGCTTGTACCAAAAGAGTTAATGGAGCCAGCGCCGGGCGATCAGCCAGAATTGAACCACCCTTGCAGCTGGCTGCAGCTCGGTTCCAGTCGACATTTCCTCTGTCCAAGACTGTGCCAGAGGAGTGACTGTGCCGCAATCTATTCTCAGCAAAGGCGTTTGGCTTCATCTCGGCCCGCCTTGCGTGGCGCATGAGGATGGATTTGACGTGGAGGGATCTGGCTCCCGAGAGGATTGGAAATTGCGCAGTCCGAGTGTCTCTCGAACTCAAAGATAAGGAAGGCCGCTGCCAAGAAGTTGACGCTGACTGTCCAAGACCTGACGTGCCACATCTTGTGGCCACGTCAACTCCTTGTCCAAGCTACAGACTGCTCAGAGAGCTGTTTGCTGTTTGACCGTTTGATGTTGCGCATGCGATCCCTCGGCCAGATCCGAGCGATCGTCTCCAATGCAGATATTCTCCGGTCAGCACTCAGCAATCAAAAATAATAATCATGGTGCAGAATTGGGGGGACGAGCTCTGGAGCAGCAGAACGGAATCTGCGACCAAAAGGGACTAGTGGGGAATTAACTCGCTGACTAGCGCCCCAGACTATTTGGACGCCAACCTGCAAAGGGCAAGAGACTCTGCACACGGGCCCCACTGAACCCGAGGGACTGGACGCGAAGTCGCTGATCTTGCCTCTTTTGTATAATGCAGGCCAACCTTGAGTGCCCTTGGCAAGAATGCGTTTTGTCTGGCCGCTTTGCAAGTCTTCGTATCCCGTGTGGCAGTTGGCCGCACTGTCACCGATTGCATGTGCTTTTCCCCTGCTTTCCATGCTTTGTGCGCATAACAATGTTTGGAACGATGGGACGCGCATACACAATGAGCCCAATGCAACCCCACGTGTGTTCTCGATCCTGCCTGAAACCGAGTGCCATGGAACGTGGCGTTTTGGCCGCTCGACTTGTCTCCTCCCGCCATCTTGAATCAGGCTCAGCTCCGACTGATTATTACGAGCCACTTCTCCCGATTGGCCTTTGAGCTTTTCCCCCCGGTCAATCTCTCCTGGACGCGACCAGGGGTTCAGTCTGCCCTCTGCCGCTCCAGGTCCCCCGTCCACGCCTTCGCATCCTGGACATCCGGACAAGGTCCTGCTCTCGTTTCCGCTTCGCTTGCTGCCCGCCATGGCCTTCGTTTTCTAGCTTTTGCTCCTGTCAACTCTCGTTAATCTCTAACCTGACCCAAAGTTCCGACTGTGCCGCACGACCATGCTTCTGCCTCTGGGCCATCGAACTATTTGAGACCTGCACGGCCCCGTCTGGCGATGATCCTCCACAGGATCGTCGCTGTTGTACAGAGATCTTTACCAAATCTTGCCCCTTCCGTTTCGGGCGCCTGTCACACCTCCAGCCATCATGCTGCTGGACATCAACGTCTCCCTCCTCCCCGTCACGGGCATCCTGTGCATGCTCGTCTGCATCACCGTCAAGCTCTTTGAGACCTCCCCAGTCCCCAAGGACCTGCCATGGGTGCTGAAGAAAAAGGGCCTGTTCCAGCGGGCTCTGGAGCGCTTCATCGGGACAAATCCCATTTCATTTATTCAAGAGGGTTACGAAAAGGTTTGCTTTGCCGTTTGCCATTTGCCACATGGTTCCTGGTCTACCTGTTCCCATGGTTAACCTCCCCCAGTACTCCAAAAACCAGCAGCCCTTTGTGATGCCCAGCGTCAATGAAGGCGACGAAGTCGTGCTGCCCAAGGAACACTCCAACTACGTCCTCTTCGCCAAGGAGAACGAGTATAGCTTCAAAGCGCACATCCTCGAATTCTTCCAGCTCAAGTACACCAGCTGGCCGCTTGCCTTTGCCGAAAAGTACGACTTCTTCGTCAAGCTTGTCAGCAAGGACCTGACCGAGACGCTCAAATCCGATGCCGTCGCCGCTTCCCTCGCCGATGAGGCGCGCTCGTGCCTGTCTGACATGTGGGGGGAAGACACGGAGAACTGGGTCGAGGTGTCGCTGTACTCGTTTATGGAGAAGACGGCGGCCCGCATGATCAATGTGCTTGCCATTGGGCCTGGACATAGTGGTGATAAGAGCCTGCTCAACGCCATGACCAACTGCTCCAACGCGATTGTCCTTGGTGCCAACGTCATCAAGGCTTTCCCTGCCTTTCTCTCATTGTACGTACCTTTGCCTACTCTTGTCAATTGGCTGCTGACCGGTATAGCATCGTCGGTCCCATCGTCGGCCTCGTAAACCGGTGGCAAGAACGAGTGTTCCACCTCCGCATGAAGCCTCTCATCGAGGCCAGAATCATGGAGCAAAAGGAAGCCAAGGACCAAGAAGCCCTCCAAGAGAAGCTCCGAACGAATGTACGTCCTATCATCAACCGACTATATACACCCTACTAACAAGACCAGGGGAGCCTCCTCGACATGCTCATCAGCGCGGGCCTACGCAGCAAATGGTCCGTCGAGACCGAGACAATGTGGCTGGCCTACCGCATCTTCATGATCAACTTCCCCGGCGTGCACACGAGTGGCATCTCCGCGACAAGCGCCCTCCTCGACATCCTCAGCTACCGCGACTCGGACGAACTGCTGGGCATGCTCCAGGCCGAAATCGACCGCATCTCCGCGACTTCTTCCGGCGCCTGGACTGCCGCCGAGGTCGAAGAAGCCTCTCTCCTCGACAGCGCAATCAAGGAATCCCTCCGCTTCAACGGCATAAACGCCCTCTCCCCAACCCGCACAGTCGTCGCGCCCCAGGGTGCCACCCTCCCCAACGGGTTATACCTCCCCTTCGGAACCAAGATTGGAATCCCGCAATACGCTCTCCACCGCGATAGCGACCTCTACCCGAACCCCGACGAATACAACCCCTACCGGTTCTACTTGCCAGACTCGACGCTGGCCGAGAAACGGGCCAACGCCATGACGGTCACGAGCGACTCGTATGTTGTCTTTGGACACGGCCGTCGACAGTGTCCTGGCCGCTGGATCTTTGCGCATACGTTCAAGGTGCTCATCGCGGAGATGTTGCTGAAGTATGAAATAAAGCCGTTTGAGACACGGCCTAAAATTCACAGTACGTATCTACCTCTCCACCCATTATTCTGTAATGATTCCATGCTAACTGACAATCGCTTTCAGGATGGGGACGCTTCCAACTACCGCCCCTCACTACAAAACTCGTCGTCCGACGCAGAAAGCAACCCACCACCGTCGCTACTCCTGTCGCCGTCACTGCCTCCGCCTAACTTTCTTGTAATATATCTCTTGTTATACCCTCTTGCCTGTCGGCACTACATTATCTGTCTATATTTTATTTGTCATTTCCTGTCCTGTTCGGTTTGTCCTGTATCTATGTTACATAGCGAGTACCCCCCGGTCCCGGCTTCAATAGAATCTTTCCTATCTCTCGTCACGTCGTCTAGTCTCTACTCCCTACTAGTAGATAAAGATCTACTAGTATTACAGTTCAGTACACTGCACTTACGGTGCGAAGCCCAAGTAGTAGTAGTAGAGTAGTAGTATACGCTAATATGCCTAGATTACTTACTACTAAAGCAAGTGTCATCGCGGCGGCGACGGCGAAAACCGAAACCCATCCGCGGAGCGGTGCCGCCCCTCAAAATCCGACTCCTTGCCTACACTCAGCTTCTCATACATGGCAAGCATATCGCCTATCCCCGACGCCGTATACTCCTGTCCAACACCAGCTTCCTCATCGGTGAGTTTGTCCGGGTTCTCCGTGTACCCCTCGCGGTGCGCTGGTACTATCGCCTCGGCGTCATCCAGGAAAAGCTCCTTTAACCCGGCCGGGAGGTTCGCGATATCGCGCATGCCCGCTCGGTGATCGCCACGATCGGCACGGAGTCGCGAGCGGACGGAGTGTCGGAAGATCTGGAAGATCTTTACCCCGACATGGGATCGTCGCGCAATGATTGAGAACGTGCTGGTCAGCGAGCAAAAGTCGTGGTCCAGCACGTTGAAAACAGGTTGTTCGAGGAAGGCAAAGAGCGCAAGCATGACGGCGTACATGGCGAACTGGTGCGCGCGGTCGACGCCGTACTCGTCTCTGTGCAGTTGAGCTAGCGCACTGATTTCGCGGGCGGATGTAAGCGCCGCCTTGAGGGCCCGTAACTCGGTCGGATCCGTGTGTCGCCTATGCCCGGGTTGGGATTTGAAGGGTTGTTCATTCGTAAACGAGTCGCAGTACAGATTTATCAAGAGCGCGTGGTACCGCATCTGCAGGACGATGATGTGTGCGGCGGGCTTGCGCGCTGGGTCGAAGGTAGCGGGGAGATTGGCTTTCCATTGCCAGAGCTGGTTGTAGAAGTCTTCTTTGCGTTCGGGGATGTTCGCGTCGCGTTTTGCGCCGGCGCCGAGCACGCGCGAGATGTCGCGGGCGATGAAGGAGAGGTCGCAGGCGTCGTCGAAACATTGGCTTAGCCACGATGGCCGCGGTCGCCGGTCGATGGGGTACGGGATCCAGAGATCCGTCGAGTCGGAGGTGTTGCGATCGGTGCGGTCGAGGCTGACTTCAGTGACTCGACTGGGTCGTAGAAAGTTGGCGTGGACTATCCTGTTGGACTGTCTTAGCAGCAGAACCACAAAACACCCGGATAGACAATATCATATGACGAACGTGTCTATCTGGAACAAGCCCCAAGCCGTCCGTTGCAGGGACCTCAGCATCTCATCGGAGAATCCCAGCTTTTCGACATCGAGGCTGGGATTGTTGATGATTCCGAGCGCCTCGGCCATCTCCAGCGCTTGGTTGAGCATCATGTACCCGTAGTCGTCGATGCCGGCCATGGAGTACCTAGGAAAAGTCATTAGAGCCTCAGGGAACAGAGTAAGCTAGGGGATTCATGATACACCACATTTCATATAGGATAATTGTTGCTTGCAGTGAAGCTAACCGCACGACGGAGCCTTTTTGGTACCGACTGTTTTCGAGATAGCGTTCGGCTTCTGCGAGAAAGTCGGTGCCTTTTGTTTTGACGTCTCCTGGTACAGTGTACGCCTCGGAGTATTGAGAGTAGTGCTGTCGAGATGGTTAGCTGGGCATGGACCGAGTCGAAGAGAACGTACGCAAGCCTGGGCAAGCAGGGCATTGACAAGAAACGGACTACAAAAGTCGGAAAACGGATCGCCCTTTGCCATATGGGCAAGAAAGATGTCGCAGTCGATAAAGGCGTAGAACGGATAATCCCACGCAAAGTACAGCGAGACCAGATGCGACACTAGAGCGTCGTCGTTTGTCGCAGTGGTCCACGGCAGCGCAGGCACCTTGTACGGCGCAAAGTCGCAGAGATAATGCACATCCATGACCTTTGGGCGAAATGGCGGAGCGCCGCTCTCGACCTCGTAGCCATGCTGCAGCTTCTGCAGCACTTGCGAGGCTCCGTCCGGTTGCTCGGGTGGATGACTGACAGTGAGGGCCTGGTCGAGGTACGCGCGGACCTGCTGAAAGCTCGCTCGATCACGAATCATCTGCAGCAACTCCTCCGTGCGAGTGGGATCGCGAGACTGGATCAGGGTAAACAAGTCACCCAGGAGGTCACGATAGTAGTCGGAGCTATCGGGGCTCGTCGTCGCGACCGCATGGTACGAATCCAGATCCCGCCTACAGTTGCGACAGGGCGCCAAGGGGGAGCACTATACCCCCATGTCAGCATCAGGGTCGCACGACCACGTCCAGGGACCTGCCTTTTGCCCATACTGAACCCATGTGAGACAGGATTCTGAGGGCTGTGCTTCCGACATGGTTTCTCGTGGTGGTGGGATGGAAATTAAGGATTGCGGTCGGCCTTGAATGGGGAAGAAATGCGCCGTTGGCTGTGACGATGCGATGACGACACGCGACGAATCAGAAGTGCAGGAGTCTTTCTCCTCATGACGAGCACCAAATTCATTGGCCACTCAACCCTCTCAATACTACGAGGTCTCGTAATTGTCTAGTTACAAGATCTAGTGGCTTCGAAATATAGGTTATCGTATGCTGCGTTGGAAGGGGGAGGGGGCCAGACATGTATATATATCCGGGTGCTGCCTACACCGCATCTATAAGGCTACATGGATTCCGAGATCACCAATCCCAGGGCAGGATGTCTACAGCATCATAGTCCGCCCATAGCCGCTCTTCCATCGATCCGAGTGAAATCCGCAGCTCGACACCGGCCGTTTTGCGCTTTTCATCCAACAAAGGCGGCAGCTCCCAACTGTAACGCGACCGGGCGGTAGGTTCCATCTCACCGTCATCGGGCCCGTCCTCCCACGAGCGATTCGTGATTCTGGACAGATTGGGCAAGTTTGCCTCCTTCCGATCGAGGAGTTCATCGAGCCACCCCCCGCCGTACGGTCCTCCATCGTCGCGGAAGAAATCGATGTACCCTGGGTCGTCGTAAGAGACCTCCAGCGTCTCCAGATTAGGAGGAAGACCCCTCCAGCACTCGCGAGGATCCTCAATTCCGCAGAGGAATACCTCGAGAATCCTCAGGATTGTCAAGGCCTTGAAATCGTGCAGGTCGATCCGCGGGCCCATGAAGAGCCCTTCGTGCTTCAGCCCCGCCCGGGTCAGGGTGAGCTCTTGCAAATGTGCCTTTTGAGGCTGCAGTGCCCGCACAAATGCGGCGCACGTCCAGGGGATGACGGGTTCATTCTCGTAATGGCCTTCCCACTCTCCCTGGTCCGCGTCATAGTGAAGGCTTTGCAACGCAGCTGGCCAGCTCAGCGCGGCAGCCAGCGCGTCCTCTTTGGCGCCACAATTGACCAAGTTCAGCCGTAGAACCGTCGACCTACCGACGTGGTCGTCGTTTTCGAAATCGAGGGGATACCAGTCGCGAAAGCTGCAGATAGTCAAGGTATGCATGCGATGCCAGAACAGAGCAGACACATCCTCAAAGTCATCCGCGCATCTGACAATGGCTGATTCGGTATGTTCTAGGAGGAGCGGATTCTCCTCCAGCGCCCGGTGGAATTTCGTCCGCGTTCTGGGAGAGCTCCCGACAAGGATATCCCGGTAAAAGAAAGGCTCGACGATGCGGCTCAGTCGACGTGCAGAAAGCATCAGAGAACGGAGATTGCGAGCCCGCTGAGACAGTGTACAGGCATCGACTGCCTCGTTGCACCAGTATGCGACGGCCCAAAAGGCCAGAGAGGGCTTTTCGTGGTCGTGGTCGAGATAACGGACTATTTCGACAAGGATCTCGTCCGGAAGGCTGAGGAGGTTGACCATGTTGGTTCAATGCGTGGGAAGTGATTCGGGTGTCGTGTTGATAGTGGTTTGGGCAAGTTGGGTTCCTTCTTGGGTGTCTGTACTAAGAGAACGCGATGCCACGCCGAGACCCATGGTCGACTGGATTGTCTTGGCTCTGACGAGCAGGACATGTTCAGTGCGCTTTGCACGGGGACGTTGCGAGGATATCTTCAAGCTACGGTCGAGGCCGAGTCGCATATCTTCGCCTTATGTCAGTCTATGGGGAAAGACGCTGTGATCTTAAAGAAATCCGTTCCCTGCAGTGAGTTGAATCAAGCCTGGCAATCCATAAATTCGATCAATTCGAGAAGGGAAGCGCAACAAACCACGATGAGTGGAGGCTGGACACTCGAGAGAGATACGATCAGAACATAAACCCCGAATGACTTTCCCTACGTGGTTGACAGCTTGCCGATCAACCCCCATATTGTATACTCCCTGCAATTCCCCACACTAGTTGCTCAACTGCGAATGCCCGGTTGGTGTTTGTACAGAGTCACGTGATGTCATGACGCGGTCGCGTTGTTTCGACGCGTCCAAGTCGCGTCGAGGAACGCACACTTGAGAGCCGCAAAAACTGCACCCCGCTTCTCAAAGTGATCGGAGAGCATGCGTACAACAACCTTCTCAGGCATGACAGCCTCAGACGCTCATCCGGTGTCCCACTCAATTCGACCGCTGCAGCGCCGCCAGCTCTGGGAACTGTGGTTCGAGGAAAAGCTTACTTGGGCAGCCTAGAGACTGACATCATTGCAGGCAAATCAGATGCCATCTCACGGATTGTCGAATAGGCCTTTTATGCCGTCCTCGTTGACAGGACCTGCTGCAGGGTCTGGTTTTCCTAAAAAGAGGTCGTATGTCGATCTAGCGGAGTGATGAATGATATGTGAATAGCTCCACCTATCTGGTATAGTGTGAGTGTAATATGATGTTCTCTATGTGTGATGGTGCATCAATACTTTCTATCTCGTCCTGGAAGTTTGTACCAAGCCTCTCAACCTCGCAACAGCATCAATCTAGACTCCTTTAGAACACGTATACCCCGGCCAGTACTCATCCCACCCCCACCCTCGCCACATCATCGTTAAACCAAAGCGGCTTCTCATTCCCCCGGAAAGATCCTCCATCGCCGACGCCCACCCTGGCTAGTTTAGCTTCGCCGTACTGTCTCCCGTATATGCACAACCCGATCGGTGTCGCGTATCCACCATGCCCGAAGGGCACCGCAGTGGTTGGATACACGGCGTAGGAGGGACCAGATGCTCAGCATCCTCATTCATGCCGTCATGCGCAATGGGGACGAGGAGCCCGTCCAATTTAACAACTGTGCCGTTCAGGAGCAAATGCGCGCGCTAGCTATTAATGAGCTGACTAAATTCACAATGCCCGCAGTAATTAGAATTAGTGATCAAGCGTGCTTGCACTTTGATCTGAATCACCATATCCATGCTTGGAAGTAACCAAAGAAGTATCTTCATCGCAATACATATTCGAGTCGTCTAAGGGCCAGATATGGAGATATAGACCAGGACCATAATGCCTATTCCGGCTCACAGAGAACACAGAGCCAGGTTGGTGCTAAGGTAATACAGGAGATGCGCCAATTGCTTATTGTTCTAAGATTTGAACGGTCCCCGAATGTAGTCATAGCGTATGAACAGGCGTGTATCAACCGGCCTTACCAATCACTAGAATCTTAAAGTGAGTAGCTTACTAGCAACATGTAATCACCTAGATTACGCACGAAGATATCTCGGGGTCGACTGATTGATTATACTAGTATGACGCACTGTAGTATGTGGTACTACGATTCGCCTTCTCTCTTGGGTTGCAGGAAATGATCCGCCAAAATGATCCGCCAAAATGATCCGCCGAGAGAAGCATTTAATAGGCTCGGGTTGCACTCACTGCAAAAACTGTGCTTGGAGTTGGTTTAAGCTCTTTTATTCAGATAAAAAGCCGGAGGCCCACCCATAGAAAGGATGGGAGGCCTACAGCATAACACAATGAACAAGAAGCTATGATCCCAGCAAGGGCAGTGGAGGGAGCCCGGATATCACCCCAATCTGATCGGTGGGTACTGGATGCCTGGCCCAGCTCACACATCGGTCTCATTGCCTGGCATTCTGCTATTGGCTAGGAAAGAGCAAAATCTAAAAACATCATCTGTCCGGAGCCGCAAACAAGGACGACCACATTATCACAGACAGCCGTGAATCTCGGCCTGTATTTGGAAGGGAGCCAAAGCATATTCTGACCCTTGTAAGTGATCCATCTTCTTCGAACAAATAACCCAGGAGGTTGAAATTCCAGCATGTCCCCGGACCGATTCAACTTGAGAGGACCAAGATTCGTGTTTAGAGACTGCTCATCCTCAGAGAAAGATAGACTCGTTATTGCAGGTATGTCCTCAAGCTTACACAAGCACACCCCAGTTAGCGTGTCCCAGAGTCGCAGGGAGTTGCGAAGTGTAGCAGATCTGGAATAGAGCCAGTCAACGAACGCATCACCCGATGCAGATGCCAAGAGGGTGCCATCGTGTGTAAATTCAGCCCTCTTAACGTTATTCGCATGACCACTGAGTGCTTGCAAGTCTTTCGAAGATAGATTGTAGAGATAGACTATCTTTTCATCAAACACAGCCAGTTTTGTAGAGTCAGATGAGAAACTAGTTTCGCAATCGATACGTGAATCTAGAGGAATGGTCTGTAAACACTGGCCATTGGATATATCCCAGACTTGGACAATACTTCCGACCTGTGAGACCAGTTTATCCTCGTCAGGCGAGAGAGTGACCGTTTTAATCCTTCCTATGCAACCATTCAGTGTCAACAGGCATTTCCCACTTGATTTATTGCAGATTTTCATTGACCCATGGTAGATTGACAGGACCTGATTGTCAGAAGAAGAATCTCGGCACTGTCCAGTTGATAGATCCCATAATGTTTCCTGGTGGTAGGAATAGAACGCCAGGCTTTTATTGGAAACAAAATGAAGGTCGCGGGAATTTTGTCCCTGGCACTTCAATTCTTGCAGACACTTTCCGGATGGAATATCCCAGATTTGGATCGTATCACTTTGGGCCGATGCTAGCTTTCTCCCATCGGGCGACGTAGAGATCCTGTCGGCTTTATCATATCTCTTTTCAACTGCATCAGGGCCTTGTACAGCTGTCACGTCCCATATCAGTACCGTATCGTCATATGATCCTGATGCAAGCACTGTCTTCTCGTGATGCAAGGAAGGAGAGAAAGCCACACTCAAAACCGAACATGTATGCCCACTCAGTACTCGCAAGAGGGTTCCATTATGGGGATTCCAAAGCCGCACGGTATTTCCATTACGGCAAGTCGCCGTTGCTAAAATGTTCCCGTCTGGCGAGAAAGCTATGTCCATTACACGAGCGTTGTGCTCGAGGACTATTCGGCATTTCCCAGTGATAGGATTCCAGAGCCTAAGAGATTCATCCCGCGATGACGATGCCAGTATGTTGCTGTCGGGCGAAAAGGCAACTGCAGAGACCTCTCTAGTATGGCCTTCAAGGGTTAGGAGACAATGTCCAGTCGATGGCTTCCACAGTTGTATGGCGCTTAGATCAACGCTCGGATAAATGCGCTTAGTCTTATTGCCGCAAGCCGATGCAAGCATCTTCCCATCGTTAGAGAAAACGAGTGTGCAGATTAGAGCAGTGTCGGTCTCTAAGACGTGCAGGCACATTCCAGTAAGCGCGTTCCATATACGTATAGTACTATCGACCGACGCAGATGCAAGTGTGATGGGCTGATAGGGCGCAGGTGAGAATGCAACGGCAGATATACGGCCCGCATGCCCTTTCAGTACATGTAGACACTGCCTAGTAACGGGATCCCAAAGCCTGACTGTCTTGTCAGATGACGTGGATGCGAGTGTCTCTCCACTGAATGAAAAGGCAACCTGATGGACCGGCAGAGTATGTCCCGCTAATGTCCCTAGGCAGTGCCCAGTAATAACGTCCCATAGATACACCATGTGACCGCGTTTTGATGCTAGCATACCCCCATTTTTCGAGAATGCGATGCTGTTGAACGTCTTGGAAATGCTCCAAAGATCATCACACTTGGTGGATGAACCCCTCCGCGACTCCCCCGGTGGAAGGCTCCCGGGCTGCGCCAGTGGCTGAAGCGTGTGTAGACAGTCACCTGTAGGGGTATCCCAAAGTTTCACCGTGCTCCCAGATGTTGACGCGAGTACCTTTCCATCTGGTGAGAAAATGACATACTTGGCACCACCACGCTCCAGCTCCAGGGTCTGTTCATCAGGACTCCAATCACTTTGAACGGAAGGTATCTTCTTCATCCACCGGGTGAGACCATCCTGGGAGGTCGCGCGAATGATGCTTTGTGACGGGGCGAATAAAAGTCCGCTAAAATATATCTGTAGCGGAGCTTCCTCTAGTATAGCCTTGTTAACCCGAGCTAGGCGCCTTGCATCCCAAATAAGCTCATAAAGACGGGGGCAGTCATTGTCCTAGTTGCTTAATTAGTTAAGGAGTGTGGCTGGGAAGAGGGAAGAAGCCATACGTACGAGCGCCATAGACTCCAAAGACACTATTGCTCGAATCCCTTCCGGCACCCTGCGCATCCAGCCAAGGGCTTCGAGCCAATGAAGGATGTGCTCGCTTAGAAACTCATGGACGGCGTCATTATCCTCTAGCGGAGCATTGCTCTGTTGGAGATGTTGCACCCAGAAAAGACACGCATATTTGACCTCTAACGAGAGGCTTTGCTGCAACCGAGTCTCATCCACATCATCGATTGACGCTCCATAATTGCGGATATCACAAATATCTTCCCTAAGAGATGAACTCATGAGGTGCAGGCAACCGTATGCTAACTCGTGATGCGCCTTCTGTTCATCCACCCAGAAATTTGGATCGTTGCATCTGCCTTTATCAAGCAAGAAGTCGCGAAATGAAGGGTGGTGTAGACGAATCGAACGACTGAGGTCATGGGGAATGTCTAGGATAGCGTGGAGGTTTCGCAGGATGTAGGTAGTGCTCTGTATCCGAATTTGAAGCAGCCTGCATAACGATTCGAGCGGCAGCGGCGAGGAAAGAAGAATAACGGCCCCAAGAACCTGTCTGAGGAGATTATAGAGCTTCTTTTGCTCTTGGTCCGTGTAGGTCATGGAAACAGCCCTCCTGAGTACTGAGGTATAAATCTCATTAAGGCTTTCCTCGGGGCCGGTGCTTGACGACCCGCCTTGAACGAGAGTATTCAGTCGTTCCTGGGCAAATGGACCTCCCTCGTCAATGAAACGACACGCAGTTGCACACCATATAAAAAGGCCACTTGATTTAGCTGCAAGAAACTCGACTGCGTCTGGGGCGGGCCACGAGGAGTCAAGAGCCATTGCTTGTGCTATCATGCGTAATTCATGCTGGAGATAGACGGAGATGTCGTGATGCAGAGCCTCGGACGGTAGATGATGAAGTATCAAACCGCAGCGGCTTTCTTCGGGTAGGCGAGAGACTTCATTTTCAATGGGGAGAGTCGGTCTGCTCGTTATGAATACTCTGAGAACATCGGACGCGGCCAGTTGTGCCTCGCCCAACAGCTGTATGATGGTCCGGATGTTCCTATCGTCATCGCATTCATCCAGAGCATCGATCACGACGACAAATGGGGGCACGCCGCAGCGATCAGTCAGACTGGATAACGGACGAACAACGAGTTGACGCCATTGGTCACTGAGAGATTGCGTCCCTATATCAACACATGCCTCAATCGTTTTGCAGATAAACGACTGAAGAGGTATGATATGGTTAGCAAGCTGTCGGGCAATGGTCGTGACAAATTTTCCAGCATGACCGACGTCTCCGCCGCCCCTGGAGAAGAAGAAGCTGGCCCCAAGGCGTTGCTTCTCATGGTATCGCCGGGCGATCGTGCGAGCAATTGTTGATTTACCGATTCCTGCCCATCCATTCAGCCAGAAGATGGAAGATCCGTCTTGCCTATCAGCCCAAGCATTGATCTTCTCGAGAACCTGGGAACGGGTGTTATCGAGACATGTCCGCTCGTGCTGTTTTTGATACGAGTTGAAAGTTGCTTCCGCAACATAGTGCAGGCGGTTCAGCAGCTCTTGGTTGACTATTCCCAGCGTATCAGCATCGATCCGCAGCAGTACCTAGGGCTTTGACTAACCTTCTTTGTCTTTGAGGACCTCCTCTGGAGTCCGTACCCCTGCAACAGAGGCAGGCGGTATGACGGTCAATAGCTCCTTTGCATATGCCGCAGCCGTTGCGCTCGCATACGGCTGCCACTCCTTGCTTTTGTGCGAGTCAGCGTAATCGCAAATGCCTCGAATGACAATACAGCCGAAAGTATTCATTAGGCCAGCCGCCTCCATCTCGAAACAAAGCACGGTTCCAAGTTCGGAGCTGACTCGATCGCGTTCAATTCCGCTTCGCATCACAAGATTGCCTGACGCAATGGTGCCGTAGTGGACTACTATACGCTTCTCACGAGACCCACGCTGTACTGCTCTGTATCTGTCGCAATCTTTGCAGGTGCCACCGCCATCATGTTCGTACTCTGCCTCAAAAAGGACGTCCTGTTCAGAGCTTGGTGACTCGAACCCTGATAAGCTCTTGAAATGTCCGACGTGCTCATGGAGCCTAGCCTGTCCCCTCAAGTGGCTAGCCTGCACTTTGGCAACGGCCTCAAGCAGGATCTTTGGCGGAGCATTTAAGTGACCCGCCCGCTCAAGCCCAGTCGGGGTAGACTTCCCAAAGTCATACTGAACCACCCCGCCATGCATCTTCTCGGGGAGACTGACAACGACGTCCCCAAGACGAATATCTGCTTTCGAGGATGGAACACCTCCACCGATTCCAACAAGCAGAGTGAATCGCACCGCCGGATACGAAGCCTGTAGCCGCGCGGCAACAGTGGCAGCGGAGTTTGTACCCATCTGGCCCTTCGGAAGGCATGCGATGACGACGTTATGGCCGGCTATGCGGCCTAGTGTGTATATACTGTTTGGATCATGGTTGTCGAAATCGTCGTGTGTCTCATCGAGCATCTCCTGAGCGGCGGCGAGTTCTATGGGAAGGGCGCAGACCCATCCCACGGTGTAGTCTTCGACCGACAGGCGCCGCCGTTTCGCCATAGGAGCACCTATTGCTAACCACGACAACTCAAGTTGTGCTAGCTTCAGAAGGTACCGGAGCTTGTCGTAAAGTTGAATATCTGACGATCTCGTTCGTTCGACGGAGGGGGCAGGTGAAATGAGGGGCAGAGCCCACGTCAGCAAGGCAGACTCCGTGTTGCAGGAGCGAAAAAAAGCAAAAATACGAACCGACCACTTTGCGTTGCTGACGTTCATTGGCAGCCGGCGGGAATCTTCTGTGCAATTCGAATGGCGTTTGAATCAGCCTCCGATTCATCTTGAGACGCAAGCGAAGGATAGGAGTGGCTGGTAAGGACAATGAAAAGCACAACGCTGTCTTCAAAAGAACTATGGTCGGTATTATAGGAAGATCCTGAAGGAATGACAAAGATACTATACCGAACGTACTCGCTTTTGGATCGATATTAATGTAATAGCGATGGATCGTATGATAGCTCAGAATCCACAAACCTTAGGTCGACGAGGGCCATCAGGATCAAGAACTACGGGGCAAGTTTACGGATGGAGAAAATAAAGAGGCAGGGGTTTTATTACGGCAAAATCATCATTGACACTGGCATGAGGCATATAGCCGCATAATACCCATATCCTATCAGAAGAAGGTAGAGTACAAGAACTACTATAGATTATATTGTTTGATAAGCCGCTCTGTACACAATTAGACATTATAGAGCTCTCGGCTACGCGACCTGGCTAACCATGATCAGTCGTCAGCGTCTAAATGAGGGCCGCAGCAGCGAGGCCTAGCAGACCAGCGGCCATTTGAGCATATCCAGGTTGGAAACGGAGAACGGATGCCGCTCCAGTAAATACGCTTCCCACGGCACTAGAGGTGTCTGACGCAGTCTGCTCGTGAGAAGAGGAAGCAGAGATCACGGCAGCTGATGAGCGGGAGGCGACAGACGTAGTAAAAGTAGGATGGGCCTGCTGGCTAGAAGATGAGTCCGGGAGTCCACCTTCAGTTTCTATCCCATTGGATCCTGAACCCGTTCCAGTCTCTGAAACGTCAACTGCAGTCTCAGTGGGCACCTCCACGGGGATAAGTGTCACAGTCGCATAGCTAGGCAGCGTCTCGGTTGATAGGTACGTCGTCTGCTGCTGGGCGGGACAATCTGGGACTGACAGCGGACAAGCGATGATTGTGTGTATGGATGTTTGGTATACAGTAGAGATTGTCATCTCGTGCCCAGGTAGAGGCGCCTGTGTGGTAATCGGGGCGTCAGGGGCAGAGGTTTCCGTTGCGGTAACTGGGCAGATAGTGGTGTAGATGTCGATCGTCTCTGTGGTTACGTATGTGGTTTGCTCGGAAGCGGGGCAGTCGCGGACAAAAGAGGGACAGGCAGTTAGTGTGTGGACCTCAGTAACAGTCACTGTAGATGTAGTCAAGGGAGCGGTTGTGGTGGCTGGGAGTGTATGTGACGAGGTGGTTTGGGTAGCTCCGGGGTAGGTCGCAGAGGTCGAACTCTCGGTATCCTCAGGGTCATACTCCGTGCAGTCATCATCCTCGGTGTCGTCGTCACCCTCGGTGCCGGGAACTGGCGTAACTTCAGAGCCAGTCTCGATAGTGGTGGAACTGGCGCTAGTAGTAGTTGCCACACTGGAGGGGGGAGGGCTTGGTGTCGGGGTGTGAGAAGAGACCGGAAGTGTTGGTGGGCGGGAAGGAATGACCGGGCGAGAAGAGGAAGGCGAAGAGCTGGGACTAGCAGGTGGGGACAAAATAGAGGAGGTAGAGGTGGTCGAGGACGATAAAACCGGATCAGGAGTGGGCGTTGGTGCAGGCGTTGGCGTCGGGGTGATGCTATACGTCGACACAACAAGGGAGGTCACGGTATCAACGACAGTCGAGACGATCGTACTCTCACAAGGCTGGTAGTCCGGGCTATATCGGCGTGCCGCCTGGTACGGCCCCCCGGCTGTGATGGTCAATTCGCCCGTCATAAGGTAGCAAAGCTTAGCGGTAGCATCCCAGTAGGTACCGCTACATCCGGTTCGAACAGCGCAGCCGGACATGCAAGCCCTGAGTGATAGACCTGCACTCCTTGAAATGAGGGAGCCGCCACTGACTGAGGCTGCGCAGTACTCTTCCCATACTGCGCCATAGGTGTTGTAGAACCCATCAATGCAGCTAATTTGAGCCGAGCCGCTCACTGAACAGTCGGCCAGCGTTGAAGTGGACGTTGTTACAGCGGTTGTCGTGTAGACCGAGGTGATGGTGGTGGTGCCGATGCTCGCTGCGGCAAATGGGGAGAGCGCGGCCAAGAGGCCAAATAATTGAACGTTGAATGACTTCATGTTAGGTTGAGATACAGTAAAGACTGACGGGAAAAGAGTGACGACAGATTAAGCAGTAGGGACTGATACTGACAGAGAGCCAACGCAGCAAGAAACAAATTTCGACGACCATGTGGCAGAAGTCGAGTTTTATTCTCTATTTTGCCCAGTGCCGCTAACAATCAACTATTGATTGTTGTTCTCGAACTGGGCGATAACTGCCGACGAGATGGCTCCATCTGTCCCTAGCGTGGCGGGCATCTCCGAGCGCGTGGCGAGTTCGATCTAGAGATCTAGACCCGATTCATGTTCTGGTGGGTCTGAACGCTAAGAATAACATAGCCCTGCCCTATCTCGGGAGAGACGGGCCCGGGGTTCCTGGCCGGTGGGATTAGGGTGGGTTCTATATGGAGATGGTTCGGAGCCACGCTGGGCATAGTTCTCAGAGGAGATGCCGACTTTATTAATCAATCTGAGCTCCCGAATCAATGGTACCAGACACCGTGGGTGTTTGATTTGAGAGCAGGGTGCAGAGGCGACGTCCGCATGATGAACACGGTGACAATAAGTTGTAGTTACAATGCCAATGGGCGTGCTAGAAGACTCAAAGCCGGCTGTAAATCTGGCCCTTGCCGTCAACGGAGACAGATGATTATAGAAAGGTATATTGTGTAGTGGCCTCTATTAATAGTGTAGCTTGGATACGTTCTTGTTAGTTACCTTACCATGAGTCATAATTACAAACTACTCGGATTGCATATTAGAGACAAAGATTAGAATAAAAAAGCCATGAAGAATTCAAAAAGGTGTATTTTGCCTGTTATACTGGAGCTATTCAAACTGCGACTCCCAGAGAACCTATTCTAAAAAACGAGCGACTGACAAAAGCAAGCAGAAACAAGAGGAAGCGGCATACTCTCAGTTCACCCACCCTGCCTTCTTCATCTCCTCTACAAACGCATCCCTAAAATTCTCAGGATCATCATCCCAATCGCCGCTCATCTGCTTGATAAGCTCCTCAAGCGCCTCCTCGGCAGCATCCAAGAAATCCGATTCCTTGGCCGGATCAAACGAGCCTAACCGCTCGAGGGGTGGAAGTGCAGAGCGCCTCGTCTCCCCGTGGCAAAGCTCGGGGCTTGAAGTGTCCGGATCCACCGTATAGACATAGACATCCAACTTGACATCGACGTCCGAATCGACCTGCTCGAATTCGACGGGCCAGATGGTAATTGTAACCTCGATGAGATCGGGCATCTCGGGGAAGGATTCGCAGGCGCAAGAGGCTGTCACCAGCGTTTTCTTCGTCTTGGCTTTCTCTGTAGCGTCCTCCTTTGGCGGGTCCGCTGCTGCTGTTTTGGCGCCTTTTTGCTTCGATGGACGTACCTGAGGAATTGGGCGCTTGATGGTCTGCGTGGGGACACGCTTCTTGGCAATGTTGGATGAGGTAGGTGTGAGAACCATTTTGGCGTATTGATGCTAGGTATGGTTGGATTGGAGGTGGTGAGATATTTAATGGACGTTTACAAACGAGGATCATGCCCGTTTATATAGCTAGTAACCATCCCTGTCTTTGCTTGGAGGCTGTTATACATACGCTCCTTGTTTGGTCAACATCTGAAAGAAATTTGCAAGCTATGGTTTCATTGTATAAATAAAGACCATTATAAAGATCTTGATCTAGTTGAGAACAAAAGCCTTGTTGACCTTTCAGTCAAGCATCGAGGTAAAAATGGACTTACAAAGGGGAGAAGGTCTTGGAAAGTACTTGATCAAGGACGGGCATTGTTGATACACTGGCTGCGTCCTGTATGTTTCTACTTCGTTGTCATGTTGCGAGTACATGTTGGCAGAGAATCGCCGTTCAATTGTATCCTGGGTAAAGGACAGCACATCAAGTATAGGAATCTAGTGCCAGTTTATCATTGCTCTAGTATAATAGACCCTAACCTTCAGTTCTCTGCTTACCATCGCCTATTCCCCTGTCCCCGCATCCAATCCCCTCTTCACAGCCCTCACAGGAACAATCATACTCTATCAGAGTCAACTTCAGAAAGGTTGGCCTAGAATCGCAACCTAAGCAACCTAAGCAACCCATTCATAGCTCAAAACCGGAATCTCAAACGGCTCGGCGGTACAAGTCGCATTAAAGGCCGCATCATGCACACACTCGAGCGGGAAATCCGTGCTGCCCGAATACGTGATCTTGCGTCCATCGTCACAGGTAAGCGCATGTCCAGCGCCCAGGACATAATCCATATGCCCCGTGGAAGAATCCTCATTCGAAGTCCCATAAAACGAAACAATCCGACCGAGACCGCGATCCGCGTATCCGCAGTTACTCTCACCATGCGCAATATCGTGCACGCGATACCCGATATACTGATCGGCGCAGGTGAGTCCATCCGCGAAGTCGATGTGGAGTGTTTGAGGTGGGCCGTAGCCCCAGGGTTGGTAGTTTGGCATGCCCGTGTAGCAGACGTTGACCCAGCTCCCGACGCCGGCGCAGGTGGCTTCGTTGGGCTCGCACCAGGTATTTCCGCAGAGGCAGCCTTTCGCGTTGATGTCGGCTTCGTTGTGGATGCAGTCGAGGCTGGACGAGCCGTTGTACCAGCGGAAGTTTGTCACGCGCCAGGTAGGGAGGGGGCAGCCCGTGGGTGGGGTGATGGAGCGGGGGCGCAGGGTGAGGGAGGTGGCGGAGGTGGAGAGGGAGAGGAGGCCGGTTGCGATGGTGAGGAAGTTCATTTTGGAGGTTTTAAAAGTGAAGTTGGAAAGTTGGAGTTTTGATTCTACAGTCCGAGCAGGTCGGGGAGAGAGTCGCTCTTATATACTTGTATCCACGACAAAGACAAGCTCACCCCAATACCGCCTATGCAGCTTAAATGCAAGTAAGCATCAAGTAACCAAGTACGTTGACTCGTACGAGACATGCAGAAGCTGGATCGCCCTATACGAAAAGGGTATCCAAGACACTGTGACGACTTAATGCAGACAAGATAACCTGATCTCAGTGGTGGCGCCTGATGCGTCGAATTTTCCCAGGAAAGATCGCGGAGTTCCCGTCGCAGAGCTGGCGAGGTCTCACTCCGGAGCAGGGTTGATGAAACCTCGGCGGTTTCTGAGCCTAAAATCGGATGATCCGACTGGTCTAGAACCAGACTATATGCGAGATTTAAGACATGAGGCATACTCTACTGGGCCAAGTCATGCAGAAGCGGGGAAGGCGACCTTTTGCTTTTTCTCTGCATGATCACGGCGCAGTAGTGCGCTGCAACAGTGCAGGGGTTCGGTAATGACAGCCCAATCATCAACCTTTGTTCTTGGCCACGTTCTCCCCTCTGGGCAAATGGACGTATTTCATTGTACCACGACATGAGACAGGACATAGACAGAGTACTATTTTGTGGCGAGCTGGAGAGTCGCATACTCCAACTGAGCTTGTTTCGTGACAAGAATAGCCGACTGGTCGAGATAACATCTGGAATTACCGGGTATCCTCAGTTGACAAAGTCATTAATGGCTCGAGGACGAGATCCATGGCTGTTAAGTTGATGTGCATACCCAAACACGAGACCATTTCGCTCGCTTGCTATCTTCGAGAGTTAAACCCCGCAGCATTCGACAGAATCTCTGGTATTCAGCGGGAAATTCCGCACTATGTGATGAAGAAGCGACTCACCGTATATAGCCCTATGGTGAAGCCAAATGTCGAAGCTTTTGCGTCGTGGTGATAATCCTTGCGGTCTAGTAACCGTCTTTTGGTCAGTGGTCTAGAATGGCCCAGGGTATCGCGTCTATCGGGTTTGACGCCTTAGCCGTCCCGAGACCTAGCTGCTCGTTTGTTTGCAGAAGGCAGCCAAGCGCAAACAGGCATCTACACGGGCCATGAGTAGAATAGAGTCGGCTCCATCGTCAGGAGAGTCGCACCTCTCTATATCCTGGTGCATTTCCTCAGTTGCTAACATCATTTGGTGACAAGGAGAAACTCCGACCAAGGGACTCCATTCTGAGGACAACTACAAACACCTTTCGTAGAAACTCCAAGTCGCCACTCTTGTGATTTCAGGTCTTAGTCCAATTGCTCCACTGTTGGTGGTTGTTTGCATATAGACGAAAATCAACCAGGGCTGTCAGTGTTGTCACCTCAAACTGGAGAGGTGCTTCCATTCGAGACCTCCAAACAACCGAACTTTGTCCGTGTAACCCTAAGCCAGGCTCCAGGTCCACGGGCGAGTGGTGCCTTGGCTTTTTGCAGGCCGGCGCTAGGCAGCAGCGGCAGCCTTGCCAGGCGCCGCGGTTGTTTGCATTTCCAGCCCTGATTCAAATGTTATGTACATAAACAATACACGAACCACAAATTCATCTTTCTTTTCCCCTCTGGCGCGCACTTTCGACACCTCGCTTGCGGCTCAACTAAACCACGAAGGCTTAGCGTACCAACTTGGAAGGGAGCCGGAGCTTCCGTTCAAAGATAAAAGGGCCCACCGGTCCCTGAAAATCTCTCGCGGAATTTCAAAATATTTTTCGCGTTTGCTGCCTCCAGCTCCTCATCACCTTTCCCGGCCAACTCATCAAGATGGGCGCTCTGTCGACCATCTACCGCCTCGTCGCCCTCCCCCTTTTGACGACTTGGACGCTAACCGCCCTCTCCTTCGCCGCTCTCGACGTCGTAAACACGCAGCGGAGCCTCATCGAGCCGATCGCGTCGATCAGTCTGCTCACGTATCTCGTCTGCCGCCTCCTCATCGTCTCCCAACCAACCCCCCAGAATGAAAACGAAAGTAGCATCGCCCACATCCTCACAACCGCTCACCGCAAATCCCCCCTAAACGGCCTGATTTCCCTCCTCTTCGCAATCTCTTGGCTCTACGAGCTCCTCTTCAAAGCCGTGTGGCTCTTCTTCGTTACGGTTTTCGGAGGTGTCTTCGCGACGGCGCTGTATACGGACGCGTTTGTTGAGACCAATGACGGATCGACCGAGTCGGAATCCATGTACGATGACCACACCGAAGCAGAAACAACGGCGCTTGCTGAATTCGATGAAATAAGGGCCAAGACTGGCGTTGACCCTGGTGCCATCATCAAGATGATTCCGCCGAAACTGTTGATTTATGTTGTTGCGCTTTTGTGGTTGAATCTTGCGACGCTGGGGGTGTATATTCTGCGGCATGCGTGGAGGTCGTTGAGGGTGGTTTTGGGGGCGCGTAGGGTGGAGGTTGTACAGGATATCAAGAGGGCGGCGGCGGCGGCGGGTGAGACGGCGTAGGTGGAGGTGGAGGTGGAGGTCGTTGGCAAGTCTATTTGAATGATATCATGACAGTGCATAGATGAACATCAAACATACCCCTGCCTGGTGATGATATTAGAGCCAGGATCCTCAGTCTGGATATTCGTATTGACCAGGCAATTCAATGGCATCTCCACCAGCCATCCTCACTAATTCCTTCTTAGCCTCCCTCGCGCCATCGTCCCCACTACAAAAAAATTACTTATATACATACCCCCACTACGCCATGTGTAGCCCGTCAGGACTAGTAGACCACTTCCAGAAGGCGACTGTACTCTAGCCACGGTTTTCGCCGTGTCATCAGGCATCGGCGCGAAGACTCCGCGCAGGGCGATGGTTTCGCGTGCGCAACTTCCTCCTAACAGGCGATGAATGCGATCTCTGCTCGCCCATCTGTATGCGCGACGCATTCAAATTCGGGTCGCGACGGCAAGACGCTCGTCATCCTCGTCACCGGAACAGAACAGGCACGTACGGAGGCGAAGTCTTTGTGCACGACTTCGCCGATTCACTGAAACCAAGCTCCTTTGCCGACCCCTTCCATCTGACTCCAATTCCACAGCTGAATGTCCGATCCCTCCCCGGTGAACGCCCAGGCTGAGTGTACTCGATGCCGCTGCGACTGCGCTGAAGGACATTCTGCTGTAAATGCCGAAGCCCTGGCGCGAACCGAAGTTGCCGCTGTATGCAAGGCTGGAGGAGAAGACGTCTGTGACCGTAGAGGTTGCTGCGGATCCGGCCAAGGTGTCGGCGGCAGTTGTAGAGGTTGAAGTGTCCGAGGTCGCCGGAGGTGGCTTCCTATTTAGGATTGGTTTATCCATGATTTTCCTGGCGAGGCCTGCTTGTACCGGACGTTTTAGAGAAGGTAGTAGGTACCAAGTCATGTTCCTCTTCCGCAGTCGCCATTAAGACTGGGACCAAGGGATAACGGTCCTAGCCTTGGGCCCTTTGTTTTGTGGGCGCTATCCAAGATCTGATTAATTAGGTGGGTCCTACTATGAATACCCGGCTTATTATTGCCATTCCCTCGTAGTTCCGTATCAAGAGGAGATTACTACTGTGCTTAACGTAGTCATTCCCTCGTCATACAGGGTGGCCGAAGTTCAGCATTGATAACCATGATTTCCTTGTCGTTGCCAACGACCTCGTCCCCATCGTCCCTACCGGACGAACAACGTCATCATACTCTCCGGCCAGCGCGACCACATCGTCGTCGAAGCAAACCAAGATGTCGGCAACCACTCGATGCGTGCTACGCACCATGCCAGGCGCCAGAGACCGAGTACCCGAATAACATCCGGGGCATCATCCGGTAACGGCGGACCTAGTCAGCGCGTTATGGCCTTTATCGCAGAGCTGCGGAGATGAATCGTATCATGAGCTCCCGCCATACATGGCGAAGAATGTCGAGTGTGGGATTTTGGAGACGTGATTAAGGATTGGATGGTATTTCCCATTGAATGTTATTTTCCATTTGACGATTGGGACGCGTGATCTCTTTATTGATTGGGAGAACCCGACCGAAAGGGCGTCTATCTTCCCGTCGGAGTATAATATCTATGAGGTGGCTTCAACGAATCAGGTCACCTTCACATCCATCCGATTCTGATTACTGCGCTTGTACTTTATATTATATAAGGAACGTCTCTTAATAAATAAGGTTATATTAAACTAAAATATAAAGTATAGAGAACTAATAGAGGTTCTATGAAGTAGGACCAACTATATACAGAAGATTATCACATGGCGATGGCCTAAGCAGGACATAAGCAGGGTGAGGCCCGTGACAGTCAACGACGAAACTACAGATACACCAGGCAACCACACCAGGCCAATCTCGGGCTGAATTCCTGTTTAGACCAACACTTCATATCCCTTGAATATAATTCTGGTATTTGATCCATCCAGCTGAGTTGATACAGCGCATAAGATATTACTATTTTCACTGATATCCCTAAAGATGGTGCATGGCTCAGCCTCACTATAAGGATTTTGCATAGGACCTGTACTCCTTTTAAATGGCACAATTGTCTGAATAATACAGTGAGCGGCGAAAAAAGCCTGCCCCCCAAAGCTCTCGCGTATTGTTTCAACCGGGTTGCCAAGCAGCGCTAGTGCATATATAGATTAGTCGTATTTAATTGCTGCGTATGATGTAATGTACTTACAGCGTTATCCACTTGTGTTTTATATAGAGCTTCTAAAAAGGTTTCAATATTTCACTTTTAGGCTAGAAGGTTTCCTTGACCTGGGAATAAAAGAGCGGTAACGTCACCTGCCACTGTAGCAAAATGTCAATGTTATTTGTAATTGTTTTACTTGAGCTGTCAGTTGCATGCAGTCCAAATATTAGTTGTGAGCCGGCCGAGGATTATGGAGTGATCTGAAGAAATCAAGAGGTCTAGTCATTCTGGATAACTATAAATAATAAAGAACTTAAAGAGATAGCAAAACTTTTAGTGTACTGGATGATCTCCAATCACTGAATCCTAAAGGATCTCACCGTATCGTTGACCTTCACCGCGCTTCGGAGGTCGACCACCAGCTCCAGCTGACATTAGGCTACCAATTCCCACTCCTCGCCATCATCCCTAACTTTGAACACCCTAGTCTTGTTTTCCCAGCCATTAGAGAGAAAGCCATACTTGAATTCGCCAAACTTAAAATCAGCACCCCTTGGGTCAAGGACTAGCGAACTATCACTGGCAACTGACACGGAGGTGTTCCTGTTATCAATGGGTGAGATTGAAATAGAGTCCCCTCTAATCATCACGGCACCCTTTTCCAGGTCTTTTCCAGTGATGCAGAACTTGGTACGTCCGCCTTTAGCAGCGTATATCTCATTTCCGCTTGCATACCAGAACACTGATGGATCACTCTTTGAACGGATAAAAAAGCTATATATCGGGTTAGTAACCATGTTTGTGTGTGGGGCAACAAAAGCCATTGCGTAACTTACGAGTTTCCGCTGATATGATTGGTAACATGTCTGTTGTAGAACGTCCAGTATATAGTTCCACCAACGTCGTTAAGAAGTGTGAATGTCATCCGGTTCATAAACTCAGGGGCAAATCCTATGATACCTGCTCTCGTCGAGTAAGTGCATCTTCCAAGGTCGACTTGGTTCGCATCATGAATGTAAAACTCGGGAGACACTCTAGTAACAGCATCTGTAGGGACTGCCTTCCGCATGGCCCGGTACCACTCGTCTAGCACTTCCAGGCTCGAGGCTGTAATGAGATAGCGCCAGGAGACATCATCCTTGCTCTATATCTGCAAGTTAGAAATGGTTCTTCCGAAATATTCTGCCATGGCAAGACTCACATATTTGGAATAAGCATAGAATACCATAGTTGTGGATTAAGAGCCAAGATATATGGGGTTAGACCTAAGACTGTAGAGAAAGTGGTTGAGAAACGCCACATTTGTATCTGCGAAGAGCAGAGTTCGGTGGGAGATTTAGTGACTTATATAGCCTTTCTTGTACCTATACAAAATGTAGTTGATCTTGAAGCACCTACGCGAGATGCAGGGTACCGGCTACTTCGGTAACTCTATTCATCTTCCCCGGTGTTCATTTACCAGAGCGATTACGAAAGAGGAAGTTTGAATAACCTTTATTATTAGCATGAGGAGTTCTAGAACACAGCTAGATGCACCCTTCATGATATTATAGCGTGCGAAGGTTACAGTGTCGGTTACATACATAGCGTAGGGATCATAGAGTTAGACACGGTGTGTGTGTGTGTGTGCGTGTCTGTGCTGAGGGTGCAAAGCTCATCCAATCGCGCCAACTGATAGGTTGTAACCTACCTTCCTAGCTTGGATGAAATGTCTTGCTACGTACCTTACGTTGAGTGTCCAGAACTAATCATATCTTAGTAGCAATAATACTGACGAGCTATAGAAAGGATAATCTTTCTAGCCTTATATAAAGTGGCCATGGATATTTGGCTAGCTCGGTGTATAGATGGGTAATCTCTAATTCGTGTCTCTTTATCTTGTACTCTAACTAATGCAGTCATGGCATATTCACCTTTTGTGGGGGAGAGAAGTAAAAATCCCGTGTGGTGTTAATGCACTGCATTTAGAAAACATCCTATCACTTGAAACGTATACGCGAGTAAGCAATGCTAGACAAGTATTTGCATGATAAATACAATTCCTACTGTGCGATGCACCACGAGACTGCAACCTCGTACTGTTTCCTCACAACCATTTTCTAATAGGTTGATCTATTGGCATGGCTAGGTCCACAGAGCACATATCCAAGACTATAATCAAATAGTCATTGAGGGTTGAGGTCATGTGCTCATAAGCATTATATAATAGAGTTTAACACTTTGGCGAACTTACTATACTCGGGCTCTATGGAAGCATGACCTCAACCTTCATCAACATCAGAAAAGCAATCGTTCCCTCATTCAACGATGTTATGTAACTTTTGGCTTGAAGACAATACAACATCGCCGAAGGGACAGAAGCAATATTAATCTTAGACTACATACGCTTCTTTCATCGAAATTGCGAACCCCTTAAGTTACCCGGCTTATCTGCATACTTGTGGTTTAATTTTGGGTACGTATGTCTCTAGCCAGTATGGGTTTATAGTAGACTGCTTCCTGCAAGCTATAGAACAAGTTACGGAAACAATTCCAGGCCCTAGATGTACCAAGTTCATGGTTGAACTGCCACTAAAGGAATAACCGAAGGTTTCAAGGTGGGGAAGGGATGCTAACTTAGAGTGGGTTAGCGCGACTCATTTGGCTTGAGACGGTTAATGCTTGTGGGCCTGGCCCCTCGCCAAAAAGCCACTAACTTCGCTCTCTATTACGTCTTCCATTCAAACTATAGTAGATGATATGTAGAATCAATGACAACACTATAGTAGACAAAGTTAAGTACTAGTCATTATCGCGTTATATTCAGCCACATATGTGTACACTTAGAAGTCAAAGCTGGTGTCACCCCTCCTAAGTCATCTCGTTTGATTGAGTGGAGACTGGACTACTCTACCATAATACCAGAGTTCAGGATAATCGATAAATGTGCATATAGTACCAGGGCGCAATGGCTGACGGGCGCCTCGAGAATTGAGGGCGTGATGCTTGGCCATAGCCCTGCGCGATTTAAGGGAGCGGGAGGGAACCCTAGGAGTGCCAAACACATGTAGATTCAAGTGAATAGATTCAATACCCTGCTCACTTCACTTGGCTGTAAGAGCTGTCTCTGATATGGGTACGTCCCTTGTGAGTATATTATATATTAGCTACTCCTTCTCAGGGGGTAAGGAGGTGCCATTATCTACTATAAGAAATATTCAACTTCGCTCCCTTTTCTATCTGCGCTTTCCCCGCTGCGCTCCCCCAGTCTTGGGGGAAAAGGGTGCATGGTTGAGTTAGCAACCAGACGGGACGCGACGTGACACGACGCGCTGCAGCGCGTATTCTTGGTACATTTTGCCAAGTAAATCCTCCTTACACTTGTCAGGAGACTTTTTGAAAAACTAGTCAAGGCAAATGCAAGAAGCCTTTTAATATCTATTAAAAGGGTGTCTGGTGTTATGAACCTAGCCTAGGCGGGCAACAATGGCAGAACCATAGCTCAGGCACAGCCTATGCTTAGGGACAACCTATGCTTAGGGACAGCCTATACTTAGGGACAGCCTATACTTAGGGACAGCCTATACTTAGGGACAGCCTATACTTAGGGACAGCCTATACTTAGGGACAGCCTATGCTCAGGGCTAGGGCCTATGCTAGAGCCATACCCTAAGGAACTACACATGGGGAAGCCTACGCCAGTTTAAAGTGTACGCAACCATAGGTCATTACTAGCCCATGCTAAAGGACACCAAGATCCATGGCCTATACTAACACTACTAACACAAGTGGCGTATGCCAGGGAGAAATGCTAAAATAGCTACCTCTACACCTAAAGGCAACTTACACTAAGAATAGACCCTAGGGAGCCCATAGTCACGTGAGACTACTAAAAGGACTACCATAGAGGGTGGTAGTCAGGAGAGTAGTCAGGGAAACTATGTCAGATAAGCCCTATCGTTCCTGCTTAGGACCAGAGGTCTTAAGGATATTCTAATATTGAGAGAGAAGACTACTTCTTTATGAATAAAGAAGGTAAATGGGGTTTCTGATAAGAAGGTTGGGGTTTGTGTTATGTTTGTTATTGGGATTTTGTGAGTGACTGTATATACGCTTTGGATGGCATGGGCGGGATAGGATCAAGTGCTAACAAGGAGGCATAGGGTGACGATCCTGAGTATCCTCCGTCTAACAACGACCATGGGTTTTTTAAAGTCGAAGAATCCAACCCGTAAGTAATACCCACAGCCCTTACTCCCTCCCCCCACTAGGCCCCCTTTCATGGGCCCGTCCTAACAAGACCCCAGGCGACTTCATCCTTGGCTGCATCTGGTCCGTCCTGGAAATCGACCTTGGCATCCTGTGCGCCTGCGTGCCGGGCATCCGCGCCTGCCTCCGCTTCATCGTAAACGCAATCGCGTGCAAGAGCGAGATAAACGAAAGCTCGCGCGAGAACTCAGAGAGCCGTCTGAATCCCCAGTCCAAGCCCTTCCGGCTGAGTACGAGGCGGATCTCGCTGTCGCTGGGGAGGTCCGGAGATTTCGTTACGTTGGATGATATGGAGGGGCAGCGTGTTTAGGTTTTCAGGTTGTTTATTGAGCGGGGAATGGGAAGATGATGTTGGTGCTGAGGGCCGGATTATGTACCTTTAGAGTACGTATAGATATACCCGGCGTGTCTAACGTCGGATTCGACTCGGGATGCTGTTTGCGACAAATGTCGGGGATATGACTTTGGTGTCCTGATTTTCTGGAAGGGGCGGTGGGAACGAAATCATTTTATACCCACTTGGGAGATTGATACGGCTCCTTTTGCAAAGGGCGATGGATTCTTGAATCCCATCCAAGGACGCTTGGGCTTGTGTGAGGGGACTCGGCACACAAGCGAGCGTCACGGATTTGGGTTCAGGTAGATGATCTCGGCGAGGGGATCTAATCTCCTTATATCCTCGTCCGTACCATCTGATTCATCCGGAGTCAGCAAGTCATCATCCTCAGCTGCCTGATCTGTGCTGGGTCATAGTCTCCCTCAAAATTCACGTCTGATGCTGAATTATTCTCCTCATCCCGTGACGAGGGTGGATGACGTCCCGGGATTTCTGCCTCAGGTATGTCGCCATATTCATCATATTCATCATCTGGTTGGAGATACGCCTGGTATATCGCCCCGCGGCAGGCGGCGTTTGACGTTCTACGGGTTATTAGATTAGAATGGATATGTGTAGGATACCGGATAGATTACCTTGTCGATGTGTCCGCCTGGCTAATGTGAATATTGGGAATGTACCCGGTTTGCAGGCAGTCATAGACCTGTGGACTTGAGCCTAGCCCGCCCGCAAGAATGATTCCCTAGCCAGGCTTAGCTTACGGCGAATAGGAGGGGGAAACTGAGCCCGCAGACCTTGACGTGCTGACCCTGGGCCTGCACTTTGAGAATCTGATCGTCGATAAGATCCCGAATTGTCGAGATGGTGTTTGCATGCGCGATGTCGGCAGGGTTTATTGACTCCAACGTGGATCTCAACGTGCTTGCTTGCGTCTTCAAATGCGATTGCATCAGGTCATGGATCCGTACAGACTTCTGAGTATGGGAATGCAGCTTCAGCGGGAACATGGTTGCCCTTGCGCTGGCGCAAAATGCGCGCTTGATTCGCGGTTCCCATTCGTTTGCCATTATATGTTGGACCACGGCCTTGCCCAGTGTGGCCCCCATTGCATTTGCTGATTGCTGTAGCGAGACCTCGAAAGCCGCATCCACCGCGTCGCCGCCGCAGCGCACCCCTGAAAAGACAGTATGAGACTGCTGGCCCGTGAAGTGTGTGCGGGCTGAAATCTACACTTGCGACCGACGGACCTGTACATATCTATACCGTTTGGGGTGGATACCCTACAAATTCCAACATCCTGCCGAATTGATTAGCCTAGCTCACAAGACCAGGAGATGGACATGGTATATTCACCACACTTCCTCCCCCGGCGAAACAAATTACATATGAATCACCCGCATGCAAATCTGGAACAGCTTCATATATAGCTCCCTGGGCTGCAGCAGTACTTCTGCGGACTACGGTTAGCTTGGTGGGGCCTGCTTTTCGACGATCAAGCATCCCAGCTATTTTTGCACCCTTGCGCAACGCCCGCTGGCCACACTTTGCCCACACAGTCGGCAGGGTAAGCACGACGTGGAACCGAGCTTTGTCGATGATCTCCGCGCCAAGATGATCTCTCATGCTTCTTGTTGTGTGGATCCACAGTGCCCTCAGGTAGTGTGATATGGCATAGCTGGCTTGTAGATCGCGCACCGAGGGTAGAGATCCTCGGGTGCGGCTGAGGTCTGGAATTTTGTCCGTGTTCAAGACCATGTATTGGCCAAAGGCATTGTCACGCAGCAGAATGGTCCACATCCAGGAGAGTGGAATGTGTGTTGCTGGGATGTCTTATCCCCAATGGTATCGCCAATTCTGGTACGAGACAAGGGTTCGGACTTTATCCATGGGTTCACCGCAATTTGGCCAGTTAGTAATGGAATGAATCTCCCCGAGGGACATATTCTGTGCTGCTGCGTACGCGACCCGGTGTATGTGTGCGAGACATCCGTTAGGGGCGTGATATAGAGACCGTGTGAGAGTCGCCTCGGGACTCACCTGGTGCCAATGTCTATGGCGATTATCAGTTTGGCGTCCTTGTTCCTGCATAACAATGGCTCAGAAATTGGTGATGCAGGATTCGAATCCTCACCGGAGCTTATCTGGTTGGATTCACTCTCCGGTATTGTTTCCTCGTTCAGTCTGTCTGACGACGAGTTGGCTTGTTCCATGACTGCTGTTGGTATAAGACCGAGGCCAGCGGCCTGATCCCATTCAGTATCCGTGTTACTGTCCGGAGAATTTCCGTGTACTGAAGCCCTAGGTGATGGCTGCCCTTGCCCTGGATAATCGGAGTGTTCTGAGCTCTGCATATAGGAGGCAGAGAGATCAACAACGGGTGTGCGAGTGACAGCGTAGAAGTGAATGACAGAAAGCAGGTCCTTGGTATAGGCGGCCGCAGTGATAGTAGTATACGTCTGCCATTGCTTGTTCTTATGCCAGTCACAATAATCACAGATACCGCGCATGACTAGACAGGGGAGTACATCCATGATGCCCGCTGCTTCCATCTCAAAGCATAGGATACCGTGCTGTCCGCAGAGAGTATTTCAGTTAACAGTATCTCGAAGGACCTGGCTGGCGGAAGCGACTCGGCCGTAGAAGACCAGGGGCTCGGCCGAGCGACGGGTTGGTCGAGGCTGCAGCTTTGACTTATCACAGGCGTGGCATTCTTTATCACTCCTTACATGCTCATAGGATGCGAGGAACAGTAGATCTCTATCTTCGGCTGGGGGCGAGAGTCGGCCATGCGCTTCGAATACTCGCGCGGTGGCTTGGTGGATGTTGGATCTGTGCAGGACTGCCGGCGGTTTGTTGAGCAACCCAGTCGGTCGGAACTCGCCCACGAGTGCCTTCCCACAGTCATATTGAATCACCCCGCCGTACACGGCGGTCGGTTTGCTAACAACAATGTCACCAAGCCTGATATAATCCTGAGGGCCCGGGGCGCCACCAGCTATACCGACCAGCAGACAGAACCGCAGAGCGAGAAAGCTTCTCTTCATATGCGTTGCAACCGAGGTCGCCGAGGTGGTTCCAGACTCCAGCAGGAGGGCAGGCGACGACAACCTGCCTTTGAACAACGAAGTATCCATCAACTGGCGTGCCGCGCTGAGCGACAAATATCTAGGCTATTATTGGCCGACAAGAAACAAGCAATCCAGGCGGCTCGGAAGATATCCGACCCCAGAGCCGGGGGGCTGTCGGTAGAACTTACTACCGACAAGAGATAAATGCCCCATTCCCCGCAAATTGAGAGTCACCTAACGTGAATTGATACCAGACCATCTGTGAAGGAAGGATGTCAGATCTGCGATTACTGTCCGTCCAGGATGTCCTGCAGCATAATCGACCTGACGACTGCTGGCTCGTCATCTCCGGCGAAGTCTGGGACTTGACGGAATTTGCCAACGAGCATCCTGGAGGAGCTTCAAGTTCGTTCTTCGTATCGCAGATTATCAGGGCCACATTGTTTTGACCAGGTTAGTTATCCACAAGTACGCCGGCCACGACGCCACAGATGCCTTCCTCGAAGTCCACGCGACGTCAATCATCCGAGAGAACCTCCCCGTCCGCTGCCTGAAGGGATCCCTCGACCAGTCCACCATCACCCCCGAATGGAAGAAACCGACCTCCAAGTCACAATCTCCAGGGGCCGATAAACCGCCACTTCATTCCCTGATCAACAGGTCCGTCTGCCCCTCTTTTCTGTCGCATCGGATAAAAATCCGGTCTGACCCCCACCCCTCGATCCAGCCACGACTTCCAGCGCGCCGCAGCCCTGGCCGCCCCACCAAAAGCGTATGCATTCTATTCCACAGCCGACACAGACTGCTGGACACGCGATGCAAATGAGGCAATGCTCAAGCGGATCTTCTTCCGGCCAAGGGTCATGCGCGATGTCTCGACCGTCGACCTCTCGTCATCCATGCTGGGCATCCCCATGTCCATGCCATTGTTCATCTGTCCCACCGGCGTAGCACGATTAATCCACCCAGGCGCAGAAAAGGCCCTTGCGCGAGCAGCAGGGAACACGGGGATTCTCGAGGTCATAAGCACAAACTCAGGCCACCCACTCAAAGAAGTCGTCGCTGAAGCACCGGAGTACCCGTTCTTCTTCCAGCTATATCTCAACAAAGACCGCGAGAAATCTCGCGAGATTCTGCGCAAGGTCGAATCCCTCGGCCTCAAGGCAATCTGGCTCACCGTCGACGCCGCCGGTCGCGGCAAGCGCGAGTCCGACGAGCGGATCAAAAGCGATGAGACGGTCATCGATCCCGTTACAGGGAAACCCGTCAAAGCAACCGGCGGACTCACACGCGTGATGGGCTCCTATATTGACCAGTCGATGACATGGGACGCAATAGCCTGGATCCGCTCTGTAACAAACCTCCCCATCATCCTAAAGGGAATCACATCAGCAGCCGATGCAAAGATCGCATTGGAGCACAATGTACAAGGGATCGTGGTGAGTAACCACGGCGGGCGGAACCTGGACTACTCTCCGCCGTCGATTCTGGTTCTCCTTGAGATGCACAGAGCCTGCCCCGAGGTATTCGACAAAATGGAGGTGTATATCGATGGCGGGTTCCGCCGGGGTAGCGATATCCTCAAGGCGCTTTGTCTCGGCGCGAAGGCCGTGGGGATTGGGCGGAGTTTTCTGTATGCGTTGCAGTATGGGACCGAGGGGGCGGAGCATTTGGTCAAACGTGGGTCTCACCGTCTAGTACTTGGCTATGTGTTTATTGTCGGTATACTAATCCAACTCCCATACAGTGCTGCGAGGAGAGATGGAAAGTGCCATGAAGCTGCTGGGTGTCAGGAATCTGTCGGAAGTACATCCTGGGCTTGTGAATACGTCCGACGTCGATTACTTGGTTCCTTCTGGGCCGAACCATCCATATATAAAGTGGAGGTCCCGTCCGCATCTCTAGGGTGATGTCTACGATAGAATTACAAAGGGCTATCTGCTCCTGTACCACAAAAAGCGACCCTCCAGTCGGCGCAGCCACGTAGAAGACTCCGACAGCTGTGCGTCCGATGACCATGCAGATATATCACGCAGTGTAAAGCCAGCACACGCCCCATCGCCGCAGAAACCTAGCTGACTAGCATTAGTTGACTGGGGCATTTCGAGACAACAGAAGCGCATGATTCCAGTCAAACGCGCGAGGTGAGGGTTTCCGGTTGCGACATCCACGGCACGGGTTTGTTTGGGTCAAGCAATCCCTTCCTCCTGATATATCTCCCTGGCGATTCAGGTTCAGGCCATGTTGGGCCATCTTCAGCAAAGTGGCGCGTATCCAGATCATCTCATTATGATTGAATTGGGGATTCGGGGCTTTGGGTCCGGACGATTCCTCTTATTACAGACCACAGGGCCTGGGGCTAGTCCGTACCTTCACCCGAGTCCTTTCGACTAATTGATCAAGGGCTTTATTTGATAATTAGGCCAGGGCATCAAGCAGTGCTTCGAAGGTTCACATCAGGATTTCAGCGGATATAGGGTATTCAGGATTTGTCTACGACGAAAAAAGAAGAAACTGTGGTTCTGGGATACTGGGCGACCATCAATATCCTTGTCTTCCAAAAGATCTTTAGTTATCGATTCGTGTCAGAGTAGCCCCGACGGTAGTCAATATCAAAGTTTCTAATCGGGAATCCGTCTCAGACACCTGGAGCGATGCGTGTCGGGGACCATCCCAATTAGCCTACCCGTACCCCTCATCAGCTATATATTTCTGCATGCGGGTCACGAAGGATAAAGTAACATACACACGAATCGCTTCTCACTGCCGAGTAGTAAAAAGGTGTATAGCCTGGAGCCCTTAGGGACGATATATGCTATTATTTACATGTCGAGATGGAAGTAGCTTAGAATCTCGTAACCCGAGCGCGATATTAGTGTCCAGATTTCTATACACAACATCCTACACGCTGCTCTTCCCGCGTGCATACACTTCTACCACCGTATTGGCGACAAATCCGCTCTAATGCCCTTACGAAAATAAACCAAGACAGCCAGGATTCCTTGTCAGACGTCTAGAATGTTCCTGTCGAACAATATCCTAGCGACCGGCTCGCCGAGTTGCGTGATACTAACAATGTTCCTTCGACAGTTTTGAGCGCCGAGAGTATATCACGGCAGCTTGAGATCCTGTGTGGGAGGCTGCGTGACGGCCTAACCTATGTTTCGCTCACTTCCCAGCAGCGATACTACAAAGATGGACACATCTCCGAATAGTCATGCCGCTGCCAGCCTGCTCCATCCGATGCTGCTGCCCTAGAAGAAAGCAACCCAACATTCCAGCGCGTGCCGCTTTGGCACTGCATGATCAACCTGCCGACCCACCAGTCCTCAACCCATGATGGCTGCGAATTCGAGCTCAAAACAACACCGGAGGTGTCTAGGATCACCGCCCCAATTTAGACAAAGGAAAGACATGAATCCGATTACAAGTACGTACAGCCTATTTCACATACTCGAAACTCTGCTGAACAAGAACATCCTTCTGTATCCCTACCCGCTCTCGCTCTTGTGAACTACCTCCCAAGGACGGCTCCCTCCCACCTTCGGCCTCAACGGTCGAAAACAAATATGCCTCATCCGTACGCGCCCCACCAAACGACGCCATTGTCGCCGTGGGATCCACGCTGCCCTTCTTGTTCGCGCTCGAGAGCTTGTTGTAGCTGTTCAGCTCGTAGTTTCGGCGATAGCTGCCCGATCCGGATTGCGATTTGAGCTTGCGGGTGACGATGTAGGAGCTCAGTGTTGGGAGGCAGGCGCAGATGAGGCCGATGCCCGCTTCGGCGTTGCTGTGGTAAAGGAAAATAGATGGTTAGCGCGGTGATTTCATTCTTGTCGGTAGTTGAAGGGAAGGGGGATTTGATAGAGGGATAAGTAAGCGGGGTTGACATACCCCGTGAGCACACAATGAATCCAAAACCACGTTGTATCCGGCGTGCGACTCTCCTCAACCATCATCACCAGCCTCCAGATACTAAACCCCGTCGCGAGCCCACCGGCGCCCAGAATCCCAATCACGCGCAACTTCTTATTAAGATTCATCTTGAGCGACCAGAGCATCGGGATCGGAAGAACCAGTATCCAAAAGTCGCTTATCATACTGATCGTGGCATCGGCGATGATGACTTTGCGCTGGTCGAGGCATGTCCCGTTTGTAGCTTCGACGCCGTACCAGTATGCCGAGATGGGCTTGCAGAAGAAGATCTTGATGAACAGCGCCGGGATGTAGTAAAGGAGGAGGACGACGATGGTCCCGTAGACGAGCATGACCTTCTGTCTGTCTACGGCGAAGATGCGGAGCATGACGGCGAGGAGCGCGACTTTGATCACGAAGACCATGGGGACGTAGACGAGGGTGACGGCGTAGGAGGCCTGGAGGGGGAGATGTGGCGGTTAGTGGTGTGGATGGATGGCTTGGCTGGGTTGGCTCTGCCTGTTGAGGGGGATTGATTGCGTTGATACCTTTTGGAAGTTGATCATGTCGCTCTCCGAGACGTCCCATGCGTGGTAGCCACCGCCGTAGTTGCCCACTATTCATGTTAGGTCCCTTTCTGAGATGAATAGAGGGGGAGTTTTGGTGTACGTACGTATAATCATATTCGCGCAGAACCCAACAAAGAGGACCTATCAGGGAAATTTAATCAGCAAAGTCCACGGACTCTACCCCTCATGCAAATTACCCATCCAAGAATGGTAGTCCCTGGTAACAAATGCCGTCAGTATAACCCCATTCCATCAAGATATACTCAAGTCAAACTCACAGTCTTCCAATTCCAAAGGCTTCCGCAGCCTTGCCTTGACAAGGAACCGCAGCGCCACGACGATCGTCACGACAACGAGGCAGATGACTTGCGTCGCAAAGTTGACCGTGTGGATGACATCCTCTGGATTATCAAGGTCCGACACCTCGCCCGGCGGAGCCGGGATGGCTGGTTCTGACAGCGACATTCCGTGAGATCGATGTCCAGCCTCAGTGCCGTCGGCAAGTCAGGCAGCGCCGTGAGTTGAGCCTGGCGATGGGAGTGAACGCGATAGGGCACTGGCCCTGGGCAGTTCAGAAAAACAGTGAAGAATCCGGTCAGTGGATCAAAATTGATCAGAAAGGAAGCGAAACATAAGAGTACACAGTCCTCCCGAGATCTTGGTCCCGATCGGTGTTCTCAATGAAAAACCCTGCCATCGAACCCTGTCCAACATCGGCTCCTGGGGAGCGGAAGCGATGACCGGGGAAGCGCAATTATCGATTCGCATCCAGCTTGCCCAGCCCGTCCAGGATCCAGGCAGCACATCCCTGTCGATTGTGAAGCACGCAAAAGCTATTGGCAATCGTCCTTGACTGTCCAAAGATTCGCCGCGCAGTTGCCTTCCCTGTCATTCGATGGAAGCGACGGCCAGATACGCCCAGATCTGGTTCGACGAGAGACGGGCCATGTGGGCCGTGCGGAAGACGCCATTGACAAGGATCGGCTTCCTTGGGGGCAACGCAACGCCCAAAAGGACCGGCGAAAAACATTTCCGAGGCGAGCGGAAGCTGTCCGACTGAACAAGAGACCACATATCCTCGGGTACTCTGGAGTCTCTGATGCGTGTCAGCAAAGCAGTCGGAGTATTTCCAGCACGATTCATCCTACATACTCCCTGAAGTCGAACATCCGTCCCCTGGGCAGCACCAGGGCGCTCCCCTCCCGAGGACGGAGTACGATCCCATCCCCTCCCCTGTCTCATCCTTGCCCTCCCGCCCCAATCTCAAAGTTCAACCAGCGACCCTTAAGGTTCGCGCAGGATTTAACGCTTGTCTCTACGCGCCCAATCATCCTCTAACATTCAACCAATGGTCCCCATTCCGGACACTTCCGCCTGGATTCCGGAGCGCCACCGCTGATCCCGCTTTGAAGAGCCGCGAATGACAGGTCACATCGGGCCTGGCAGATCCACTTAACCTGATGACAAAGACAATGGCGCTGTGGGACCACAGCTCCGGAATTACGAGGTTTGATTGAAACTTGAATGCGATTGTGGGCTGTGGGAGGCGGAATTATTATCCAGGGTGGGCACTGTCTATTTGAGTTTGACGAGCGGGTGGGTGACTGGGCCGAGGGAGACGGCGGAAATGAGTGTCTCAAACTCTCATCCATGATAGCAGGACATGGACGGCAAAGAAAAGCGGGAATCGGGAATTGAGGGAATCTGGCAGGCTGGAGCTTGGAGGCCGTTCGTCCCTCGTGTTCGGCTGGGCCGCAACCAAGTCTTGCTGCAGGCATTCACTGCATTCGGGGGGATCGCTCCAGTGTGTGCGAGAAAAACCCGTGGAATTGACTCTTTGCTTCTTATAGGGATCTACATCACAGGCACAGGTACATAAGACCCATCACATGCATGTAAAAGAATTTGTCACGTTCTATGTATAGAGACCAAATAGGTATATATATGTTTATTTGCCCTGGCCTCCGCATCGTAACCATTGCCCCATTGCAGAACCATTGCACATCATCATCCCGATCTGAGAGAGGGTCAAGCGATCAAGAGGAGTTCGAGTTATCCGCACACGAAAATGCCGATCCTATAATGTGTCAGTCACCCTCACGCACTCCAATCACAGATGCGCCACGGTGAGAAGCTTTCGGATGATACATACCAATTAACCCCGTAGCATACGCATCGATAATCTGCTTGACGACACCATACGTCGCACCAACCAGGAAGAAGATGCCCAGAAGAACAAGGCCGATATGCAATCCATACACAACCTTCTGAACGAGTGAACCCTTCCGATAATGTCCGTGGTCATACAGCCAGAGCAACCCGGGGAGACTCATGGCCAGCGGGGCGAAACACACCGAGCCGACGAGGGCAATCAGGTAGTTGAAGATCGGGATTGATTCCGCGAGGATAAAGGCCAGTGCGCCGAGGATCGTCGTGCAGGAGAGCCAGGTGCCCCAGTGGATCACGCTGTTGGATTGCAGGTGCGCTGTTTTGCCGAGGATGCGGACGAAGACGTATTTTGCGCCGACCTGTGCGTTGCCATGGGGTTAAAGGGCTGGAGGATATTGGGGGAAGGGTTGCGGTGGTGCGATGCTTACATGCAGGTAGAGAGTACCACTAACGATCAGGCCGATCAGGGCGACGCCATACGAGACCATCTTGATTGTTTGTCCGGCGCTCTACATCTCAGTCAGCCAACTCCTACACCCACGAAAATCCGAATCAAGACTCACCCCGAGCGACGGACTAGCAACCCACATGCCACACCATCGATAAACAACGAGCCCAAAAGCCAGGTACGACGCAGTCACAAGTGTCATACAATAGTACAGTGGCTTTTTATACTCCTTCGGATTGCGCATCTCCGAGATGACAGGCAGAAACGCACTGGTGCCCGCCGACGAGACGAAAATCGTGCTCGACGCGACCATGCCGCCCGCGAACCCAGGGTTGTTGATCGCGACGTAGCCCAGGTCGTAGGGGCCCTCTTGCGGCGCGGCTGCTGGTCTGTCGCGCTGCGTCACGCCGACGACGACGATGAAGACGGCGATGTAGATTGATAAGAAGCCCACGTAGGACAGCCAGCCGACGTGCTCGAGTTTGCGGATTGAGGCGGTGGCGATTATGACCACTGTCGCGAGGAACGACCACCAGACTGTACACGCCGCATGGTGCGAGAGCGCATTGAGCGCGGTCGATACACCGACGATGCCACTGCCCGTAACAAGAACATAGCCGATAATAAACAGTAGACCGGTCACTTCCTTGCCAACAATCCCCAGTGCCACCTCAGCCATATCCGCAATGGAGTGGCAGTGCGGGTGCTTGAGGCGGAAGTTACCCAGGATCACAAAGCAGTACGTGTTGAAGGCGCCCCAGGCGACGATGCTGATGGAGCCGCCGACAGCGCCGAGGGCGTACAGGGCCGAGGGGAGCGAGAGAACACCGGTCGCGAAGAGGATCTTGGTAAAGATGACGGTTGCGTTGAACCAGCCGACCTTGCGGAAGTCGACGCCGGTGCTCGTCTTCTTGAAGACCTCGCCATCTTCTTCTGAGGAGAATCGCTCTTCGCGCGGACTTGGGCGCGACGAGTCGTAGGCCTCGTGGGCTTGTGTCTGGTCTTTCTCCGCCATTGCAAGAGCGGCACGCGATGCGATAGATGCGAAGAGGGCAGAAGAAAAAATGGTGGCACGAGGCAAAAGCAAAAGAGAGCAGGGATGTGAAAGTTAGATGCAAGGGGACTAAAGGGCATGAGGGGTCTGGAAGGCTGGAAGGCTCGCCTGCCACTGCTTGGCTCGCCGCTCCTTCATCCTGTCCCACTTGACGCGAGATTATCGAAGCAAGCGAAGTAGTTTCGAATTCCAATTCAAAAAGTACGGAACAGCAAGAGAAGGTCTCAGCCACTGGTGGGCACTAACGCAGCTACTAAACATGGGGATGCAGCGCACTAGACAAGGGGTGCTCGCTGTCCCTGCCGTTTCCAGGAATCGACCGGAAAAACAAAGGAAAACTGGGTCTGAAGTTGATGGTTCGTGTTGCACTGTTGCATGCGTGCTCTTCGCGAGATGGCGATAACTTCCAATAATGAATCCAATCAGAGAGTTCATTCCTTGATCGACTCTCTTGGTACACCGATGTAGTATTACACGTGGAAAAGCCCGTGGCTTACAGGGAAGCAATGAACAGGGATATCAGTGCAGATTATTGCCAATGCAGACGACACGTTTCGAATAAGAATGTCCTGCGAAAGAACCCTGCAGGGTCATCGAGTCATGGCTAACGCTCATCACGGCAGCGAAGTCAGTGCGAGCGACTCGTTCAGTGAGCACAATGCAACACTGAAGTGAAGCTGTCTGGAACTCGGATGCACCGGTGTCCCCGTCTTATCGCCAACACACGCACCACGCCCCACCAACTATCGCGATTGGGCAATGCGATCCCATCCGTCGTTCTCCCAGGGTGGGTTGATCATCCACCTCGTCGCAGTGCCCAGAGCAGCTCTGCAGCTTCCCCTCTTTGCTTCCTCGTACCTCGCTGGCCTCCCCTCCTCTTATCACCCCGCACGCGCATACACACCCCCCTCTTTCCATCGCTCCTTCTCTCTCCTGTGTGCAGGACAATCTTCCCTAATCCTTCTTTTCCTGACCTATATACAGAATGCCACACAACACCGACAAAGCCACCTACCGCCTCGGCGCAGACGTCGGCGGCACATTCACAGACGTCTACGCCCTCTCCCCAACAGGTCTCATCGCACGCGCAAAAGTGCCCACCACAATTGAAGACCAAAGCATCGGAATCCAAAACGGCATCCAGCGCGTCCAGCAAACCCTGAAAGAGCAGAACACCGACTTCGACGGTAAATTCCAATTCATCCACCACGGCACAACCGTCGCGACGAATGCCGTCCTCGAGGGCAAGGGCGCGCGCACGGGGTTGATCGTTACGGCGGGACATAAGGATATTCTTGCGGTTCGCCGGTCGCAGATTCCTGGGGGTTTGGGGGCGTGGTTGCATTATACCCCTCCGGACCCGATTGTCCCGCTCGAGCGGGTTATTCAGTGCACGGAGCGCATGTCTGTTGAGGGCAAGACGGTTGTTCCTGTTGACGTTGATGCGCTTCGCGCGGAACTGACGAAGCTTTGGGGGAGCGAGACGGAGCGGCCAGAAGCCGTAGCGATTTCGCTGCTGAATTCGCACGCGAACAGCGAGCATGAAGACACCGTCGCCGACCTCGTCCGCGAGGTCCTGGGAGCCAAAATCACGATCATCCGCTCAAGCGACGTCCTCCGCGAAGTCGGCGAGTACGAACGCACCGTGACGACATGCACGAACGCGCTTGTGAAGCCCGTCGTCCAGACATACCTCAGTAACCTAGCAACCCTCCTCGCAGGTGATGGCGATGTTATTCGCATCCTCAAGTCCGACGGTGGGCTCACGAGCCTGGATCTCGCTGGAGAGCTACCCGTCAACATCCTCATGTCCGGACCCGCCGGCGGCGTCCAGGGGGTTGCAGACGTCGTGACCCGGAACACCCCATACAAGAATCTCATCACCTTTGACATGGGCGGGACGTCCACGGACGTCGCGCTGATCTACCAGGGGAAACCGCAGCTCCGGCGCGAGACGGTCGTCGGCGAATTAACCGTCCGCTCCCCGGCTGTGGACATTCGAACCGTTGGAGCCGGCGGTGGTTCCATTGCAAAGTATATGGACATCTCAGAAACACTCCGCGTCGGACCCGAAAGCGCAGGCGCGACACCGGGCCCGGCAGCGTACAACAAGGGCGGGACCGAAGCGACGGTCACAGACGCGAATCTCGTGCTGGGATACCTACCAGATACCCTCCTCGGCGGCGAATTCACACTCAACGCGCAGGCTGCATGGACGGCTGTCGAGGGGATCGCGAAGCAGATGGATCTCCCCGTGACGCAGTCTGCCGAGGACGTGATTAATCTGGTGAATGAGACCATGTACGGTGCTCTACGCCTCGTCTCGGTTGAGCAGGGGTATGATCCCAAAGACTTTGCGCTTGTTGCGTTTGGGGGCGCCGGTCCTCTGCATGCGAATGCCGTGGGAAAACTTCTGGGCGCGTGGCCGGTCATTGTGCCCCCTTCTCCGGGGACTCTGTGTGCCCTGGGTGATGCGACTACGCGGCTGAGCCACTCGCAATCGTCGTCGTTTATCAGCCAGTTGTCAGCAACAACCTCAGAAGAGGTAAAGCGGCGCTTCGAGGACCTGGAGAAATCATGCAGAGAGACCATGCACGCCTCCAACGCGAAGCAGGAAATCCAGCTGGATATTACCTACCACATCGACCTGCGGTACCGCGGGCAGGCCCTGAATCTGACCGTTGATCTGGAAGAAGCCGATCTCTCGCTGGGAGACGAAGAGTGGAGGAAGGTTCTACAGAACAAATTCGACCAGCTCCATGACCAGCAGTTCAAGTACTGTCTTCCGAATTTCGAGTTGGAGCTTATGCGTCTCGAGGTCGTTGCTGTCGATGCCCGGCCGCCCATTGAGTTTCCTCGGCTCCGCAAGGCTGCGTCGCCCGAGCCACCGGCAGCAGCCCTGGTCTCGAAGAAGAAGATTGTCGTACAAGGCCACGAAGTCGAGGCCGCCCTCTGGGATCGCGAGCAAGTCAGCCAGCAAGGCGTCCGTCTTGACGGCCCCTGCATCATCACCGAAACAGACAGCAACACTCTGATCCTCCCGGGATACTACGGCGAGATCGACTCGATCGGAAACATCCTGATCCGACCCGTCGACGAGACGACAAGGGAAGAATCAAACCACCAGACCCCCGAGGCTGCGCTACAGACGGTGCAATCAACCCCATTGATCCCGACCCTCGTCGCCTCGGCACTCGCCTCGATCCGCGGCGAGATGGACACCCTCATGCTGCGGTGCAGTATGTCCCCCGCGATCCGCGAACAGCAGGATGAGTTCAACGTCATCACCACAGCCGAGGGCAAAATGCTCGTCGGGCAATTCGGCAGTTTTATCACGCAGTTCCTGCGCGCGTGGAAGGGGACCATTGAAGAGGGCGATATGTTCATTACGAATGACACGTACATGATCGAGGGCGCCGTGACACATCTCAACGACGTGATTGTTCTTCTTCCGATCTTCCACGAGGGCAGACTCCTCGGGTGGGCGTCGCAGTTTGGACACTTGACGGATGTCGGCGGAATCGTTCCGGGCAGTATGTCCATCAACGCGACATCTGTCTTTGACGATGGGGTCCAGATCCCTTGCATCAAGCTGTATTCCAAGGGGACGATGAACTCGGACATCGTCGACCTTTTGTGCCGCAACTCCCGGCAACCAGACTGGTACCGTTCTGACCTGATGGCCATCATCACCGCGTGTCGCACGGCCGCAAGTCGCGTCTGCGAGCTGGCCACACGCTTCGGATCCGAGATCTACCTCGCCGCATGCAACGAACTCCTCCTCCGGAACCGCACCGCCATGGCCAAAATCATCGACGCAGACTTTGACCCGCAGCCCACCACATTCACCGACTTCGTCGACGACGACGGGCACGGCGTCGGGCCCTACGCGCTAACCTGCACGACCACGAAACTCGAGGGCGGCCGCCTCCTCTTCGACTGGAGCGGAACCTCCCCGCAGAGCTCCCACAGCATAAACTTCTACCTATCCGAAACAATGTTCAAGATGTTCATTGGCTACTACATGATCGCAGCCGCCGCCCCGGGGACAGTCATAAACGACGGGTTCCACGACCTCATCGACGTGTATATCCCGGAAGGGAGTATATTGAAGCCGATCCGGCCCGCGCCCATCTCGTGCCGGACACACATGCTCGGACGCACCATGGACGTCATGCAAGCGCTCATCGCGAAGAAGAACCCCGTGTACGCGGCTGCCGCCGGATTCTCCGACTCCCCGCACTTCTTCTACTCCGGATACAAGCCCGACGGTGAGTGGTACCAGCTGTACCAGATCGGCTTCGGCGGGGTTCCCGCGCGGCAGGCGGGCGATGGGCTGGACTGCCACTGCCTCTTCCCCGCCATCAAATCCATCCCCACAGAGATCATCGAGCTGAACTACCCGCTCCGCATCGAAGCGAACGAGAGTGTCCCCGATAGCGGGGGTCCGGGCTTCTTCCGCGGCGGGAACGCGCAGCGCACGCACTACCGGTTCCTCTCGAGGGGCGAGTTCAGTCTGCACGATGACCGGTGGTTCACGAAGCCGTGGGGAATCCGCGGGGGGAAGCCCGGTTCGCGGTCGCGCAAGGTGCTGTATCGGTACTCGAAGTCGGAGAGTGATCCGCCGGTTGAGGTTCTGGCCTCGAAGTGCGATCATGTTCGTGTGGATCCGGGGGATCTGCTCGAGTGGGTGACTTGGGGGGGCGGTGGACTGGGAGACCCGCTGACGCGACCGGCGGAGAAGGTCGCGCTGGATGTGCGGAGGAAACTGGTGACGGTCGAGGGTGCGCGTGAGAACTATGGTGTGGTCGTAGATCCTGAAGCCCTGACCCTCAATGAGGGTGAGACGGAGGCTCTACGGAAGGAGCTGGCCCAAGCCCGCGATGCAGCGGGCGGAGTCAAGGAAGGATACGACCGTGGCGGAACTATCGAGGAATTGAGACAGTCTTGCCTCAAGGAGACGGGCCTGGCGCCTCCGAGCCCGCAGTGGGAGGTCGACCTTTATGGGCCGCATGTGCGGATCCCATATGTTCAGGAGTGGTACAGGAAGATGAAGGAGGTTGGCGGGTGGACTGGACTTTGAACTGATGAGTCGTTGATAGTGGTTCTCATACAGCCTCTATGCATCCACCCGTTCTTGACGAGATAGTTGTGGTGGGCATGGAGGGTTGTAAATATCGTGCTGTTTAAATACGTACTCGAGTACCTAAGAAGGGCTAGGATGCAGATCACACTAGGTGCATCTGACAGAATCTTGATTAGAACCTCTAAATCCCAAGCACATTACCAGCCAAGCGGCGCCGCGTGAAGTGGCATATAGCCTGGCGCCGGTATTCGAGAAGATGCCTCTAAATAGAATGTTCACGACGACGAGTAAAAAGGATCAATAAATTGGTAGGAAAGATGTAAGATGAAAGCACTGGGCATAGTTACTTCCCTTCGGAATTCCCTAAGCCGATCGCTCACAAAAATCGCTCAACGCATAATCTCATATTGTCGACATACAAATGCCTGACACCGGCTTGTTGGATATACAACGAATTCATCCGTCCCAGAAGAATCAGCCCCCACCCCGCCGCTGCCATGCCCTATTCTCGCCGACGTGAGCTTAAAGACTGGGGGTCCCCCACTATCTTGCGCTTCAGGTACCCGCAGAACCCAGCCTGTCGGTGGCCGCGAGGGCCCGCGTTTCCAGGGGTGCACATCACCTACACCAGGATATTGGATGTCCGTGCGGATCAGCGGATACAGACGTTTTTCAGCTTCGGATTCTGAAGCTCTAGAACTGCCAGGTACCCACCTCGTACCTCGGTCATCGCTATTCGAATGAGATGCAGTTCACGTCATGTCGGGGGTACTTCTCTAGTGAGTAGCATCTCCTTTCAGGGTATTGGGCGTTGGGATCCATTTAAGTTACGCATTCCATTTGTTTCTAGAATATTGAGAGTTGTGGTGGCTCTTCGGATAGATACAAGCATACGCCGAGTCGAGGCGAGAGAAGCAGGCCAGGTTTCAAGCGTCACAGGGCGTCTTCTCGATTACTCAAACGGTTACTATGCGCACCAAATGAACGGCTGCCGGCTCCGTCAGACGATGAAAAATGTTATAGGTACCGGTCGCAACGAGGGTTAATTCGGGCCCGACAGATTGGTAAAGGAAGGTAGGTTATCTTGCTGGTATCGAATCAAGATCCCAAAAGCTCAGTTTCCGCCCACGGATACGGACAGGCCGGAAAGCTACCAGCGAACCATAGTTGCATTGGCTGATCTGTGTCTGTTTCATTTGCCAGCCTTCGACCCAAGGATAGTACTTCTTGTGGCGTCCGGCCTCCACCATTGACCGAGAAGAGCAGCCAGGACTACGCCCACATGCACGGACCTTGTTCACGATCTGAAAATCTACGTAAATATGCCATTGTAATTCGCAGTAGGATCCCGCAAGGGCACAGGCCGCAATGGCTTGTCTCGCCAGAACTCTTGCAGCATCTGGCAGTGATTAACGCCACACTAACTATGCCGGGTGTCACTCTCAAAGACATCGCGCCGAGTAGACTTTATTGGAGGGACCTATCAGCACTGGAACAACTGAGAGGGACGATTCCAGCCAAGGAGTATTTCCTCCCAATAATGCCATTTTAATCCAAAGCCACTTAAGCTTGTTTACCTTTTTGGCTGGCTTGGTGCTGCACTAGCTGTGAAAGCGCAAGTAAAGTTGCAACAACTCTACTACTAGACTTGAAGCATTATTGGATGGGGAGAACCCTTTTTGGCCGACAAGGGCAGAGGATTGATCTCCCAGACAACCCATGATGGGCACACCCGCAAGACTTCCGGTGGAAAGTGCGCCATAGGCGGAGGCGTCAGAGGACGGAACAATTTGTGGTAGATGAACGCGGCCTCTAATACCGAAGAAATCGAGTAGAAAGTTGTCGTACTGCAACGATTCTAGGTTCATGAACATGGTCCGTGAGGCATTCGTACTGTGGAATTGCACTGGCGCGTAATTGTGAGTGGTGGTCGTTGGGCAGGGCGCAAGACTTTGGGATAAGTGGCGCGTAGTGCTTCTTTCGCGCCTGGTCGACAGGTTGAAGATTTGCAGATACGTCGGTCGATGAGAAGATCCTGATCAGCTCGCGCCGTCAAATAATTTTCAGGCGTCGCGGTTTGAGGGTGAACCCACCGGAGCGTGGGATTTGGTGAGGCTGCATGGGGCTGCACAGTTGGCGACTTCTCTTGCCTTTTTCTCCGCACTGATACTCCTCGATATTGACTCTGGGGATGGACTGGACGGTTGTCAGTCATTTCAGCCTGGATGGCGCACAGACCATCATACAGGAAGCGCGGATGGACAACATGCCAGGAAATCATGTGTCTTTTACTGCAACCTCGTACCTTTTCTGGCGCCTGCAGGCTTCTTTTGTTGACTCTTGATGATTAAAGTTCATCGACGCTTAGGTATCACCAATGATATAGATTTTAAGTTCCTCCTGGTCTGCTGTGCTGATACCGCTCGGGCCTTGTACTCAGACTTAAATGAGATGGTGCCACGACGATTGTCCTTCTACCACACCAAACAACTTTTGCTGAGGGAGATGATTTACTAATGTCAAAACCGACTTGGCCCAGAACAGCTGCAAATGACGAAGCTCCCCGCCTTGCCCACGATGCGTGGCTCTAGGACAGTAGGATTAGAAGATAAGCTAATTTAATTTTTACTAGCGAGCCTTTTGAGCTAGATTTATAAATGTACTTTATTTATGATTAGGGTATAACTATTGTGGTTTTTACCGCTTCTTTGTATCTTACCTACTTCCCAATTTCGAGAACCTGAGCCTAGGATCGCAAAAGTTCTGATAATATGAATAAATAACAACCTCGGATACTTCATTACTTGTTTTGTCTATCGCAGTTCCTTAAGGTAAGCCTGCTGGTTTTAGCAAAGTTATATAACTTTAAATTGACTCTATGTACAGATGTGTGTTTTTGAGCCAACTAAAACCACTAACCTATGCTACTGGTCAGTGTCTCCTGGTATACTGAAGAAAACCTGGGATTATATAAGTCTAGATTACAAAGACTCGATTATATACCAGCCTAAATAGGAGGTCACTTGCACGTGAGAAAGCAGGGAAACGAATTTAGGAGGAGGCTAAGAGGCGTTTCTTTAAACCTGTGGAGCAACATCCAATATTAGCCAATAGGTTTCTTGAGTAACTATAGCTGAAACTTTTCGATAAGCACTCTGTCGCTACCACCAATAAAGCCGCCATCTTGCTACAGCCCGCCAATGATGTTTGGCGTTCTTGATAGAGCTGATTTGCACTACCTCAAAAGGCGCTGCAGCTAGCACTGCTGCCGCGAAAAGGGGTCGGTAAGGGGGTCTAGCTGGTATATTGGAATTCATAGCGTGATAGCAGCAAACCCTTCATTAAGACCTTGTATGGTACGCAACCGAGTAGAATTCCGCCGTTCCCTACCAGGCACCTGACCACGAGTCCCAGGAGTCAGATCCGGCTTTTCTTGCCTTGTGCAACGATTTTTCGTCCATAGCCATTCTTAGCGATCGAATAGGGCTTCCTTATATACAATAATGTGGGGATGGCACAATTAAAGCAATATACAGTACAATATGACTTGCAAATTGATATACAAGCGCTAAATGAGTGGAACCCGCTAACAGTCGGCCGAGCTTAAACCTCAGTGAGGAACTCCATACAACGGCTGAGAGCTCTCAACTTCGAAACTACTCGTGGTTCTCAGTAGTTTACGCAGTCGCAGCAATTGACACAGACATTGGAGTCACAATTGATCTCGGGAATAGGGGAGCCGACCTTGGCGCAAGGAGGAAGTTGAGGGATAGATACAGGGGTGCAACAACAGCCGCAACAGCAGGTACTCATGTCAACATCACTGGTACAATTGTTGCCGTAGCGGTCAGTGCAAAGAGGAATCGGAGGGTATTCTCCGCCACCACCAGGGCAGTAGTAACAAGCACAGCTGCCACCGCCTTCAGGGACGCCATTGTTGTTGCAAAGGTTTGGAATCGCCCTAGCTGCGAGATTTTCTTTCTTTCTGGCAGGGACTGCACCGGCCAGAGCTAGACCCACAAAAGGAATCGCAACAATCGTTTTATACTTCATTGTTCGTACAGAGTTATATCAAATAGGTAGAAGTATAGCGTAAGAGAAGGACGTAGCAGCGAGGGCACTTTCCGTGGGGCACCAGCCTCGATAAAAAATGCATATGGAGTGTTCCATCAGATCTAGAACCATGCCCCTGTATTACGACTCTTGTCCGGGTGACATTGCAATGACGCACGGCCCACGGCAGAAGATATCCTATCCATTGGTTTAGCACCTGGATTGCTCGAGAGACACTAGGATCCTATTCAATGCTTTTTACTTCTTTTTTGGTCTTTCAGGTGTGGGCCACTTTGTGTTTGAGCAAGGTAGTGGGGAGCCAGGCCTTGTTTAGCCTATGGTCTTTGCAGTCCATAGCCACAACTTACGTTAATAGCTATCGAGAATGAGGGATAGAAAGAGACGCTTGACTTTAGAAGTATAAATAGAGTTTAAAGAACTTAAGGATTATGAAAATTATTTGATATTTTTATGGAACAGAGAAGCCGGCGATATACCCTTGAGTGACAGGAAAAGACATTCTGGCTATTGATATCAAAGATAAATATTGTGGAAATAGCCAGCACTGGTGATTTTGCCATTTATGGTTCCGGCGGTGGTGTGATCACAACGTAACTCTAACTAGTCTAGACTACGGTCGAAACAACCTGATATTTAAGCAACCATGGTCTACACTGTCCTGGTATCCGATTGGATTTGGAGCGATCCTCTGGACACCCGTATTCTGGCGTTCCAACATTGGGATCCATATTTTAGATTTTGCTGTTGATATAGCACCACCCTCTCTTCCTACAAGCCTGGGTCAGCATCAGTACTGAACCGATCGCATCCTTTGTGAGGATACTCGAGCCAAATTAGAACATTTCCGTAATTCCTGATGATCCCCTGCAGTCTAGGACCGAGGCAGGGATCATGACTTGCATGCTTCCCCGTCCCATCACCCTTAGTACTTATATTAGATATATCCAGAGACAGGGAGTAGAGGCGAAAGCGATTATTTCTAATTCAAGGGCCCCGCTGATTGATTGGCACGGTATCGTCCGAAGGCAGTAACGTAACATGCTTGCATGGGGCCACGTGTAGCAGCCATTTTATTAGTCCGACTCCTTGTTGCCAACCCACGTCAGCTCTATTAGCACAGCTTTCAAGAACCAATACTCCACTTAAGATGGAAGTTATAGCATAAAAGCGCTGGTTTTATGGTTTCATGTATGTCAGCCTAGATTAAATAGATTTCATTACTTGACCAGAAACCGGCTACATGGTCCAGAAGATGCAAAGGTAAATGCTAGTATTGCAGTCAAAGCTATTGTGCTATCGAGGATAGCATCTCGTCATACAGAGCCGCTCAATCCTCACCATCCACCGAAAGCCCCGGGATCTGCCCATTGCGGAACAGATCAACAAAGATCTGATGGTCCCTTCTCGCCTGCGCGCTATACCGATGCGCGAAGTCAACCAAGGCCTCTGTGAACCCCTCTTCATCTGCAATGACCGCGTCGATGGCCTTCTCCGGAGAGAAGGGCACCAACTCGGAGTGTCTCCCATCATCATCACCAGCCCCGTGCATCATCGCGGTCGCGCGGCCAAGATCAGCAACCACGGCTGTCATCTCTTCGAGGTTATTGATGTCCGACCAATCGAGGTCAACAGCGTAAGGCGAGACTTCAGCGACGAGCTGGCCGACACCATCAATCTCAGTCCAGCCCAGCCAAGGGTCTGCATGGGCTTGCAGAGCGCGCTGGGAAATGACGGTGCGGTGGCCCTCGTGGTGGAAGTAGCTAGCCGCTGCGGTATTACTGACGTGGCGGGAGACAGCTGCCGCAGTTGACTGCTTCATGTAGATGACGACGTCGTTTTCGATGGCTTCGCTCTTCCCTTCGAGGAGGATGTTGTATGAGGGGAGGCCGGCGGATCCGATCCCAACACCGCGACGGCCGACAACGTCCTTGACGCGGTATGCGGCAGAGCGATGGCTTTTTGAGTCGGGAAGGGTGTCGAGGTAGCGATTGAATGCGTCGACGACCTTTTCGCGCGCGGCGTCGTCGAGCGGGACTGCGCCGCCGCCTTGGGTGAAGCGTCGCTCGTAGTCGTGGATCTCCGTCATCGAGTCGAGGAGGCCGACGCGCGTCTGCATCCGGGCGTCGCGCAGGGCGTCGAGCAGCGGACCCTTGGCGGTGTCAAGTGTGAAGCGAGGGACCTGCTTGTGATCCTCGAGGGTGGCCAGCGTGTGGATGCGCTCACGGTACGCGGCAGCATACGCGCGAACCAGGTGTGTAATCTGCTTATCGCTCAAGGCCTTTGCATACCCAATCAACCCGATAGAGGCAACAAAACGCTTGACGTCCCAGGTAAAGGGCCCAACATACGCCTCGTCGAAGTCATTGACGTTGAAGATGAGTCGGCCCTGGGAGTCCATGTAGGTGCCAAAGTTCTCGGCATGCAGGTCGCCGTGGATCCAGATCTGGCTAGTCTGCTCGTCGAGGAACTTGTCTGTGGGCTGCTCCTTTTCCATGTCGTGGTAGAACAGGCAGGCTGTGCCGCGGTAAAAGGCAAAGGCTGAGGCAGCCATCTTGCGGAACTTCACCTGGAACGCGGTCGGGTCGGCGGCGAGGAGCTCGCCAAAGGCCGTCCCAAAGACATCCAGAATGGCTTGGCCGCGCTGTTCCGTGTCGGAGTTGTCAATCGTCATTTTGATTCTCTGGTTTGATCGTTGTGGTTCTGCTCCTCGGACAAGCGCGGGGGGTGAGGGGAATCTTATAGCTGGCAGCTCGACGTGGCCGGCAAACAAAACAGCTTGCCAGCTGGCAGTGGCAGTGGCAGTGCAGACCCCTGCTAAGCTACTAATTCATCTCGCTAGACTCTTGGCCCGGGTCTGAGGGAATTGTCATTGTTCAGCTCCGCCACAGGGCCCATCCCAAGTGTCTCGGCGTGTCTCGAGCGAGCTCCACCATGAGCTGGCCAAGACAGCGCCGCAAAACGTCGATTAAATCATCTTCAGAGACGACAAACATGACATTTCGTCCATTGAGTTGCACTGAGTAGGCAAACGAGATGAATTAAGAGTCGCAGGTCCCTACTTTTGCGTAACGCCCGGATTCGTCCACATGCAGAGCCAAGACTTCGTTGAGACAATGGTGGAGCTGAATGTCAGCACTCACCAGACCTGACAGCTCACCCTGCAGATCGCTGTCAAACTGATTTGGGCCAGTCGAGAATCATTACCCCGCATGCGGCTGTGTTATTATCTTTTCTAGTAGCATATCGTTCCAGTACCGCTTCGTTCCAGCCTAAGCCGAAGGGCGATTGACTCATCGTATACCCACCATTGAGGGCACAAAACAAAGAAGGCTGGATGGAAAGCAAAGCAGTTTGCTCACTGCAGCGATGACAAGGGCGAGGTAGGATCTAGACCAGCGGGGGTGTAGCGATGATCTGCCCAATACGACAAACAGAGACGATGAGGGGCTTGGATACCCCTCGCTCAGCAAGCCACATCGCATTTGTAGACAAACACGCGTCGGTCTGGACGCAATAAGCATGGTAATTTAATCTCATCATTTGTTGTATACTACACACAGCGGATCGCCCCATAATAACAAATTGAGGCCAAGGAACTCGCTTGCATTTGGGCAATTCACATCCTTGGGTACAACGTGAATAGCCGTCCCTCCGATTCGTACACTAACTAGGGAGGGTAAGCCAAAGGACTGGCGCGGATCGCCCCGGCTTAGCAACCGCGGTATAGTTGACCAGATATAGCAGGAGGGAAGGGGGCAGCTAGCTCGCCCCTTCTACGGTTGACAGCTTTCCAGTGTAATCGGACGCAGTGCAATCTCTACCAACGTCCTATCGGCACGTATCCCATAGGACCGGAACGTACAATGTTACTGGTATCTGAATGATCCTGCAATCCGCCCCGGGCAAATTTGATATCGGCTCGGGTTTTTTGATAAGGAGAATGTCGGCACTTTGCGAATTATATAGTTATAAGGATGTGGGTCAACGACTAGATCGAGATATATTTCGGTGGCCACAGAAAGCCGATTTCAGATTCCAGGATAACAAGAGAAGAACTCGCTCTTTTGCCCGAAGGGCGTATATTGATCATCCATGGAAGCTAAAATATAAATGACGAAATATACAAGCCCACTCGGTAAGATTCATCGACCTTTGCCATATCTGCTGCGGCGTCTAGAGCGTCACTCTTGTCGCTGTGTATACGCGCGACGAAGAGTTTGCGGATGAATGTGTCGTGACTCTCTGGTCACCCGTCGGTGACGCTGCGGTTGTTACCATGAAGTTCGCAGAGCGTACCCTCTCATTCATCATTTCCTACATGTAGCGCCCAATGTTTGTATTTTGGGCCGGGGCGATGATAGAAGACGACGAATAGTTTCGGGTCGTATTCCCGGGCGATATAGTTCTCGTATTTGATCGTGCTGGATCCGAGAGGCTGGTACGAGGTGGAAGCTAATTGAACTATCAATAGAAATCTTCGATCCATGCTTGATTATTGTGACAACCTTGTATAGGACGGAAGCTGTAAGTTACGCAACTGGCCGCAGGTACCTGCAAACGCGAAATCTCAACGCGCGACGCGAGATCGAGATTGACCGATCACATTCATCACCCTAAGACGTGGGGTTTTTGGGCGGAAGTGGCGAGGAATGCGGGAGTGAGGGAGCAGTAGTTTGCTGCCCCAAGAGAGTCTTCTTGCTTGATGCTCCCTACGCAACCCAAGCTGATTTTATTTCCATGGGTACAGAAGTGGTTCATGATGGACAAAAGTACCAAATGAATTGGGGGAGTCAAGCCGAATTGGACCTGCCTTCTGGCAGAGCGCTTGATAGTAGATATGGGTTACATTATTGGTGCAATTCAGAGATAGACCCACTGCTCGGGCAAGAGGCTCCGAATCCCTCGAAGCAGGCCGGCCGTCTCCTTCTAACAACACTTGCCATCGTCGATGGCCATGATCGACCTCTCCAGGCAACTCTAGCAGCTTGGTAATCGAAGAGTATTGGCGAAATATGGTACTGCAGTGTTCACTCACAGAATGACATTCTTTTCATCTCTTCCGCCAGATACGCCGCAGGCGGCAGGGGCTCGCGACCCAGAGATCTACCTCGAAAAACAGGGTGGCCCAGGTGAGCTTCTTTTTATAATCGCAACAGTCAAGCATGTCGAATATCATCAGTACTAACACTGTCCATCTAGAACAGCGAATCTCCGAGCAAGACTTGTATCGATACACCAGGCATCGATGGCTGTAAGCGATTCGCTTGGTATTTTGGCGCTGCGCTTGATTGACGCCTAAATGCAGATTCAATGAAGAGTGCGAACTGTCAAAACGCTATCTGAAATTTAATTTAGGCCAACTCCTCGATGTCGCAGTCAATGTTTGCGATGGAGCCCGGTATTGTGGGTTCCGCTTCCCCCATCAAGCTAGCATAGCAGTATTCGATGGCTGACTCGATTCAAGGCACCAAAATCACCAAATGTGTCGAAGGCCTACATAATAAAGGCTTCACTCTGAGAATGGATAACGGATCGGAGGTCTTTGCAAAACTTCGAAACCCGAATGCCGGCCCTGCGCATTTGTCCGTCGCCTCCGAGGTCGCCACGCGTGAGATGGTAAGATATTCGGTCGCAGCCCATCACTCCTCAGCCACTAAAGTTGATAGCTTCGTGATGTATTTGATCTTCCAATTCCCAGGGTATTGTCTTGGTCCTCGGATGCAGGAAGCACTCCAGTCGAGGCCGAATATATCATTGAAGAAAAGGCTCCCGGCGTACGACTAGGTTCTGTCTGGCATGAATGGCCTCGGGAGCTCAAGCTACAGATGATAGTTCAAGTGGCGGAACTGGAGAACAAATTGACCATGGTTCGCTTTGACAAGCATGGTTGCATTTATTTCAAAGAAGACTTGCGTTCCCTTGTTGGCCAAGCAGAAGACATTCATACACCAAACCTGGAATCCGGCGTCCTTGAACGCTTTGCGATTGGACCATTAACCACCAACGAACTGTGGCGTGACACCAGGAAGGACATGAAATTCGATCGCGGACCTTGTAAGTAGGGTGGTCGGTCGATTCCCCATTCCGCCGTCTAACATTGTGTCTCTGCTCCGTAGGGAAAGATGCCACGGAATACACTCGAGCAATTGGACGAAATGAAATGGCATGGATCAAGAAACATGCTACTCCCCGAACAAACCATTACCGGCCAAAACCAAACAGAGAACTCCCTGAAGATGGTATCTCCCTCTTGGAGAAATACATGCAAATATCATCCTATCTTGTCCCCCAGCCGGGTGACGAACCATCTTCCGCCAACTTTCTCTGGCACCCGGACCTTCACCTGGATAACATCTTCGTCAATCCAGATACCTGTCGGATCACCCGCATCGTTGACTGGCAAACAGCGTGCGTTACCCCGCTATTCTACCAAGCGGGCGTTCCCAGGCTGTGCAGACACACTGGACCCGTCCGGGAAGGTTGGGTCGTCCCCGAACGCCCAGCAGATTTCGAGAGCCTGCCCGAAGACGAGCAAAGACGGATCGACGATGACTTGGAGAGCGAAACCTTGCATAAATACTACGAGGCACAAGTATACAAACGGTTCCCTCTGCATTGGGCGGTCCTCCAGCAACGGACAATACCAATCCTCCGGAAACCTGTTTGGCTTGTGAGCGGCGTATGGGAGAACCGCGACTTGTTTTTCCTTCGCGAGGCCCTCATGGATATTACAACGCACTGGAGCGACTTCTTCCCGGATATCACCTGTCCGATTGAGTTTAGCAGCGAGGACATTGCGCGGCATTCAAAGGAAGAGGAAAATATTAAAGGCGTGGGGGAAATGATGTTAATGTTCCGGCAGCAGGCTGTGCTCCCTGTGGATGGGATGGTGGATCCTGACGACTACGAGCTGGCGTGTGAGAACAATCGGAAATTCAAGGAGACTTTTATCGGGTTGGCGCAGGATGAGGAGGAGCGGGAGCTGTTTAGGAATCTGTGGCCGTACCAAGAACCTGTAGATACCTAACATTGGACAATCTAGCATCGAGCGTAATTCCAAGTTGGCCCGGTTACGGGCATATGTGATGTGAGGGGGCGTAACGTGGAAATGAGTTCGTAGGTTGAGTGCTCATGCCAAGGTGATATTTGCAGCCGGGTAACATTGTATATTCCGAATATTTGCCTCTTGACTGGAGTAACTCCGCCTTCATAAAATATATAACGTGTATATTGTTAAATGATACACCCATGATCTCGCGTATCCGTAGGGAGGCAGCGTAGTAAGAGTGCATGGCTTTGACTGCTGCAACCGGCTAGTGTGCTGGGTCCAATGGACGGACAGGCGATCCAGGCCAAATGGAAGGTCCTTGCTGCAAGCCCACTCAAGGCCTTCATAATAAACTGGGTGGGCGGAGCGAGTTACACAGGTTCTGCAGGTCATCTTCGCAACCAATAAGGACATCATTTGTCCTATTGCACGAGGATGTTGAGGCTTCGGCGTCCAAAAGCCTTGATACTTGGCGAGGGGTGTCATATCGTCTCCCTGGCTGTTGGGACTTGGTCGGGGATAGCGTGAAGCGGCGGACCGCAAGCAAGATAAAATCGGTCGGACTGCGCTCTTTCACTCTGTCTTGCTGGCCATCAGAAGACAGTCATTCCTCAGCTCATTATGGTAGCCGGGAAATTGATCTGGAGGCCTGTGCCTGTCAGTCATCAGGCAGTTGTTCCCTTAACCTGGGATACCCCTGGACAAACCAACAGCGAGCGCCATCATACCTGTGCAGGAATGACTTCATCGCCCACTGTAGACCAGGTTTAAATAGACACTGCTAGTACCGTCCAGGCCAGCGCAACCTTTTGCCTAAAGTAAATGTGTGACGTTGAACACAGCACTTCCATGCAAGGGCGAGAGTTGAGTTCCATGCCCGCTGCAGCAGCTGATCTACCACGATCAAAGAGTTTCGCGAGATACGTCAGCGTGGGGATGAATGAGTGCAAACTTGGATATCATGGCCCTGGCAGAGCAACCGGGCTGGCAGTTGTGCTTACGTCCACATTATCCATCAGAGACAGTGGGTCTATGGCACCGCGCGCCGCCGAGGGATTGGTGGATGGCGAAGTCCACCAGCTTTCCTGCGTAATTTTGGCCGAGAAACCGGAGATGACACTGATTTACCTCATTGCTCGTGATGGTACACCAAGGTGAGAATAATGGCCCCAAGGGCGAGCATCCAACAGCTCGGCGCGAAGGCATCTGATATACTCCCGCTCCCGTGCGTCTTAGTCCAGCCTATAGCGAATATGAGGGATCCGACTCCAATGATGCCTTCTATCGCTGCAATCCTGGCCCATGATAGGGTCTCAATAAAGGCAAGGCACCATCCCTCGCGTAGGTGGTCATTGGGCCCCAACGAGAGGAAGTTGTCCCGTTTCGGGACAGTATCGCGGTGAAACAGCTTTGACCCCGCATGGTCCGGATTTTCGAGAAAGTGCATCAAGGCTTGTCGGGGAATTGGAGGGTCGACATGTGCGGGGCGAGGGGAGTATTCGTAATCGACAGCGAGTTTGCAGCCTGTTTCGCATGACGCGCGGCCACATTGAGGCCAGTCCTCCTCGGCCTTGCGATTGAGTGCTATCTTGTCGCTGTGGTAGATGTAGAACTGGCATCAAATGGTTAGATGCTGGATCATGCACGTGGTATTCAATGGTAGCTCACCTGTTTCCATTCTATGTGTGAAAGGCTGCGCAGTCGTATCCATTTCCAGCGTCTCCGAGCGGCATTATAGACTTGTCGGATGCTTTGGTACAATTGCTTGTCTGTTGTAGTATTTTGGATGTCCAAGTGGACGAGTCGGTCTTTCCTTCTATATGACGGTATCGCAAGGAGTAGGTATTTTGCGTCGGCAGCCCTTGGCTGAGCGGTGTTGCCAGACTGTGGAAGGGCATGTGGCGTTGTTATATTGTGGGATTTCCCACCCGCTCTAAGCACTTTACGAAACAGGACAGTTATCGCCTGGGAAAATTGAGCAACTAGTGTCGGTTTTGGTGTGACCACAGATGTTGAACCGCTATTGCTTATTTGAGCTTGGTTTAGCTGGTGAACCCAGTCAGTCGCTGCACCGGGAAACATCTCTCTAACAGTCTCAGTGAATGTACGTTGGCAATGTTGCTGCAGGACCAATTAGTGAAATCGCCACTACAGAACATCTCCCCCAAAAACTCACACATGTCCATGTCAACCGTCCGTAGCCACGGGGGGCGTGTGGTCGAGACAAACGCTCCAGGAGCGTCTCAAGAAATGTTCGTACTAGAAAAAGGCCAACAGCGGCAGATGACCTGAGAATAGCTGGCCCTACAATGCCCAAAGACCGCCCTCGAGGGCTATATATCCAATCGACGTATAGTTCATTCGGATCCCCGACGATTAATCCTTGGATTGAACTTTCAGCGTAGGGATGACTCGTCAATGATGCGGCAAGATATATCAGGAACTCTGTCACCAGTTCAAATTCTTTGGTTGCGGCGAGGTCGTTGACGTGGCCCAGCAGCTCCAATGATGCTTTCGCGATCAATTCGGCTCCTATCAGCGCCATGGTACCTTGACCGAGCTCGCCTGCAATCTCAGGAGCGACAGGATTGATATGAGGAACGGGTGTCGCCTCATTGCACACTCCCAAAGCCAGAATCACACACAGCGAGCCCGGATCAATTGCTTCCCCTTTGGATTGAAGATGCTTTGTCATTTGCACACTCCAATGCGACTCTATGAAATTCCACAGCGGAATCCCCAGTGTTTTGTATTGCCTCTCATAGGCATTCAGGAGGACCTCAAGATTGTCCGAAAGCAAGCGCTCCTCATCGTGGATTTCATGCGCGTCCACTCTACTGAATGGCTGCAAATTCAAGGCCGAGTCCTCGCGACAACAGGTATGAGTTAATCCGAGAGCGTCAAATGTGATCAGCCTAAGCACGGACCGCACAACCTGTGCTGGAGATCCCCCATGATTTATGGCGTTCAACAGTATAATCTCGTAGACGCCTTTCACCAGGTCATGCTTGTAGGATTCCTCCCTTATGTCTTCCCTGGTAGACAGGAGCTCGATGGTCCCACGTACGTGGCGTAGAGCTACGGCGAGTGGAGTGCAGCCACCAGTAGAGCAATGACAGATGCAATGGTCTGTTACCGGGGACCTAAAAGAGGATCCCACCAGCAAGCGGCTTGAATCATGAAGATCATGAATAGATTTGTATACCTCATCAAGAGCTTCGTCAAGGAGCTTGCTGAGTCGCCGTTTCTCATAGCACATTGCGGTAAATTTGTGCATGAGATTGAGGCAGATATGATGACACACGGAGGTTGAATTACTTGAGATGACCTTTTGGACATCCGCACCATGATCAATCAACCATTCGGCCCGACTTAGTGACGCTTGAAGAGGGGATCCGACATTCCAGGCCACCAGCGGAGTGTGGCCAAACTGATCCGGGACGTCAATCTCGCGGAATCCAGCTCCCCATAACCCCTCCATATGACGAGGGCTTAGTGCGGGTGCATGAAACACTGACTGCACATGTGTGACTCCGTGACGATACGAACCAACCTCGAGCCCGTGTTGACGGAATAGACTGCACAATGGCAACAGGCTGATGTCTGGTAGCGTCCAGGGCGATAATCCGAGCTGCTTGACGTCCTCGGGTGGTAGGACCTCAAAGGCGAGGTCACGTAGGTACTGCCGTCGCTTAACAAGCTCCTCGATGAGGAAGTTACTCATACGGCTTCCACTGGATATAGAGATTATCGAGGATGTTATAGGAATACCCAGCCTGAGTAACGATATAACCGATTCGACGGAGTCGAGCCGTGCGGCCTGAGCCATGACAAGGAGCATCAAGGCCGGTTTTCTTTGCAGATCAGGCCAGGCGTCTAGAATACGCCCAAGTCTCGCCGGATCACCTGCTGCGGTGTAACATAATGCGCCTTTGAGATTGTCAGGTACCTTGAACGGACGGTTCAGTTTCGCCCTACGTCCTGGTTTGGGCCCGTCCTGGTCATATATCGCGAATTCTTGGAGACGCTTCTGGATCACTGCATGAAGTTCCTGGGCTCCCACGTGCCTCCCTGACTGGAGCGGGGTTTCAAGAGTTTCCTGACCCACGCTGAGCACGTTCCCGGTGGGATGTTTGCTGGGAGTAGATTCTGAGTCCGCTAATGCGTTCGACTGAGGTGTAGAATCAAGGGCGCTCTGGATGGTGTGAATCGGACAGCCTGTCAGGTCAGACGGAGATCTAAAGGGCAGAGCCTTTTAGCGTACCTTCTGTATGGCGAACCGACAGGAGCTTAACGCTCTCCGGCATTGAAAGCTTTTGGGCAACACGACCGCAGGATTCGTGGCCGTTGGAAAAAAAGTTGACCATCTCACCCATTCTCTCCCCGCGACCGCGCGCGAGTAAGATGGCTAACGGATGATTCTGTACATCAGCGCCGAGATCATCTACTCCAAAGCCCATCTCAATAAGGAAAATCAGCAGTTTAAACTGATATAATACTTCGGCAGCCGTAAGAGGAGTGATTGAGCAAGCGACCTGATATATTTAGCTGCAGAGCTACTGGTGGAACTGATACAACGTACGCCGAGTAGAGACCTTCCATCATATTGCTCGTCCATTGGTTGCGACTCCGATGCAGCGAACGCTTGAGATAACTCCTGAAGGATTTTCGTCGAAAAAGAAGCAACTTCAGCGTCGGTGGCTCCCCAAGGTGGCATGCGTTGGAGAATGCCAAAAGCACCAGATCCATTAGGCACGCGTCGCTTGATAGCTCAATGAAAAGACCACCCCGCAGCTGAGGAGCGTAGAGTGCCCTGTATCAGCCTATTAAGCCATTCCCTATGGAACCGAACTACTCTGACCGAGTTTGACCCTTCGGGTTCCTCATAGAACACACAGGACGGGAGATGATGGTTTGATTGAAGGCGACCTTGGGGATAGACCCGGGTGGGACAGACGCAGGCTGTAACCAACATTGCTCCCCCGTCAATGGCCAAGGTGTCACCAAGCAGGCTACCAGAGCGCCGAATAAGACTGCCATCGCTGGTACCAGGTGAAACGCTCGGGCGTTTGATCTGGGGACTGTTCTCATCCAACATGGCAGGGAGCGTGGTAATCGATGACAATGTATGTGGAGCCAAATTGAAGCGATCGAGTTAGTTTGACGATGAGTGGGATCGCGAAGAGAAAAGGTGGCCGTGGTCGGCGGCAAGGTCAGCCAGACAAGGCTCCCAAGGCTCACATGCTGCTATTCTTAGCGCGGGGCACCTGCATACAGGCATCCAATGATCACAGGAGAAGACCAGAGAACAACCTCAGTATGTACAGACGCTCAGAGCGCGTGACAGACGAAGTGAGATTGGATTGAAGCCGGAATTCAGCCTCAACTGCGTTGACCCGACGGTCGCAGGGGATGCGAAGCAGCATAGGTCGCTCCCTCCCCACGAAGCAAACCGCGGCGAATAGGCCCCAAAGACATCTCGTTTTTGAATCCCACTCTGTACCTATACGATGAATTGAATTTGGTACTATAATCATTTCAATCAATACCCTGTCATCGCACTCGCCAGGAACGGCACCAGCCCGTGCTTGGCACTGTCCTTATCGGACCGACCCCGGGAGGCTCAGCCGCGACGGTGCGAATATGCAGAGGCCGCAATAAAGCGCGGCTCAAACGCCAAGCGGAACAACGAAATTGTCTTCAAGAGAAAAGGTTACTATGACCCACCGCGGAGAGGAGTCATTACTCCGGCGGTATCAAAGTCGGTTTTCTTGGCCCTCATTGCGCCAGTGTACCACCGTGAGTCAGGGTGGGGCGCGTTGGGGCAATACGAGGACCATATAAACACCGGACAATCCCAGGAAAAATAGTCCCAGAGGCAACCTTACTGATCCTCCGACATCTCCTTTCCGCAGCCATCTCAACCGACATGACGTTCCCGACTACCCCGGCTACCGCGCGCCTAATCGAAGTCGCCGAGGTAGCCTTCATCAATGCGCAGATCCAGGGTGCGCGGCAGTTATTTCCCAAGGATGGATTCCTCGCTGAGTCTATTGGCGGCGGGGTCGCTGCCGTCACCAAGCCATCTTTTGGGAGGAAGCTGAACCATGTCGCCGGCTTTGGAATGGATGGCCCTGTCACGGATAAGGACCTTGGGACCATCCAGCGGCTTTACGAGAAAATTGGGGTCCCGCCGGAGATTAATCTGTGTCCTTTTGCGCATCCCAGCGCTTCGGAGGTGCTCAAAGCACGCGGGTATCAGATCTGTGCCGAGATGAATGTCTACGCTATATCCTTGCCGGACTACAAGACCGAGAGCGAAGATGGTGCTGCGGCAAATGGTAGTCAGCCAAGCGATAACGCGAGCGAGATCATTATTTCCCATGTGTCGCCGGAGGAACATAGCACATTCATCAAACTGTCGTCTGCTGGTTTCCAAGCCGGAAACCCCGAATCAGATCTCTTCCACACACTCGCTGCGACAGCAACAATCCGCCCCGATACAACACTCTACTTCGCCAGAATCAATGGTCAGATTGCGGGAACAGGTGGGATGGCGCTGCTTGATACACCATTAGGGCGAGTGGCGGAGCTCTACATCGACAGCACTGTTCCTGACTTCCGAGGAAAGGGTATTCAGTCAGCCCTGCTGAAAGCTCGACTGGCGGAGGCGAAGAACAGTGGGTGTGAGCTAGCGGCAGTTACGACGTGGCCTACTGGAACGAGTGCGAGGAATGTTGAGCGGGCGGGGTTTAGATTGGCGTATAAAAAAGATGTATATACTATTTAGAAGCAATGGAATTCTCAAGTTAACACCAAGTCCAAGGGTGGCTCGTAAGGGATCGCTGCATTCGACCAACAGCAGATTCAAATCCCCAACGTCTCCCAACGCCGTATAGTGGCTATTCCTGATTGGCTTAAAGATTAAGATGTACAAAGTAGCAAAGAGTCAGCTGGTCAGGCATCTGCTCACACATCTGGTCAGACATCCTATCCTTAGCCTGAGGGATACATCCTCATGATGCTTCTACAGAGGCAGATTCTCTTGACAACGACATCGCGCCATCAAGCCTTCCAAGCTGCGGCGATCTGTCTTATCTGGCGATGGATCTGATACCTATCGCACGGTACGTAGTATAACTGCTTTTTCTATCGCCGTCCTGCTACACAGCTGACTTCTGAGATATATGAGCCCCAGGAAAACAGTCCAACTCGAGCAATTGGCATCTGAGAAAGTGTGAGCTGCTCGTATAATTCTGCAATTCATATGTGGAGCTGGGTGCATCGTCCCGAAAGAGCAGGAGTACCTGGTCTTGGAGGGGACTGATGTGCTGATGGCGTTGTGGGATGACAAGACGCAGTACCTCTCATCGTGGTCGGAACACTCATAGAGATGTATATCCAACTCCTTGCCCGTGATCCTCTGGGCGGCTCCCCTCAAGGTCGCAAGCCTAGTCCTCCGTTGCCTCCCCTGGACGCCAAGAACAAGGCTTAGCACCCCGTGACACACTAGGCCCTTGGTGTACGACCTGAACCCAACGCCATGTCCGATCCTTCCTCTTGATATATTCCGCCCCGTCTCCATCATCCCATATCAGACATGAGCTCCCAAGACCCCTTCCAGCGTTTCAGCTTTGAAACAGCGGGACACATCATGCACTATCTAGATCCTCAGACCGTGATCCGCAGTGAGCGCGTCAGCAAGGGCTGGAGGGATTTTATACGAGCATGGATCGTATCGTCTGGGTTCTCTAACAGCTTCCATGAACACCTGAAGAACACTACCAGAGAGCCTGTAAAGCGCGTTCGAAAGTTCAAGGAATTAGGTACGCGCCCACCTCACTAGTTCCACCGTTCCTAACACGCTCGCAGCCGCCGTCGCAGCCAATCTCGAATACGGCAAGCCAACAAGCGTGCGCAAGATTGAGGCGCGCGATGGTCTTCTGGTAGAAGGCAACTATGCGGTATGGCGCTCTGGCGGTGACTTCCACTGGCAGCGGCTGGACTTCAAAGAAGACGGCTCGCTCTTTCCTGTCCAAAAATTACACTGTGAGCCGCTAGCCCACCGCTGCCGAAGTTTCCTACTCAATGTGTACGGATATCTTGTCATTGAGCGCCGCGAGCTTTTGCCTAGCTATCCGAATATGAGGTAGTGTACCAAGGCTTTGTTTCCTCAGTGGGGTGATCATTTGACGTGAGCTGACCTATCCCGCTTGCAGCATCGACGTGTACCCCCTCGAAGAAGATCGAAAGCTACATACACTCAACGAGCCAGAGGGACTCGATCCGCGGATTACAGGCGTCCCCCTTGCGCTCGGCGCGCGGAGGATATACTTTCGTCTCGGGAATGCAATCCAGGCATACGACCTGTTCACAGGAGCCCAGCTATACACAGCTCAATTCACAGGGAACAGCCACAGTTCTCCGGGAAGGCCTTTCGCAATCTACTGGGACCATTACACTCGCGACTTCGCGCTTCTGCACGACGGACAGCAAGAGCTTCTCCCCGTCCTGTGGAACCGAGTCGTGCATATAATCAAGGGCGAGGAAGGAACGCTCGTGCAGGATATCACTGTTGATTCCTGGCGGTTTCCGTACATTATCGTTGCACCTAGCCAGAAAGAGTTCGCCGTCGTTAGTGTGCGCAATGAGCCGAAAATAGCAATGGAAATAAGGATGCAGCGCTTTTCCCGCGGACCAGATGGCCTATTCGCCGAGTCTCTGCAATCGACGGAACATGTTTTCTTGGATTTCAGGTACACGGGCCACAACATCGTCGCCATGGATCCCTTCCGGCATCTCGTCGCAATCCCGTCTGTAGCCAGGGGTATTCCCGAGATATCCAGACTCGTGAGCGGCAACTTCGAGTCCGTTTTTATTCCAGACGATCCCAACGACACCCGGGCGATCGAGGCCTTGTGTCGCGACACCGTAAATGAGATAACGCTGCCACCCAAATACGCACATCACAAGAAGCGACGTCCGATTGTTCCTAATGACAAATACCGCGAGAGTGAGATGCGGTTCGTGGATGGGGATCGGCTTCTTTATCGTACTACGCATTGCGGTAGGAAACCGGATGCATATTATCTGTTTGACTTTAGACTGAGGATGAGGGGGAATTCGTCCCCCTTATCGAAATAGCGTGGAAGTCACATGTAAGTTGGACAAAGCGTTCTGTCGAGGTGGAGTAGTGGCGATGGCCGGGTTTACTCTGGGAGTTGGCACATCTGCTCAAACATGCTACTGGACTAAATCCGGAGACGTTACCGGTTCATGAGACTCCGCAAACCGTCTCAATTTTCCGCTCCGACAAAGGGCCGATTGTGGCGTGTCACTGGGTGGCTGGCCTGCCAGATGTGGTTAATACACCAGCTGCGACCTGTCACGGGTTCGTGGGTCACCCACGCTGCTGCTCACCGACTCACCGAAATCCCACCATCCTTTGTCTTCGACCCCTCCCCTCCATTATTTAAGACCCCAGGAAACTCATTCGGCCTCCCTGGCTTTTTTCTCGGCTATACAACGAAGACTCAGATGCCTCTGCCATATGGGAATACTCGAGATTTCCACGCCACGTCGCTTGTCGACACAGGAAGCCAGAATAGGCGGCTATCGTTCTCCTTCGTAAGTCGGTGAGCCAGAACATCACTGCTAAATGCTAAGGACAGCCAATGCTTTAGATTCAACCAAAGTTCATCAAGGATGCCGTGAACAGCTCTCGCCGAGGAAGCTTGGACCCGACACACTCGGAACCGAAGCGCTTCCTCATTCCGACACACAAAACCCTCCAAGAGCTCTTAGCTCAGGAAGACACCGATCGCGACTGGAAGATCACCATTGAAGATGACGGCCCCAAGGCGCTGCGACTCGGCTCGAGCGGCTCGGATGGTGTCCGTCGGTACGACATTCGCGGGACGTATGCGCTGTCGAATCTGCTTCAGGAACTGAGCATTGCGAATCTTGGCTCGAAAACGTCCTTGCTTCTTGATGAAGCGCGGTTGTACGAGAACCCGGTTGACAGGCTGTCACGCCTGATCAGGACGGTGTTCTGGGACAATCTCACTCGCCGCATCGATAGCACGAATATTGCTCGTGTAGCGAGAGATCCGAAAGATTGGACGGAGAATCCCAAAGGAAGAGTATACGTGCCGCCAGGCGCCCCCGAACAGTTCGAGTACTACTCCAACTACGCGAAGAAGCATCCCGAAGCCGACCTCGAGGTTTGTATGCTGCCGGACGAGATTACTGATGCTTACGTGCGCGACTTGAACAGGGCCCCAGGCCTGCTTGCCTTGGCAGTTGAAACCACTGTCAACCCCGAGACGAAGAAGAAAGAGTTTAGCGGCTTGCCATTTGTTGTCCCTGGCGCAAGATTCAACGAATTGTATGGCTGGGATAGCTACTTCATCGTGCTCGGTCTTCTGCGCAGTGGACGCGAGGATCTCGCCCGATCGACGATTCTCAACTTTGCATTTTGCATTGAACACTACGGAAAAGTGTTCAATGCGAATAGGACGTATTACCTCGGCCGATCACAGCCACCTTTCCTGACGGACATGGCGCTGAGCACATATGAGCAGACCAAAGAGGAGCCTTGGGCACTGGATTTGCTCCGCACTGCTACACAGGCAGCCATCAAGGAGTACTACACTGTCTGGACGGCTGCGCCTCGGATTGACCCCCTTACTGGCTTGTCCCGCTACAGGGCAAGAGGCCTTGGCGTGCCCCCGGAGACAGAGAAATCGCATTTCACCCAGGTATTGAAGCCATACGCCGCGAAACACAATCTCAGCATGGAGGAGTTTATCGAAGCCTACAACTACGGTGTCATCGAAGAACCAGAGCTGGACGAGTACTTCCTCCACGACAGATCACTGCGGGAATCTGGCCACGACACGTCTTATCGCCTGGAGCACGTCTGTGCGGACCTCGTGACTGTCGACCTGAACTCTCTGCTGTACAAGTACGAGACAGACATCTCCCACATCATCCGAACATTCTTCAACGACAACTTCCTCGTCGCCCCCGGCTTCGGCAAAACCCCCCACGAAACCTCCGCAACCTGGGACCGCCGCGCCCGATTCCGCAAAGCCCAAATGAACAAGTATCTCTGGAACGACGAGGTTTCCATGTACCTCGATTACAACACCAAGACGCAACGCCAAATGCCCTACGAAAGCGTGACCACCCTCTGGCCTCTCTGGGCGCGTTGCGCGAGCCCGGCTCAAGCCGCAGCGATCGTGAACAACACCCTGTCCAAATTCGAACACTACGGCGGCCTCGCCGCGTGCACCGAGTCCTCCCGCGGCCCCATCTCCCTCGAGCGGCCAAACCGCCAATGGGACTACCCCTATGGCTGGGCGCCGCACCAGATCCTCGCGTGGCGCGGCCTACAGAACTACGGGTACGAAGAGGACGCGCAGCGTTTAGCATACAAGTGGCTGCACATGATGACGCGTGCGTTCGTCGAGTTTAACGGGGTTGTTGTGGAGAAGTACGATGTTACGCAGCCGGATGGGCCGCACAAGGTTGATGCGGAGTATGGGAATCAGGGAGCGGACTTTCGAGGCGTTTCAAGGGAAGGCTTTGGGTGGGCGAATGCGAGTTATCTGGTGGGACTTGATTTGATGAATACACATATGCGCAGGGCCTTGGGGGTTTGTGTGCCGTTTGAGAAGTTGGAGGGGTCTTTGTAGTCATGTCGGACATGCATCTTTTAAGAGGAGGTAATGCTTAATATAGAAGTTAAACTCTACTAGTTTCTCTACCTAGCATGCCTAGCGTTTTATAAGGCTCTTTATTATCATGAACTATTTTAGGTTCGCATGATCCGTGAGGACTTTAATTAGTTGCGGATTTCCTTTAAGGAAATGGCGCCATACATGGAAGTATTTAATAATAGCAAGGAGCTCTATATTATGTGTTTTATACTATAATTCCACATTCTATAGCTTACAGGACTAGTAGGCTATTAGATACAAGTCCTAATCTTTAAATAGTTAGGATATAATTCCTATAATTACTCTGCCTAATACATCAATCTATAGCTGCGTGGGCAGCTCTAGGTGGAAGTGCCATAGTATAAGTTCTATAGTAAATACATGCTATAGCTTATAGAAAGCTTCTAGTATTTCCCCTTTAATTAGGAATCTTATAGCCATATTCTTCTTTATTATATCTAATAGCAGCGCCGCAATCACTCAATAGCCAAGAATAAAGAGGTGGTAGAAGTTAGTAAATCCTAGGAATAATAATACCTCCTTTATACTATAGGGGACTAGCTAATCCATGATTATCTAGATGCGCTCTAGTTCCATGTGGATACTATCTATTAAAATAATAAAGCCTAGGAATTTAATCTCCTTAGTATAGAATATATATTTACTAGGCTTTATATATAGCTTATATTTCTATA